TTTAATATCTAAATAGTTATTTCTTTTTAATATATTTTTATAATTTTTAACTTCTTTTTATTAAAAAGCTTTTAATAATTATAATATAATTTTATTTTTATTAATTAATTATTTTTAATATCTTATTTTTATTTTTATAAAAAAATTATAATAGCTTTTTATAAAAACTATTTTTAACTATTTAACTACTTCCTTTTTCTTTTCTTATTTTTTATAATATTTCGGGTAGGCTGCACTACTCCGTCTTAATAGTACTTTATTTATATAGCTATCTATCTATATTATCTATATTTATAGACGCGCCGGTAAATAAGAGATAGGCCTCGTTAGGTATCTAGATAATTCGCTAATCCTTCCTCTCCCGACTTCTTCCCTTTGCACATCTCTCGTCCATCTGTTCACGGGGCGTCTTCAGCTCAACAGTTGGCCATCGTGGATCTTTCTCAAAAGGCAGGAAATCAGAAGTCTCCACGAGCCACTTTAGTACCGCCTTTTCCATCTCACCAATTAGTTCCTTCATAGACGGATCAGCCGCCAAGTTATGCTGCTCGGCTGGGTCTGCCACTCGATCATACAGCTCAGCTGGTTCATATAGCCGGTAGACGTACGTCCACTTCTCATCTCGCATAGAGATTGCCTTACCCACTAATGTAGTGTCCTCATGCTGTAAGCTAGCTTTAATATCGTACGGGTACGGTGACTGTTCTAACAGTGGCTCCTCCGAGGCTAGGAAGCCACCTTCAGAAAAGGCGTAGCGCTTGTGCTCTACTGCGTCGCCGCAAAGTAATGGCACCCATGACTTGCCGCAGTGCGGGAAATCTTGGGCAATCCCTGAGAACTCAAAGATAGTAGGAATCAGGTCTACCATCTCAGCCATGGCAGTAACCGTCTTACCCTCGGCTAATCCACCGCCTCCGATAATAAGTGGCTCGTGTACAAGAACGTCCGAGAGGCCTGATGGCCACTTCTCAATGAGGCCATGGTCACCTAGATACTCGCCATGATCGGTAAAAAACATAGAGATAGTATCTTTCCATAGGCCTAACTCGTCGACTCGCTTGATGATACGGCCAAACTGATCATCTAGGCGGGAGATCATGCCGTAATAGGTGGCCTTAATCTCACGCCAGACGTCGTCAGTAGCCCGGTCTGTGCCATATCTTCTGCGAATCTCAGCCATATACCGCGGCTCATACCCGGTCTTACTTTCCGGCTTGAGAGGGCCAGGCATTCGGGACCGGTCGTACATGGAGAAATATGGTTCCTCGACCTGGAAGGGACAGTGGGGAAAGACGAGCGGCATGAAGAGGACCCACGGTTTATCATCCGGTGGGCATTCCAGCCACTGAATGGCAGAGCGGACAACAGCCTCGTCATAATCCACAACTTCTTTGCCGTTTCGAAGGCCTCGATAGAATAAACGGCCCCAGACATCATCGCCGTTTGCGGGGTTTGCGGGATCTGAATCTGGCTTTTTGACAAATTCCGGGACGAGCTGTGGAGTTTCGAGGAAGCCATACTCGGTCACGCTTAGCTCGGTCACGGAGGGCGCGAAGGTGTCGCCTCGGGGTGCGAGATATGCAACGTGATAGCCGTTCTCCTTCAGACTGCGGAACAGATTCGGCTCCCACGGTTTGATTAGATTCTCGAGGCTGCGGTGACCAGAGATGTGTGGATATGTGCCGGTAAACATGCTGCAGCGTGACTGGGAACAGACAGACGCCTGGGTAAAGCAATTCGCGAAGAGAGTGCCACGCTTGCGGAAAGCATCGATATTCGGCGTCCGTATGGGAGACTCGATACCAGGGGGTGCCGTGCATCCTAGAGAATCGTACCGGAGCTGGTCAGGCATGAATATGACGAAATTGGGCTGTTTCCCGCCATTTCTAGAGTTTATATTGAGAGGGAACGGTTTTTGCGGAATTGAATGCTTGAAAGCTGTTGACATGGTGCTGAAAGCTCGGAAGGACACTTAAGGGAAGGTTGGATAATAATAGGAGGAAAAGAATAGGACGAAAGACGGAGACGGTCGGCTGGAAACTTTAGGATCTGCTTTGAGGGATGTTGTAGTGGACTGAAAGTCGACGGGTTTTCCCTGCCCTGACATTCAACGACCTATCTCGATTAGTGTCTTCTGGCTTTATAACCTTTTATGACCCCGATGGAATTCTCTGGGGGTGGCTACGAATCTGTGCTGAGTGAGGATTGCCGGATATCGTCCGATAGCACCTCAATTTCCCCGTGTTCTTCACTTCGGATCTCGTCCGATGAGGAAGCTTTTCGGCTTTGCCGAAATTGCGGGGCCCCACGCAATGGAGTGATGTGATCCGGGGATAGTGTGGGGTAATCGACGCTGTCGAAAATTGCACTACTACCATCGGTGACTGGAATCCGCGAGACGGCCACCGAACTGTCAAGTCTAACCTTCTGCCTGGTTTTTTTCTTGTTCGAGAGTTGATATATTTATATGCCCGGCCTCCGCTCTCATTTGCAACGCTGCCAGATGGATAACTTCTCTAACCCTGGACTCAGGCCCCCTTCAACTGCTGCGTTTTAGGATCTATCTAGTGAAAAAAGAGCACTGCAATCATGACGATTCGCGAAGCGCTTTTTGGGAAGTTTCGGTACTTCAACCGAACTCTGGCACTCTCAGTCATAGTCATCGCTGTCTCAACTTTCAACTATGGCTTGATAACCAAGCATTTGCGACAACCCAGGCTATGGACCCTTTTATCAGGCGGTTTGGCGTCTTGGACGAAACTACAGGAAAATACGGGCTCCCATCGTCTTGGCTTTCGTTGTTTAACAGTCTTAACTATATCGGATTTGCTTCTGGTGAGACTCCCTTTTAACGTTGTACTTGCCATCACTTTATGGCCTGTCATACACCCCTTTGCCTTTACATTGCTTTCTAATGATGGACTGTTAATAAGGCGTCTTCATCGGAACCTTTGTATCCTCTCGATTTGGGCGACGGTGGGCCATGTTCGGCATGAGCTGTTACGCGATCGTCACGGCAACCATCGCGGTTACATCCAAGACGAGAGAACAGATCATGGCGGCACGCGTTCTCAACTATCTCTATGTCGGTGTTGAGCTCGCTGTCATTCCTATATATCAATCTGAAATCGGTTAGTGTTAGCAGATATTCTGCCCTACAAGCAAAAACTAGTACACATTCAGGACCTTTTTTTTTTCCCTCAAACAGCAGCATTTTACTGATATTGCCTACGGTATAGTGCCAGCACAGGCGCGAGGTTTCATTGTGGGCTCATATCAATTCTCACTTATGCTCGGTGGCTTCGTCATCAACTCGATATGCCTTCGCACAAGTACACTCCCGGATGATCGTGCATGGAGGATCCCCGTTGGCCTCTTTTATATTATCCCGAGTATTATTATTGCGCTTATCTTCTTTGTGCCTGAGTCTCCTCGATGGCTGCTCCGAATGAATCGGATCGAGGATGCTCGGAAATCACTTCAGCGCATCCGCGCCGGCGTCTTCACGGATGAGGAGATTGATGCCGAGTTCCAAGATCTCCGCCGCGGCCTTGAGAAGGAGGTCGAGAAGGGGAAGTTCATCGAGCTGTTTCAGGGACTTAACTTGAAACGGACAGCGATTGTTGTGGGCGTTAATTTCTTTCAGCAGGTAACCGGTCAGGCATTCTCCTCCCAGTACGGCAGCATCTATGTTAAAAGCTTGGGCACCGTCAACCCGTTCAAGTTCAGCCTGATAACTTCCGGTATTGGCATGGCAACTATGATTTTTATGCTTCTACTCACAGATAAATTCGGCAGACGGTATACTTTTCCCTGCTTTCCTTGGCGCAAAGCTCTCTCCCCTCCGCTTCCGCCTTCGTCTCTCGTCCTTCTAACTTGGTGATGTAGAACGTTCTTGATGATATCTTCGGGTATTATGATGGCGGTGCTATTTACAATGGCGGGCCTAGGAGTAGCGACGCCTGTCCCCGTCGAGCGAAAGACAGCTATCGTTGCGGTGATGGCTCTTTTCGTCTTTGGTTTTGGGGCCGGGTGGGGCCCACTCCCCTATGTTCTTGCAACCGAAATCCCCGCCCTTCGCCTTCGCGATCATACCTCTCGAATTGGCTTTGGCGTCAACGTGTTGATGAAGTAGGCATACCTCGCTTCCCCTTCATGTCTTGTATCAAAAGACGACCGGATTGAATATTTGTACTGACAGCTGGTAGCTTCGCCGTCAACTTCTCTATTCCCTACCTCGTTTTTTCCGACTATGCGGGCCTAGATAGCAAAGTCGGCTTCATATTCGGGAGTTTTTGTTTCCTAGCCCTCCTCTTCACTTTTTTCTTCGTGCCGGAATGCAAGGGTAAGACTCTGGAGGAGGTTGACGCTCTCTTCCACAATGGCGTCGCTCTGAGGAACTTTGGCAGGGCGGGTGCGCTTGAGCATCAACACAATCGTGGAATAAAGCAAGCCAAAGAGAGCATCGAAGTAGTGGAAGAGCGGGAGAATGTGGTTCAGAACAAGGAGACTGTATAATTGGTAATGTTTGGGGCAATCGATACCACGATCATGGGCTAAGGTAAAGAAAAGATGAAAGTGGTCGATGCCCAGGGCCAGGCTAGCCTCGAACAACGTGCGCGATTGACAGTGTTCGACGTAATACGAATACGACCCTACCTATTTCATTTCAAGCTTTCCCCTTGCTACATTCTACATAAACAGACCGTTGTAGCCAGGGCGCCATACCTCGCGCCCCAAAGTGGTAGGATTCGTATAATTCGTATTATATTGTAAGGCTCACAGGGTGAAACAGAAGGAAGCCGAGGGCCAGGCCTATTAGCATTTACACTATATTTAGCAGCGAGCCTTTGTTCAACCCTAACTCCAGTGCAGTGGAAATACCTCTGAAAATGGGGGTTAGAAATGGTGGAATTCCTGGATTCTTCATTCCGATACAAGAGTAAATGAGTTTTTGGTCAATGAAAACACTCGCCACTGACGACGCCCAGAGCCAAATTGGTTAGTGCCGGACCATCGGACGATATCCGGTCCCGCACACCAGTTTTCAAGCTGACCTTTGCGCCCAATTTCAAAAAGGAGCGATATCCGTAAAAAATCAATCGAGTTTCAGGCGGCACACATTACCCTCCACCCGCTTTTCTCGTCAAGTTTTCTGCATTTCAATGGAACAAACACCGTCACTAAATATCCATGATGCCCGCAACACACCTGCAGCCGAAGGGGACGCATGTCCCACCCCCTGGAACAACGTAGACTGCCTTCCTTCCCCACCATGTCTGGTATCCTCTCCCGAGCCCCGAGTTCCGAACCGTCCAACATGCCGACAATGCAGAGCCCGCAAAGTCAAATGCGATCGTGTAGATCCGACCTGTGGAGCGTGCACACGACTTGATCTTGTCTGCTCGTTTTCCAGAACCGCCGGCGCGGACGTCACGTTTGCTAGCCCTGATAACACTTCCTCCTTCGATCCTACTCTCACCGAGGCGGGCACAAAGCGCCGACGTATCCGGCGGGCCTGCGAGCACTGCAGAGCTACAAAAACTAGGTGCTCCGGTAACTCTCCTTGTGCTCGGTGCCGCATTCGTGGCTTGTCCTGCGACAATGCCCGCACTCAAGCGGCATCGAGCCGTGCGCCAGGACATGATCGTCCAGGGGCCAGTCCGATACCTGACCGTCAAGTTTTGAATGCCGACTCGGCCTGTGGGAAGACTACACCTGGCGATGCGACATCTGTCATGAAGCTCGATCCGGCAGTTGTCCGGCGATATATCGAAGCCTATTTCGACTATGCGACCCCCCTATCATGCATCTTTCTACACAGACCGTCGGTGCTTGCTGACTGGAGTCAGGGTAAGCTCGACCCCGTCTTAGCCCAGGCTATCTCCGGCATAGGATTCCTTCTCCTGTGTGATGAATCTCCCTCCAATCTATCTGGAGAGGAACCATCTTCAGCACATGACTGGATGAGCGAGGTCCAGCAGCGATTATTAGCTCGGATAAGTCGAATCTCCCTCGCTCAACTCCAAGCACTCATCCTCGTCGTTCAATACCGCTTCAGACACGGTGATAGGAGCGATGCGTGGAACCTACTCCCAGTAGCCTCGCGGCTAGCTTTCACCATGCGACTCAACTATGAGCTCCCCAATCCGGAGCCTATTGTGCAGGAATCTCGGCGCCGTACTGTATGGGCAGTTTGGCTTATGGATCGAATTTTCTCCGGCGGCAACGTAGATTTAACCGTGTGTCCGAAAGAGGCGATACACATTCGCTTACCATGCAGTGACTATGGCTTCCAACGTGGAATAGCCTCTGTCACTCCGAAATTGGAGTCTCCAACTTCCCTTGTTGACAGTGCTAGCATGGATATTGTTAGCTATTATATTCTGCTTCTCGACATTCGTGATCGGATTCTCAGGTATGGATCTTGGCATCGACGCGACCGCGTATACTAATCTCTCTCACGTCGAGTTCTACAGGACTACAAAGAGCATCATACGAGAATGTGCGAACCCGGCGATGAGGAAGCACGAATTAGAAATGCTACAAAACGAGTTGTTCGAGTTCGAGTCTAGTCTCCCAACAGATTTCAGGCTGAGCACAAAGCGACTCCTCCTTAAGACGCACTCAACCGACGCCGGCGGTTACATTACCCTCCATATTCAGTGGTTCCAATGTAATTGCGATTTGCATCGTCTTTTCATACCGGGAATCCGCGAATCTGTCGGCAAAGATATCCTCGACAATACCCCTCCCGACCTCGTAGACGCTTGTCAGCGTGCCTGTCTCTCCAACGCTATCCGGGCCTGTAACTTTCTAGCGGAGCTTGACTGCCTAAACTACTCCGGCTCCCTTGGTAGTACTTTCCCCGCCGTTGCTGCGCATCAGATGGTCTGTATTTTGCACCATTTACACCATCTCCTTCCCCCGGACGGGCCTGACGCCTTGCCTAACCTTAAACCCCGTCTTGCCCGCGCGATAAACGTCATATCGCGCAATCAGCTCCGCCGAGGAAATGTATTCGATGGGAAACTCCTAGCGGACACCCAATCTCTTGTCATTGCGTTCGGGAAGAAGCGTGCGCCGCAGTCTAACGGCGGCAAATATCGGAGGCGTAACCCTCAATACCTGCCATCAAGCGGCTCCTTCTTGGACCACTTCGACGAGACCTCCGAGGCAGCTCAGACAGATATTTTATCAAAAGAAGAACAGGATGACCAGAGTATTAATTGCAACGACGGTGGCAGTGGAGGAACCGATAGCGATAAGAGCGACATGACGCCGCTAACCGTCCAAGAAGTCCGTGCAATTGAGGGTCTCATCTCGTCAAGTCGCAGCTACATAATGCCATCGTCATCCGTGGACCCACCGCCAACGCAGCCTGCTTGGCTAAGTCCCCTGTCTTTCAGAGACTCGGACATCGCTGTGCGCAACACTAACATCAATGTCGATGAATCCGAGGCTAGAGGGGATTTGGGATTCATAGCCCAACAGGAGCAAGCAAGTTTTGAGTCATGGGACCCCCTTAATGCATATATAAATGGCTACTATATTCCAGAGTTTACAGCCATGTTTTCGGCGTCGGAAATCTGAACACGTTGCTCTCGATATTTAATGTCATACGGATTTCTGTCTACCTCCTAGTTTAGCTGCGGAGCCCTCTTAATAGAACATTGAAGGGGATAGCTTGCCTGATAACCCCACTGGCACTGATGATAACCCACTCGGGTGGGGGGCTTAGGTCCACTCAGGGTACTGGAATGGTGGTATCTGGGAAGATGGTTCCGTGAGAAGGTTTATGAGGGACTATTTCAGCTCTCTTCTATCCCTGAACCCACGACCGTTTCTACAAAATTATTACCGAAAATCTCCGCTGGGGTCTGGAAGCCTCATTTCGCCTCTCCGCTCATGGCTCTACTCGCTGCCTCCACTGATGCTACATGCATAAACGTATACTTATTTACCGAGTGGAGAACTGCCCGCTTTACGGTTCCGTCTCGTGATGTAACGACGATTGCGGTATGGTCGGGCTGGCGCCTCTCTTCGACAGTAGGACCGCGTGGTAAAGAGTCGAGGTCGACGGATGAGAAGGCGTCTCTCTAGAGTCGTGGACAAAGGTTCTAATATTCGGTGACCCAGTCGATCTCCATAAAGTGAAGAGGTCTGGCATAGTCACCCGGCACAAGGCACCGTCCTCTGCCATCACCAAAGTCGAAATATATTAGCTCAGCACTGTCTTGCTCAACGAAAAGTCCATCCAGGCGTTGAAGACACTCTTTCGTCAGATTCTCATACGCGCTGATGGCAGAACCCGGCGACATGGATGCCAAAACGTGAAGAGCGATGTCGATACAGTGTCACGACATAGCCACGACCAGGTCATGCGGAAGCAGTGTAGCACAGGAGAAAAGAGATCACATGACAAGAGAAGTCGGACAGGACTAAGTCCGAATGATCGGCCAAGCAAAGGTTCAATAGGACGGTCATGTTTACAACCAACCGACCGGTCAGCTGGGAGCACGACTGGCTTAGGGAGAGCTTGGAAGGGAAATGTCTATATAAACTACAGGTTCCACCATATATCTAGTTTATCTTCCAAGACTCTCCAGTAGTTAATCCAAGTCTACACCCCTACACTTGAATATACACTTCTTACTAATATCTTATAGATACTACTTAACTGTGTTGCTTACTTCTAAGCAGATAACCCTACGATCTTTTACCAGTTGTATCCACCTGATACCAGTCAATGGGCTAGTGTTAGGATCGTAAAACTCCAGAGTCCAGACAGATTAATAGGGCATTTATAGAATCAAATATTAGAATACGGTCTCCCGGTCCGGGAGAGTAATTGGCACCAGGACCAGACTACTGGGAAGGAAATATCGGAAGCCTAGCGTAGCATTGCGCCCGGGTTGCAGGTACCCAGTATAAAGGTAAAGACCGAAGTGACGAGCCAACTTGGGCAACGTGGAGAGAGAAAGCGGCAGACCGCCGGGGGATCTGAGGGTTTCTTCTTCAACCTACGTAATGTGATGCGCCTCTACCGTTATTGCCGACCTTTTGGATCAAGACGCACCTCTAACGCTACGCTATTGCTCCTATAATTACCGACAACGATTTTAACGCCAACCCTGACGAGTAACTCTACTTCCTTTTCGACATAAACAGGCTGAGAATCTTTCCGTAACTCTTCCGGATCCAATTCGTCATCTAGGTTCACCCGAAGATTTTGAAAACGAGGCAGTTGGTGAAGGGCTCTGCACAGATAGTGCATACGACCCATCGTCATCCAGTCAAGTGTCAATGCCCGAGCATCCCGGAGCTCATCGCTGTATACGGCGTGGCCGGAGTTGCTTGTGCCCAGGCGAACCAGATATGCATCGCTTAAACAGAGCGTGACTAGAGATTTGGGCAACTCCAATGAATCTACGCCAGAATTCTCGAAAGAGGTCCCGGGAAGGCGTAGGATCTCCAGATTCCTGAACCCCCTTAAGCCATTAGGACCCCATCGACATCCCAGATCTTCCATACAAGATGGCGCATCCGAGCCTTCTTCGTATTCGTCCACTGGCAGGATGGTGAGTTCCCGCAGAGTTTCCGCGACGGGCTGGAGTGCGGAGTCCAGAGACATGGCTACCTCCGGAGCAGACATTGAATAGCTCAGGCTGAACTCTAAATACAAGATTTCGAGTTTTCGGAGTGGACCAAGTACAGTTGAGAGCACAGGCAACGATAAACCGTCCCAGCGTAGGTACAGCTCTTTGAGCCTTGTAGCTTGGCTGGCTGTAAGCACGCGAGGAGGCTGGAGTCCAACTTGGACAATTGGTTCTTGAGTGCCGGGGTAGTGCTGGGAATAAAAGGCTTTGACAATTTCCAAGGAGGGAGTCGATAGGAGATTGCAGAGAATACGTCGTCTGATATCCATAGAGACGTCGTCAACCTTAGAATAAGATACCCGGATCGAGCCTACTTCCACGTCAGCTTCGATGTCGGGGCGGCGCAGCACGGCAAGCAGGAGGAAGCCGTTAGGGAGTTTCGGAAGTACAAGACCTACAACGTTTAAGAGTCGGCGGAATCCATTCGCCGGCCGCAATCTTCTTCATCATATGTGTTGTATATTCGGGTGGTGCAGTCGCTGAAAATAATGGCCGGAAGACGAAACATTCTAAACACGGAAAGCTGTCCAGCATATCGAGGCACCACCAAGGAGCCTCTCCGGTCACGCGATATTGTCGGACTGCCCGGCACAGATATGGTTTGGAGGCCAGTACTCGCGAGAGCTTCGTGAGGGTAGTTTTGTCTTTGATGGAAACCGAACGGTAGAGCGCTGACTCGGTCATGATATAGGCATCTTTGCAAACTAGCATCAACTTAAGTATTTCTTGCCGACTAAGACTTTCTGTCATCTGTGTAAACACCTCTTGCGGGAGGCTCGTTAACCTGACGCAAGGTGCCTCCATTTCGCCCACGGTGAATTTGATATGCCGCTGAGTGGTATCTTTTGCTTTTCGAATGTTAAAATGTGGGGTTAATAAAGGAGGGTTACGAAGCATATCTGACTTACTCCGTTCGACTCATTTTATACGGTCGGCGAGGGTCGCAGTGGAAAAGGAGTATACGTATTACCTGCAATATGGCCCCTGTCGAGGAGACAGAGATTCCCCACGCAGTGTTGTTTAAGGAGGGTTCTTCGGGTCATCATTTACACCGCCCCTCAAATTCTGGCGGTGAACGCTTCTTAAAGGATTGAAACCACGACAGCGAGCTCGATCGGTGCGTGCCACCGGAAGACAGTCGACGACAAATAAGTCACCACAACCCAGAAGCGGACTTTCAGCAGCACATGCGTTTTCCAGTGATGGCTGCCACGGATTCTTTGCTGTCAGCCGGATTCATCGAGTAGGTTAAACATTCCGACCCTAAGGCGAGAATGAGACATGAGTTTATAACGCCACCACCCCCAAGTGCTACTGTCCAGAGGCGTCAGGATGCTGCTGTAGCTTTCCAAGCCCCAATCGTGCAATGTTTAGCATTCAGACTTATCCCCACGGATAGCGGGTATGAAGTTTATCGTGCGGCCTTGAGTGACGGACAGCATTGGATCCAGTGCCTACTCCCGCCTCGTGCTAGTTCAGTGGAAATTGCTCGCCAAGGCCAAATTGTCGTCGGATGCGTCTGCCGCCTTACACAATACCATCTCGCGGTTTTACACAATAGAGGGTACGTGTCATCCCATGCCGTGAGGGGAGAAAACCGCAAGCTTACGTCTCTTCGCAGTGTTCTGGTCGTCCGCGACCTTGAGGTGTTGCATTCCCTTGGTGTTCCTGAGAAGATCGGACAACCTATCGCTGCCCCGCCCCCGGTAGCAGAGCCCGAGAACCCTGACCATCACACCGAGACGGAAGAGTTAAATGAGCCCAAAAAGCCACCAATCCCCCGGCCCCAAGTGCGCGCCGGTTCTCTCATCTATCCCGTCGAAGCCCTCTCACCTTTCTCTAGGGAGTGGACAATAAAAGTGCAAGTAACATCAAAGTCGAATATAAGCAAGCCGATGGGAAATTCCAGAGATGTCCAAAAAGGGTTCAACGTCAACCTACGTGATGACACTGGTGAGATTAGGGCGACCTACTCTGGTCAACGATGCAGCGAGTTCCACGACCTCTTGCAAGAGGGATCGACTTACTATATCTCCAGTCCTTGTAATGTATCGCTGGTTGAGCAAAGGTTCACTTTCTGTCCTGACGATTTTGAGCTGGTGTTTAACACCGATACCACCATCGAGAGTGTGGAGGACTAGCGGAATCGCCTTAGCGCTCACGAACTTAAGTGATGCCGATGGTCGAAGGACGGAAACATCATACCAAAACATCCTCACCTGAGAAAATTTCAAGAATAAGAAGCCATGCTAGGCCAAACCGGAAAAACGAAGAAATGGCGGATGATACCTTTCAACTCCGGGCACGCGAAGGGTGTTGCGTATGGTAGCAGACAAGAGTATTCTACGGGGGACGGAGGACTTGAGCAGCCGCCTGCTATGTATAGGGTATAAGAAGGAGATTAGGGAGAAGCGGTTCTAGCGATGGGGAATTTTGCTAAGGTATAATAATTAATGAACGGGGATATTAGTTTCATTTGGGTTCTGTATGATCGCCTTTAAGGGAGGGATCTGTTTTAATATAGGTATGAGGTCAAGATTATTCATTCGGTATTCTATAAATTTGGCGGGTAAGTTAAATTTAGCGGGTAAGTCCCCTTAAACTGGAGGGAGATTGGGTCATTGATACAACAACTTCAGTAGAGAGCCGCATGACCGCCTTGACCGCCAAGTCAAAACTCGGGGAACATGTTTGCATGAACATTGAGGATGCCGAGTCGCCATTGATCAGCGCCAAGTCAGCACTGCTGCTGCTTCGAACTCCAATATTGTCTCTCCATTCCCATGCACACCTCACACATCCGGAGTAAGTAAAGCGAGAAAGTGGCTGCGAAGAGTGACCTGTCACAAAACACCTTATCAAGAGTGCCACGTTACTACCCCCTCTTCCACGCTTTGTGTTTTTTTCTTCCCCGCCTTAATTATTCCCCGCCCGATTTGCGTTTCTTTCTCCATCGACCCTCTTTGTGCTGCGGCAGGATCAACTTGACGACAAAGCTTCGCTTCGGCGCCCATTTAAATCCTCCACCCGACGTATTTAGCATCGTCTTGTGACTTGTCGCTTGCCATGGCGTCACCAAAAGAGTCGAAGTCACCGAAGTCCCCAGCATCAGCAAAGTCGCCGCCCAAGTCACCGTCGCCTCGCACCGCATCATCACCCGCGGCTGAGAATCAACTTACAGATGTTATCGAAGTGGTATGTTGGTGGTAAATATAGTAGACTCCAATTTAATCGCTGCATAGTAATCATCATCGCAAAGGATGCCGACGACGCTTCTTCGTTAGCCCCGTAAGAGTCCAAACAAGGAGGAGAAGTGGCAGAAGACAAAAATTATTACTTATTATAGTACTAGAACGGCTGTGACTGATACAACGTCATTGAGATCTTCCATCCTGAATTACAAGTGGGAAAATGGACGGCGGTACCACGCGTATGAGGACGGCTCATACTGGTTTGTGCCACACCGCTCTCGCCCCGCAACTTACATGCGGTAAGCTGACTCTCGCGATAGGGGGCCTAACGACGACAGGCAGCAAGAAGCCGAAGACCTTTTGTACTGCATTTCCTGCTATTCGACTCTTGTGAAACGTCGTCTAACGAACAGACAGCCACGAAATGTTCCGGATCATTCTCGGCGGAAAGCTCCATGACATTCCTAATCTGGACAACCCGCAGGTATTATAGTCGGTTTTTATTTTATTTTTTATTTTATTTTTTATATACATTTCCTTTTCCATCCAGCGCCCTCCCTGCGAGCGCGTTACGGCGGCCTTTGTTCGGCTTGAGGGAACTCGAACTCACTCATTCCATTACAGACTGTACTCGATGTTGGTTGCGGGACTGGCGCTTGGGCGGTGTAAGTATCCCTACCGTTCATTGTGAATCCCACAGGTTCACGCTATATAGCGGCCCTCGCGGTACTATAGCCGCCATCGCACTACGGCGGTCTCTAACTAAGCCTATATAGAGAGTTTGCCGATGAAACCCCGGGAGCCCAAGTCATTGGGGTCGATCTCTCAGCCATTCAACCCCCTTTTGTGCCACCCAACTGCAGCTTCGAGATCGACGATGTCAACAAGGAGTGGACGTACCCAGACGACAACTTCGATTTCATTCACGTCCGTGCAATGACTGGCTGCGTGAACGACTGGGTAGACTTTTATAAGAAGGTGTATCAGTGGGTTCTTACGCTGTTCCTCAAATGCGCTCTACTATTGATAATAACTGGGTGATGAATTGTTTGCAGACATTTAAAACCAGGCGGTTGGGTACATCAGATCGAACTATCCGCCGTGGCGAAGTCGGACGATGGTACAATCAAACCAGACTCTCCCCTGGTGACGTGGGTTGAGGTATTCGAAAAGATGAGCGCCGCAATGGGCAAGAGCTTTTTTGCCTGCGAAACAGCCCGCGAGTCTGTCGAAGCCACTGGCCGCTTTATCAATGTCCACGAGCGCCGGCTGAAGTTACCCATCGGTACCTGGCCGAAAGATAAGAAGTTGAAGCAGTGGGGCGCTTGGAACCGCCAATTTCTGCTGCAAGGCCTTGAAGGCTTCTCGATTAGAGGGTTGACGACAATGCTGGGCGTAAGTTGGTACTTCATGACTGATATTCGATTCGGGAATGTAGTTGGAACTAACAGGGCGTGACGCTGTCGTAGTGGACGTATGAAGAAACTCAAATGTTCCTAGTTCAGATGCGCAGGGAGCTTACAGACCCCAGCATCCATACCTACATTGACATGTAAGTCTACCACTCAAAGCCACCTTTAGGACGTCTCGCTAAAGAGGTCTACTGTAGGTGCGTCGTCTATGCGCAAAAGCCGATAGAGTCCGAAGAGTAGTGGGCAGTGTGTGGGCGAAGGAGTCGAAGAAACCGACACACTGGGAATCGATCCAAGCCAGCTTTGGTTAACAAGAAGCGGAGAAAGGCCCCGTGGGGTGGGCAAAGGGCGGTGTGGGTCAGTGCGGGCCGGACTGAGTAGCAATCGGATGAATTGGGGATTGTCCGTCATGGGAAGGCATTATTATCAAGATTGTCCGTCAACCCGATGTGAACTCAGATTAAAAGGACAAGATGCTAGGTCAAATTCGCCTTCTTACCCCTCATCTCTACGGAGAGTTGGTGGTTCGGTTCTTGCATACGTAATTATTAGGCTTCAGAAATGAAAGCACTCGCAAGAATGTCGCTAAGTTCGCTTCACTTCCCTCTTGCCATTGTTGTAAGGTGTTGGCTTGTGGATGACGAGCTCTGGCTAACATGGGGACGTCCTCTTGTTCCGTCTTCAGCACACCCACACAACACAAATGAATCTATTATTAAGTTATCATTAGGCTAGCGACCGGTCCTGGTATGTAATATATTGTAGATAGTGCGCCGACCCGGCGGGAACTCAACTTTAAGCCAGGCCAACCTCCTCCCCAGTCGAACCTCAAACACCCATCCCCTCTTTCACAATCCTTCAGTTGCCGCAAATATGGACCCATCACTTATGACGCTACCAACCGAGATACTGGACGAGATTATTACACGATTAGAACCTCGTTCTCTTATCATGCTGTCTATGACTTGTACAGTTATGATGCGATCATGCGAGCCTCATCTTTTCCATTCATGGGATTTAACCCCGACATGTGGGTTGGGTTCTATGTTTCCCATCCTGGCCAGGTGAAAGACTCAAATAATATCTTAGAGGTCAAATTCAGTGAGTTTACAGTTCAGACTGTGGCAGGAGCATGGCCTCCTGAGTGACAGCCTTTGGAGCATTCGGTTGTCAACTCACTTCCAAGACTACTCTATGAGCTGCTACTATGACTGACATATCGATAGAGCAAACACTGATTGTGAGGCCATTTAATGGTCGATTGAAGAATTTAAGACTACTCGGAGTCGGAGGCGGTTATTAGACATGGAAATGGTACGATGTTTCCCAGACATCTATAGTATTCTTCGGTAATTTTAAATCAATCAAGATATCTACTAGATATAAATAGCAATCCTAATATTAGGAGAAAACCCGACGAGCGACATGGATCTGGGAAATGATATAAATCTTCATCTAGACGATTACAAAGGCCACGTAGAGAGAAGTATTTCCCGAAGAGGACTTCAAGAAGAAGTTACCTGCGACGGAGGCGAAGTCTTCCAGCTTATAATATAAAGTAAATACATTTATCCGCCTAACAAAAATCGAATACTCCACGCCTCTACATGGACACCGAGAATAACATCGCGCTTGTTGAAGTTAGGCACCAAGCGTGGCCCCGTATTACTTCGTATACGAAGGAAGCTACATGGGTGATCAAAAACATTAAAATATGGCAAATGGATTTATCAGCGAGGCGAAATCAACTGTTCAGGATGTCGCTTAGGTCCCGCAATACACTCTCATGTACTGCTTCTCTAAAACTGAGGCCGAGACACTCATAAATGGAAAGCGTGGACCCAGTGATGGAGCGCGCTAGCAGGCGCCGAACTCGGACAGTCCAAACATATACCACCTGAGCGAATTTTTTTGTCTTTTGTTTTCCCCCGTTACCGGACCATCCATATCAACTTTAACCCAAATTTAGCAATAGAATCTAGACTAGTATATCAAGTAAAGTTAATCAATTGCTGTCGTCCAACTCTCGTCAATAGGACCAGATCTCAAGCCTTCTCTATCAAGTTGACATTTGGCTTTGGACATGTCTCGACAACATCGAGCCTTACTAGTTGGAGGAGGCGGGGTTGGAACAATTGCAGGCTTCAACCTCGAAGCTAGCGAGCAGGCACGTGTCACATTCATCCTACGCTCTAATTACGATGCCGTGCTAAAAGATGGTTTCGTTATCGACTCGTACGACAACGGGAAGGTCGAGCGGTGGCGTCCCCTAGGTGGCATCCTCCGCTCAGTACCAGAGGTCCGAGACAACGCGTCGATTAGTGATGGCATTGCTCCCTTCGACTGGGTTATCTGCTGCACCAAGAACATCCCAGATGTCGGGCCGAAATTGGAAGATATCATCCAACCATCCGTCACCCCGGGAGTCACGACGATTGTTCTCATCCAAAACGGGCTAGGTATCGAGAAGCCCTTTCTCTCAGCTTTCCCCCAGAACATCTGCCTTTCCGGAATCAGCTTCTGCGGCGTGGATGAGCCGACGCCTGGATACATCCTCCACAAAGACCCGGATGTCTTGACGGTGAGCGCTTTTCCAAACCCGGCGATGGATATAGATATCCAGCATCAAAAGGCGCGGGACTTTGTCAGCTTGTACGCAGCATCTGGGAGGGCCAAAGCCAATTTCGAAGTCAACGTAGAGGCAATCCGGTGGCGAAAGCTCCTTTTTAACGCCGTTTACAACCCAATATGCGCCTTGGTTGACCTTGACACATCGCGGATCAGGTTATTAATGACGGCGGGTCCGCCTAGCATCATCGAGGAGCTACTTAAGCCTGCAATGCAGGAGATCCGAGCGGCTGCTCTGGCGGTGGCAAATGTCACATTATCCGACGAAGAGGTGGAGGCTGCGATTCATGGCGAGTCGATTCGTTCATTTTCCATGCCGAGCATGCAGCAAGATGTGCGGAAAGATCGATTTATCGAGCATGAAGTTATCCTCGGGGAGGTTGTTAGGACAGCCAAAATCCACGGCGTAGCCGTACCCATGATCAACACGCTGTACCAGCTTTGCAGAGCCATCCAGTTTCGAACCATGGAAAGGAAGGGGAGCATCAATGTAGATGACTTGGTTGAAAGTTATTCGAGCAGCAGAATAGGCTAAGGGATCATTCTATCTACGGTATTACTATATAGGTATCTCTGGAGTGGTGCGGTGGAGGTAAGCTCCTCTACTCCATTTTCCAGCCGGGCAGAGCTTGACTCGCATCAGGAACCTATAAGCGCACCCGGTTCCGAGGAATTTCTTAGGAAAGGGGTCTGAAATTCCTAATCGATTATTTTGTCCGGAGCTAAATTGTTACTTAGTGCAGGAGTAGGATGGCTTATGTTCCTTTTCTTTTGCGTCGGAATGCCCGATATAATAGCGAGGGCGCTTCTCCATATATCTAGGTTATCTAGGGTGCTAAGCATCCGACCTGGTGATAATGGAAGACCCAGCATTCCGCCAGTATCGTAGTTTCCGTCTGGGTGACTGTGGCCACTGCTGGACATTTGGTGGCAGCAAGCATGCCGGCACTCGACATTTTTATGTGACTGTGTTGTGACAAATTACTTAACCTGAACACCCCTGGCAGAAGTGTTCCGTCATTCTCGCACCTCCTTTTTTTCTTGTGCTATCTTAGAAAATGCGAAAATTGTTCCTGTGTGCTTTTAAATTGATTCTAAGTAGCAGGTTGGTAACCTTGTTGCGAAGGAGCTTCAAAATGACCACGGGATGCAGTGAAGGGTGTAGCCGACCGTAGTCACTTAACAACACTGGGATGCAACGCTGCAGCAAATCGCCGCCGCGCCTCCTGCCGAGCATGGCATACAGTATAGGTTGCTGAGACTTGTCTGTCTTCCCCTATACTAGAAGTACCCCTCCGGAATGTTGGTGCTGCCGGTGATGTAGAGCTCAATGGTATACGGGAGCTTGGACGTCAGGGGCACAAACTTCGCGGTACCGAGCTTGGTCTCGCCTCCGATCTGCGTGCAGCCGCTATCGAAGATTCGCCACCAGCGCTTGTGCGGGGCCTTTCGCTTGGATAAGATCTAACGGTTGCACGACTCTGGGCCTGTGGGCGAGCAGAAATTGCTGGGTGCCTACGAGAGGGACGAGAGGGATGTTGGGAGATGTAGCGCCCGAAGCAGAAGGGGCAATGTCGACGGGAATGGCGGCGGCCCAGCCGGTCATAACGCTGATGGCGACGATGGCGTTGAGGAGCCTCATCTTGCTAGGTTGGTAGGGAGTATTCTGGAAAAATGGAAGAGATCAGAAAGATATTTGTGAGGTGGGAGCTGCTTAGACAGAAATAGCTAGTATGTTGAGATGGGAGAAGGAGGAGCGCCGCATCCTTTATCCTTATTACATTTGATAGTACTTAGCAGATGATGGTTTCGTTGCCCCCAGGGGTTGTCGTGGGCTTCTCCGAGGCCGGACATGTTCACCTTAGCTACACTAACCGCGAACATGCCTGTGTCCGAGTTCACTCTGTCGCTGAAAATCTACTATCAAAGCAAGCCATCGCGGAGTCTCCATGATTGAGAGGAGATCCAACTCCCCTCCGCCGGGCTTGTGCTCATCCGAAAGTCGCCGCCAAGCTTGTCACTTACATAGGCTACGCGTACTGCCGGCCTCGTTTGTCGACCGGGAGGGGACTATGCTTTGTGCTACCTACAGTCGCACCTCACCACAGCAAAGGTTCCAGACCACGCGTGGCCTGACAAGTCCCGAGTTTATAGTAAGATTATCAAATATTCGGTAGGCACCGTTGCGGCGCGACGAACCCAAGTCACTCTTGCGGATCTTCCAGTAGCTTCATGCGTCTAATCTATTTGTTATCCTCGTATGATTGATCGGGTTGCCTAGTGATAGGCGGTTTAACCGTAACAACGGAATCAATCTATATTCTTAAAGGGCCAGATGAGTTATCTTGACCAGCAATGCCGCCGACGCCTCTATCAAAAAAAAAAAAAAAAAAAAGAAAAAACACTCGCAGACGACGCAACCCCAGGCTCACCTACAACAGCCGCCATGGTTTAGACAATAGCTTGATCGAGATTGAAAACCTTTTTGTCTCGATATTCATCAGGCAAGAAGATTGGACCATGGGCGGGGATGGCCATCGTATGTTGGGGTGGAGCCCTACCAGTGTAGCGGACAGGATGCTCAGGGTAGTAGAATTGACTCCATGATTAGAATGTGGCTCAGTTACACGTCGGGGCCTGTACAATGGAATGCAGGATCGGGGAAAGGGGAGGGGGGTGGCTATCGATGTGGAAGATCTGTTGGAGCTCCCCTGTTTGTGATAAGCGCTTCGATCGGCGCCACTGAGTAGACCCTCTCGCCCTTGTAGGTCCTATTGGCTCTTTCCACAGCCAGGCGAGGAACCTTTGTATCCCACTCTGCATGCCACGTCCTAGACGTGGACGACACCCGAAACCGAACCTAACCACAGGGACAGCAATACATAGCACGGGCCGTCCCTGACCCAACTATTAATATGTCTGTCCACAATTCCCCCTTCATGCAACCAATTAATTCAATCCCCTTTCGACACACTCTTCCTTCTTACACCTAGAAAAAAAGCTATATAGTTTTATCGGACCTACTAGTATCTCATCGACCTTGCTTCCTTCTTCCTCGACGCGTCCCAGGCAAGCATCCAACACTTACCCCGAGGGCTTAGAACCGCCACCATGATCTAAGGGAGTCGTCGTCTCTAGACATTTCGACTAGCCGAACCTCTGTCTTTAGACAACTTGGGGTAGACTCTGGTAGAATACAACTAGAGGTTGATGGGGCCTGATCAAGGGTCCGGTGTATTTCGGCCGAGTTGAATGATCCTTGGCAGGCTGCGAATCAGGCCTCCCAGGTTCTAGAGCTTCGCCTCACCACCCTGCATGCTGACATGCAGACGAGCCACTAACTTGCCGCCCTGTGAGCAAATTCCGGACTTGATGGTACTAGAATCTCGACAGAAGTGGCCCCGGTGATGTAATTAAAAATGTCGAGAAATCAGACGATGAAGACGGAGGCTGACGTGGCGACGACCAGTCGTTGTGGCTGGAAGTCGATCGCAAGCATGTTTGAGCGAGTGGGTAGGGTGGAAGACTGTAATGTAGAGAAAGGGAAAGAGGGGGGGGGGAAAGAAAAAGGAGGAAAACTAACCTAAAGACTATGGCGTGGCAACAATGTTCTCCCCGTTGGCTCGGAATCGATGCCACAGACGAAGCGACGCTGGGGCGAAAAGAAAAACCTAACGTTGGAGGAACATGACCTTTCGTAGCCAGAAGTTGCCGCGCCGATGTTTCCGCTCGGCCACGTTTGGCCGGCTCGGCCTTGGATGTTTGTTTTGTCTCCTTTTTCTTCTACGACTCCCCCACTCCCACATGCAGTCGCTGACGACAGCCTCAATCTACGGGGTCCCACCGGTCGTCGGCGCTATGTTTTGTACTCCGCATTCCCTCCTTTGGCCGTTGCCCTCTACGTTGTGGCTGGACAACCTCCCTGCGCTCCCTGGTCTCGGGAGAAAACCGAGTTCTCGGCCTTATTGAGACAGCGGTTCTTCTTCGTCTTCATCAGACCCATTCCCTTTTAATACTCTAGTCTTTCTAAACAGCCCACGGTTTTTTTTTTCTTTCTTTCTTTTTTCTCTTTCTTTCTTTCTTTTTTCTCTTTCTTTCTTTTTTTTCTTTCTTTCTTTTCTTTCTTTCTTTCTTTTCTTTCTTTCTTTTTTTTATTTTTTATTTTAATTTTTTTTATTCTTGTTTTCTTCCTCTATTTTAGCCTTCTTTTCTTATTCGTTTGTACCCTAGCCGATTCTTTCCACAGAACCCTGGAAGTAATCAGGCGATACTCCTGAGTCCTGACTGACCAAATTTCCCGTCAATCCTACAGATCAACGCTTAACCTACGAGACAATTCGGCGAAGATTAATTTTCCTTTAATACGTGTGATCCTCGCGCCGCCATTTAACCCGAGACGCGAACTACCAGCGAGACCTCGACGAATCGTCGCCATGTCTCAAGACAATGGCAACTCCGACTCCCTAGCCAAAGGCTACAGCGCGCGTGCCACGAAATCACAGCGCTGGCGCCGGTTAATCCTCATAATCGCCACAGTCGTGGCGGTCGTCGGCCTTGCCCTCGGCCTTGGCCTTGGTTTAGGACTTCGCAAGGGCGATGAGGACGACGACGATACTAGCGACCTCGGCGAGCCTGACAAGGGCGTCGACCGAACCGTCAAGTGGGCGCCTGCCGTCGGCGATATGTGGCAGATTCTCCTCCTTAAACCTATCGATCTCTCGACAAGCCTTGAGCCTAATGTGTCCATATATGACTTGGACCTGTTCGACAACGATGCCGAGGTCTTCCAGGAGCTCCACAATAAGGGCAAGAAGGTTATCTGCTATTTTAGTGCAGGTTCTTGGGAAATCTGGAGGGATGATGAGGACCAGTTTGACGACAGCGACCTTGGTAAGCCACTTGATGGGTGGCCTGGTGAGAAGTGGCTAAAGCTGGGCAGTAATAATGTAGGCTCCATTATGGCAGAGAGGGTCAAGCTAGCTAGCGATAAGGGTTGCGACGCAATTGACCCTGATAATGTTTGATAGATTTGTAAGTTTCATCTATCCTACCTGATTATCCTTCCTCCTATCCCCTATATCGTTTTCCTCAGCTTTAAGGAAATGCTTCTCTGTCAACGAGCAATGTGGCGAGAATGAGGAGTGTGACAACTTTGAGAAATTTGTTGAGAATAACAAGCCTGTCTTCCATATTGAGTACCCTAAGGAAGACCTCAATGATGTGTCTCAGCTTGCCGCTGTTTCTAAAAGAGGTGTACATGTGCATCTCAATTTAGCACGGTGCTGAAGAATGTAAACCTTGACGGGTGGGTAGAAGATTCAATGGACAGACGTACAACACCGCCATGGATGCCTAGCGACACTTCTATACTCCTTACACTCTTTTTATAATCTACTCTATTTTCCTTGTTAAAATATATGTTAGAATTACTAGAATTGTTATATGGAAAAAGCATAAAATATATCCTTACATTAATAAGACCGACTAATGCGACCTGGTCGCAACATTATATATAAATGAAATAGAAATACATAGTGAGAAGTTAAGGGCCTATACATTTTCTCTACTCTAACGTATCTCTTCATATCGAAATGAGATCACGAATGGGCGGTTAGGTTAAACACAACCGAGCAATGTTAGACACGGCAGAGACGACCGTTCTGGGTAGGGAGACCCGGGTACTGGCCTTCAATGTACCACTCATCGCTGCCAACAGCCAAGTTGGCGTAAAAGAGACCCGTAGGATCAATCTTCTTTTTGAGCGCGAGGAGCCTAGCGTACTTCTCCGTACCATAGAACGACTGCTTGAAGTTGGGTTCCGTCACGTCGCTCTCGCTGGCGTAGGCTCCCGAGTTAGGGGCCGCGTCGCGCCAGGGCTGCATCCAGTTGTTGGTCATGTCCGCGCTGAGCTGGGCCACATCGGAGAGAGGGAGGCCTTCTTCCCAATTGCGTACCGCGATAGCGAACATAGCGGTGTCGCGCCAGGCAGGGTTCACAGCGTTGTCGGGGAAGGGACCGGGGCCGCCAGTGATGCCGAAGCCAATGACCTGACCGCCGCGGTCGACGACGGACTTGATGGCGTTTACGGTCGTGTTGAACTTGGTGGCGTCGACAAAGTTTTCGCTAAGAGAAGTTTGTTAGATACGGCGTCGCCTTCTGACCCTAGTTCCCCGTGAGGAAAAAGACTTACGTAGGGAAAAGACGGGCGGCAGTTTTGGCAGCGGTACCACCAACGAGTTCTTGAGGGAAACCGGCAGACCAGGCGTTATAGAAACTGTTGTGCTCAGAGTACTCGGGGGTGATATCGATGCCGAGCGCGGCAAGTTTCGACAGAAGAGGAGACAGAAGGTCCTGGAGCTGGGCGACTGTCATGCCGGGAGCCCACCAAGGGAGCATGGTGAAAGTGACGTCGTTGACACCGGGGCCGGTGTGCCAGATATTCCAGTACTCGTAGTTGAACTTGGCGTTGTACGTGGGGATGGACTCCCAGTAGGCGCGGACGCCCTCCCAAAAGGTCTCGTAGCTAACGGTGGCGCTGGTGGCGAAAGAGAACTTGGCGATCGAGACGACGTCGAGCTTAGGGAAGGCCTTGACAGTGTACGAGGTCGCGACGCCGAAGGTGCTGCCACCACCGCCTCGCATGGCCCAGAAGACCTCCGTGTTCTTCGTCTCGCTGGCGGTGATGTAGCGGCCATCGGGTAGGACGACATCAATGCTCAGAATATGGTCGGCTGCAATACCGTACATGGGAGACATGGGAGAGTGACCACCACCTGCGATGTAGCCGCCAGCAAAGCCAACAGACATGCCCTCGCCGCCAACAGCGGTTACGCCATACTCCTCAGCAGCCTTGTAGAGCTCAATACCAATAACGCCGGCACCAACCTTGAGAGCGGGACCAGAGTAGGACTGGGAGTTGTACTTCTTGATAAAGTCAATGCTCTTGAACTCGCTAGTCCAGACGGAAAGAGCACCGGCGCCAACCGAACGACCATTGAAATCGTGGCCAGTGTTTTTCACGACCAGACGCAGGTTCAGGTTGCGGGCAAAGTTGACGGCCAGCTGGATGTGAGCGACGTTGTTCGCTTTGACGACGTAGGATGGGAAACCGCCAAGGGTGCAGGACCCATTCTTGTTGGCTGTTGGCATGCAGGTCAACCCCTGGTACAGGGGTGACATGACAGAAGTCGGATCCGCCTCGCTAATGTTGGAGGAAGCATGTCAGTCAGCGCATTCGTGCGGTCGAGGTTGTATTGAGGGTGGCGATTCGCAAAGAAAAAGTGGGGGTCTTGGACACGTGGGGAGAAGTTGAGAGGACAACTGTGATGTGCGGAAATTGGATTGGACAAGGGGAGAGGGAGCAAGGGTCGAAGCAAGGATCATGGTTTTTTTTTGGACAGGATAAGAAGCACCTCGGGGAACCGGATAGAACTGAATTTGAAAAGAGAGAAAGAGAAAAGAAAGAAGAAAAGAAAAGAAAATGAAAGGCAAAATAAAAGTGACAACTTACTGGAGATACGAGTTGGTCCAATTATCCGTGATGGACGCGCACTTGGCAGCATTGTACACTCCGAAGTCGTCATAGCACGATGCGCCAATGGGGACGGATTTGATGACACGGCCACCTGTGAGCAGATCTAAGACAGTCCAGGTAATCGGGTGCGGCCAAAGGGCATCACCGGGGAAGGTCTTGCACTTGGGCGTCGCCCGTTTGTTCTTGCTGGACGCAGTGGCGACCTCGCTCGCGTCGTCACCGCTGCCAAAGGTGAAGAGGTCGATATCTGTGAGAGCGAGGTCCGTCAGGTTGGCCAGGATGGCATCCGTGAGCTGCACAGATTCTTCAGGTAAGAGATCACCCGCTACCACCTCTTCAGCTGGCGCGACCGTGTCTTCGTTGGCCTCTTGTAATAATTTATTTTCGTCAGCGGGACGGGATCGACAAGTTTTGGGGCAAGAAAAATCCAGGTTGCGTGCCTGTATTCCCAAATATCCGGGAATGTGCCATGCACGAAGCATGTACAGATCCACGTGCGACGGGGAATTTAACAGGATCGAATGACCAGAGAGGAACGCCACCAAACCGCAAATTACTACTTACCGACTTCGGCTCCATCGACAACGATTGTCTGGCCCGCCACCATAGAGCTGAGCTTCAAGCCGGCGGCCAGGAGAAGGAGTCTGCGAGACATGGCTGGCACAAACAGGTAGACTGGGGTTGTTATTCCGTACTGAACTAGATAAACAATAAGCCCCTAAAAAGAACGTCGGGGATCGCAGGACAGAACAGAACAAAGGAACGATAAAAAAAATTAAAAGAACGGGGACCACTTTATATCTTTACAGAAGAAACATAACTTATCCACTCCCAACTTACCAGCTCCCCAGGGTTACGTGCCAATCTCCCGCGATGGAAAGAGGAGTCCTTTCTTACGAAGCACGTTGGGATGATTACGACAGCGAGCCTGCAGGAATGCGTGGGGCGAGTGATGTCTTCTCTGTTAGATTAAGCTTGGGAGCTGGGGTTTCAAGGGGGCGGGAAGAACCAGACGGGACCCGCTGGAGCACAACTTGAATGCGGTGATCCACTAACTCATGGCCAGCCTAGCGTATAAAAGATCGGAGAGAAAGCATGCTTGACAGGAGCTTAGGACCGGATGAAACTCTGGCATTTCCGCTCTACTACATTACCTCTTTACTTGCCGCATTCTTGAGGTTAACTTCGCACAAAATCCTACGTCGACGACGAGCATCCTGGTATCGGCATGGCATGCCCCAACGATGTGGAAGCGCCGGAGTTGGTGTCCTTTTCAGCCCCAGGAAAGTCAATAAGCCCAGTCCCTTGCAGTTTTTCTAGAAACCCGCTGGAACTTCGCGAGAAGCAAAAGACGTGTGTGGATCATTGGACTCTGGAAATACGAATGACCAACGTTTTGCGACAGCCTTTTTTTTTTTTTTTTTTTTTTTTTTTTTTTTGGCTTTTTCTATTTCTATTTCTTTTTCCTTTGCTATCGAAGAGAGCGTCCTCAGGACCGATCCAGATCTATTCTTGGCTGATCCAGTCTTCGCTCCGAGCCTCTTCCTCCTTTCTTCCCTGGCATTATTATTCGCCTCAATCTCGCGCCCTGCTTGGCCTAGTAATTTCGCCCCAAGCACCAAAGCAGGAATAGTCTGATCAAGAGTTTTGTGTCGGGCCAACCAAGAGTGCGATGCCTGCCATTGGTGGTGGCAGACTGCACTACCTCGGTTATCGGTGCACTACGCTAGTTGTCCTCCAGATTCCCCGCGGCTCCACTCCTCTAGTCCCCCGACAAAATTGCCGATTGTGTTGTTAGTGTAAATCTCTTCCTCAGGCTTCCAGGGCTCTCCTTGCCATCAGGCCTAGTGGGGCTGGAGGCGCAGAGATTAGTTTAGATTGCAAACTATCGAAAATATGAAAGTCTAGTGCGTGTAGAGTACCATCCGGCCTCTCAGTCTAACCTGGGGAAGAGCTTAGCCTCCAGCCATTTGGGCTTCCCCCGAACAACAATGTGAGTTTTGATGTCGCGAGGAGAACGACTTAAATACCACTGGAAGCTGACCCCTCTTTCTCTTGATCGTGAAGTACTGAGGCATATGCATGTACAAGGAATCCCCTAAGACACACACACACACTCCATGGAATCCTCCCCGAAAAGCCCAAAATGGGATTAACGCAATGAGCCCCCCTTTACGAAGTACGAAGTAAATGTACCGGTCATTCAATGCTGCATGATTATGCTTCGCCTTATTGATCTATGTTGCCAGGGGTCCCCAGCGTTCCAAGTCAGGTTGGTAGGTCGGTATGTCATCTCTCGCCTGGACATTGAGGGGAGGAGCTAGCCAAAGCTTCTCTTTGGAGAAACTCTGGGCGGAAGCCATTTGAAGAAAAAGCCGATGTATTACCAGTAACGTACGAGTACCTTTGTACGCTGCCATCAAACGTTTAATACATCTCCCATCTCTAAGGCCAATGGGCCGGGGTAGTAATAGATCTTGGCCAATCCAAGTCTAAATGAGGTGACTCTTGAGCCCAAACGTTCCATTGCCCCCCTTCATTTTCCCCAAGCTCTAGATTTCAATTTCAGCCTTTCGAAACCGGTGTGGAGGGTAGGGAGGACGGAGGGGGCAAAATATGCAAAATACTCCAACGCTAGGGTCCTACCAGGACCGCACTGCACACACACACGCGGAGGCACACACACCCGCATCCCCTGTTTTCTTACCTGTCTTGATCCCTACTTATTCGGTTCGACCTGGCTGTTAAGTGTACCGCCCGGCTGGAGTCTAAAACCCTCACCTTCCCCATATCGTCCTTGCTTTTCATCGATGCAGATCTTTCCCTCCCCATTTCCCCACGGCCCGATGTAAGGCTCTGGGCGATCCACTCCTTTGCTTAACTTGGGGTTTTCGAGGAACACTCCAAGCCAAAAATGTCCACCGACGCTGGCGGTTCGGCCATGAGCCGTCGCTATCTGCCAGTGAGCTCGTTACCGACGACGTCTCTCCAGCAGTCAGCCGTGGCCGTCATCTTCACATTTAACTCGCTTGCTCTCGTCACCTACCTCCTGCGTATTTACTCCAGGATCATCACGAAGCAAGTGGGCATCGGTTAGCGCTTCCACCATCTTTTTTTCAACTTTTCTCTACCTCCCCTCTACATGACTCCCTAGAGTCGGTCATGAAGACTCCATTCTAATATTTCCTCATAGATGACTATTTCGTCACGGCTGCTATGGTATGGGGAAACCATGAGGATTCAAACCCTTTGTTCAACGCCACCAATTTATGGCCACGGTCCCTGACGATGAACGCTGATTATTTCTCGACATGATTTTAGGTATTTTCCATAGGATTATTAGTTCCGACGTACATGTGTAAGTTCGCTCGTATAGATATTACCTTGGTCTTTTCACTTCTCCGCATAGTCTCGAGCTTGGCTGGGAAGAGGTAGCAATCGCTAACTTCCATCTCTGACAGTTTTCCGATACGAGTTTATCGGCTTCCCGACGTCAGAGGTGCCGGAGAGCATCTATGATATAGAGCCTATGCTGTTCTGGAACTGGATTATGCAGGTCCTCTACAACCCCATTCTAGCCATGGTCAAGTCGTCCATCCTGTTCTTCTTGCTCCGGCTCGGAGGTCAACGCCGCAGCATCAGGTGGTCGATCCATGCCCTCAACATCTTCAACTTGGTCATGATGGTTGCTGTCTTCCTCACGGTCATATTCCAGACGATGCCAGTCCGCGCCTACTGGGATCTGAGTATCACCCCGAAGTATAAAATCGACGGTCCTGCCTTCTACGTGAGCACGGCCATCATCACCATTGTCACCGATTTCCTCGTTCTCCTTCTACCCTTCTGGATTTTCTTAGGCTTAAAAATGCGCCTGGCTGCAAAGCTTGGTGTAATTTTGATTTTCATGACTGGTGGGGTGTGAGTAAATATTGTCCTTCCCCCCCGCCACCTAGCTGGGAGCTTGCTTATCGGGAGGACCCTTGAGGAACGCGCAGGCTAACCATTAGGAAACACAGTGTCACGGCCATCGGCATTGTTCGAGTACACGAGCTGCGCAAGAAATTCTACAACATCCAGCCTGGATACGATTCCCGAGATGGCATTGGAGATACCCTCAGTACCGTCGAGACCTGTCTAGCTATCATCTGCGCCTGTGCCCCCGCGATGCGACCTCTCTTCAGGCGATGGCTCCCTGGCCTCTTCACCAACGATTCAAGCCGAGAACGCTACGGTTACAACAACACCAGTGGAGCCCACACCGGCTATGGAACTGGCTCCCGATCGCGGGCGCGGCATACCAAGACTGGGAGCATACATGACATTGCCCTGGACAACATTAAGCGGTCCGGTCATGCTGACATCCATGGTCATTCGCCCAGCGGCAGCGAGGAGGAAATCATAACGTATAATAGTATTGTTAGGACTACTAATGTAAGTTTGTTTTCTGCGACGCTTGGTGTGAAGATTATGCTAATGGCCGCCGTTTTAGATACAGGTTTCTTATAATGAAACTTCCGAGGCAGAGGCGGTAAATCAACGAAGCAAGTACGATGGGGGTTTAGGGGCTATTGATTTTGAGACTCGGGCCCAGTCCTCTAAGAGTCCGGTTTAAAACCTTAAATTATCCTATGAAATAATTAAAAAAATCTTGGATATTAGAAAGACCAGACACACAATTACTCTCTCTGTACCATTGGTATTCAATTTAAACGATCTATAATATAAAAGAACCTGGTATGAACCTAACGAGACAGATCAACGGAGCCTCGAACACAACATCACGCATCTGCGAGAAACTCGACAGACCTCCCACGAAGCCGCCTCAACGTCTCCGCAGGAACTAGTAGACGTCGCTTTCCTTGATCAACGGAATTCAACTGCGGCAACACACGGTGGGAGCCTCTGTCTGTGGAAAGGACCTGAAGAGGTTGGTGCCACAACATGGGATGTAAGACCCCTCCAGATAAAGAGTAATAAACAAAATGTCGGGTCACAATCGCACAATATGGGAACTGGCGACAAAAGAACTTTATTGCGATGGCGGAGATCATTGAGGAACGACCGAGAAATCTCAAAGGGGAAGGAAGGAAAAAAAAAAAAGAAAATGAAGGAAAAAAAAGTTAAATTGGTTGAGCAAGGAGAGCTTGTCGCCCTTGGAAGAGAAGAGATGGAAAAAGAAAAAAAAAAAAAAAAAAGCCATGACTTGGAACAACGTTTACCCGTTCCATGTCGAACCACTTTGGCTCTATCACAGTCGTGCAGATTACTTTGACCTTCCCCGCTTTCGCCTTATCTGCCTTATCTACGTAAACATCCTTTGATGATAATGTTAAGTAGACTTATTCCTCTATTGTCGCCTCCTCCCCGTTTCTCGTCTAGTGTTCGGGATCATTGCGTTGGACTAGAAGTATTATGGAGTACAAGAGCCAGGCCCCGTCGGGGCCGACCATCTCACCTCGAATTATTATCCATGGCGGCGCTGGGAATATTAGCCCAGCGACAGTGCCACCTGGAAAGTACGCCCTCTACCGTGAGGCCTTGTTAAATATTGTGCGTGCTCTATCCTAACCCACCTCAAAACAGCACCGCGACCACGCCAAGGGCTAAATGATTATCCGGTATTATAGATAGGCAAGACGCACACCCACATGACTACGCCGTCAAAGGCAACTTCTCCGTCCCCCCACTTGCCCTCGGCCCTCGAGACGGCCACGTACGCTGTAACTCTCCTCGAGGACAACCCTCTCTTCAACAGCGGTCATGGTTCCGTCTTCACGCGCGATGGCATTAATGAGCTCGAGGCAAGTGTCATGGTATCTCGCGGCTTCGCAAAGCGTGGCGTCGGAGTAACGGGACTGCGGCGAGTGCGAAACCCAATATTGCTTGCTCGGGCGATCCTGGAGCACGGTGATGCAGATCTTAGTGCGATGCGTAGAACAGATGGACCCTGTCTTGATGTCCCATCAGCACAAGGGCATTCCCTTATCCACGGCCGAACGGCGGAGATTCTCGCCGAGAGGTATCAATTACCTCTGGTGGAGCCCGAGTACTTCTTCACACAGACCCGGTGGGATGAGCACTTGCGCGCCTTAAAAGACGAGAGAAACGGTAAAGCCCTTGATGCTACATGGAGCTGTGATAGCTACTTGCCTCAGGGTACAGTGGGTGCGGTGGCACTCGATGCCGACGGCATAGTCTGCGCGGCTACAAGTACGGGAGGAATGACGAATAAGCTGACAGGAAGGATTGGTGACACACCCATGGTAGGAGCCGGCTTCTGGGCCGAAGAGTGGATAGATGGCCGAGGCTTCGCCAGAGATATGTGGCCAGACAGGACGCGGAGGGGTCATGGACCTATTGTCATGCTTTCGGAGTCGCTAAAGGGCCTCATGGCTGACTGTCTTCCCACCCCGTTCATGTACAACCCCGTCCCTCCAGGAGATGGCGACGCCTCCCCTCTTATCACAACTCGCTCTATAGCGGTGTCGGGCACTGGTAATGGCGATTCGTTTATTCGCGTAGCTGCTGCGCGCACAGCTTCGGCCATTGCGCGATATTCTGGGGTATCCTCAACCAACGCAGTGCATAGGGTAGCCGGCCCTGGTGGCGAGCTGCAGAAGAGCGCCGGTAATCGATGGGGTATTACAGGAGAAGGCCAGGGCGGTATGATCGCTATCGGCTGCACTGTCGTTGGAGACCCGGAGGGAAATGCTATTGCGGCCAGAGGAGAGATTATAGAAGACTTCAACTCAGGCGGAATGTTTCGCGCATGGATCGACGAGGATGGCCGCGCTGTGGCGAGAGTCTTTCGGGACGATGTGCCTGTTTCAGACTGTTAAATCGGCGAGGGTAAGGCAGAGACTTTTGAGGGTTGGTGCCCGAAAAAGATTGATTGTTTAGAAGGAACTCTTTCTCTTATACTCGTGCCACAGGTGGTCACCTGCTTGCAGAGTGCACATTCTCGTGCGGCTAGTGGACGCTTCGACCATGTATCTTCTCCAATAGCGGATATATAATCATGGGCCATCCTCTCTATGTATATTGGAGTTGGGCCCGTCCCCCATCAGAATTTCCTGGAGGTGGCTAAGACATATTTTGCGGGGGGTGAGTCTGGCGGTGTACTCGAAGTCTGGGTAGGGTTGCTCTACGAAGCTCGGACAGTTTGGAAATTTCGGATCCGATTGCAAGAGACGATGTTCGACCAGATAAGAGCTGTTCTCGGATCCTTGGAGTAGCAACGTCTTTCGACCAGGGAGGACCCGCAGAGAATCGGAACGAGGGGTGATGGAAGGGTAGGATTTTAAAAATAAGGTAATAGGGCGCTGGCCGATGCCGAACCCGAATCCCGTTGCTTCTTGGCTTACGCTTGGTGATGGTAGGAGGCCCTGGGGGAACCTATTAGAGATTCGGGTAATTTTCTACTCCTTACCCGTTTTAAGCTTAGGTAATGCTCTCTGCCTCTACGACTCCGGGGATTTCCTAAATGCTTGAACAAACATTCTAGCCTCAGGACGGAAGCCTTCTACCACCTGTGCGTATCCTATGTAAGATGGAGCAAGACCGCCTTCTTTTGCGACTGTCTTTACGTGATCAGCCGCGGAACCCGAACTACTTCTACTGTTGGACATGTCACAACCAAGTATAGTATAAACCGACCTGTCCGGAATTGTTTAGGTGTTCCCTTTCCGAAATTAATATAAGGACGCCCCGGAAAGTTGGACCCTCTTACTACTACTTCCGAGTACTTCTACACTGAGGAAGTGTTGCGGAAATAGAATTGTAGTACGATACCTTTCAAGTAGCTTTAGGATAGAGTAGTCTACAATTCTAATAATATAATCATACCGTGCCGCTGAAACAAATGGTACAGGCCTTCCCTCCGTGCTACCTACACTTACTACAATAATCAGCCCCGTCTAAGACGCAACCTTCTGAACAAGCCGTCAGACCTAAAGATATCCGATATAGATTGGATTCGACTAGCCCGCATGCCCTCATTATTTCTCATACTATGCTATCACTCTATATAGAGAGGTCTAATGTCCTTAGTGATTCCACCTGTGCGGCGGCCCAACTAGACGAAGCCGCGGTTGGTTTCGGAGGCTCCCCCATCTCTAACATCTCCCCTAGAATATTCTCAATTTCCACCGCCAAATATAAAAGGGCCGCTATCGCCTTGTCTATGTCAAATTCCATATCGCCCGTAACACAGCTCCGAAGCGCTGCCATACTCCGCAAGACTATCGCCTTGAATTGACGGGCGACGCGACATGCCAACTGGTCCCATTCCTTACCCATGTCAGTGCAAGCTAGCCACTCCGTAGTCTCAACGACCTTGGTTAGGGCAGCGTTGTTCTGGTCGTCAAATCTTGGCGGCCAGCCTCTGTCCCACAGTTCGGATATCTTGCGTAGGGTAAGGCTCGCGTTATTGCAGTATTCGCTGAGATTGCTGTTGACTAACAGGTTGTAAAATGAGTCTTCGCCGGCCGGCGAGGGATTCCTAGCGTGCAAGAATTGAGGATCACGGAAAATAGCGTTGTGGATATAATCCAGGAACTCAGTATATATATCCGCATAATCGGGTAAGTATTTTCTGGCACTCTGTCAGCATTGCCGCTGGTTTCAGGGAATTAATCCAAAGCTCACGGTGCTGTCTGTTCTATTTCGCTAGGATTAGTATGCGCGGGAAAAGTCAACTGCGAAACAGGTCACGCTCACCAGAGAGATACTCAGGGTGGCACGAACACCGAAGGCGAAGCTCCTTCATCCATTCCTCGTCGCACAGGGGTGTGCCACTATAAAAGGCACACGCCTGGACAACAACCAGGAAGAAAAGTTGGCGGAAAGGGCTGTACTCAGGGTGGTGGGCAAGTGCGTAGCTAGGATGGAAACCATTCACACGACGAATATTAATCCAGCTTCCATACCTATCCTTAAGTTTGATATGTGGGATGTTTGTCGGAAAGACCTTCCCCACCCCAATACTCTCGAGTTTCCACATTTCACCTTTAACACGCCAACAGCTCTTCGGCATCCTTATTTTTCCTGCACAGAGAACGACGTCTGGTTTTTTGGCGCCGATGGCGAACTGGGATAATTCGAAGATTCTCTGTTTTTCGTCGTCGCTCATATGGTTCCAGTCCTCTTCGGTCGTATAAGGAAGCAGATCAATCACTGAGATATCCCTTAAGAGGTTCAGGCTACCCCGGGACACTGCGTGGAAGACCTCACAGAGGGCTTTGAGAGTGGGACAGTCCTCAATAACATTCTCAGTGCCTAATTTGAAGGGATGGTCCGGACGAGGCTGCTGTAAAGCAACGAGGATACCACCGACCGTGGACGGTTGAATTAAGTCTGTCGTCACGGCTATCTCGTCCTGAGGGCGGCCTAATTCGACGCCTCCGGAGCTAAGAATGGACACGTGCTCCCCCTGTGCGCTATTCGGAACCGGTTGGGCCGGCTTGAAGAGCCGCCTGATTCGGAGGTCGAGAGCAACATCTAGACATACCGTTTCGCTCTGTTTGTTCTGTATACGGCGACGTTCATTTCCAAGATCGGTCGTTCGGACTATGTATGGTGTGTATAAAAAGCTTCAAAGAACTGCCGCATCGCAGGCCATCACTCGCGCCATGTTTAACAGCCTTGGTGCCTAACTATGGTAACATCCTCCCAGATGTACGCCGTGAAGTACCAAGTGTGAGAACCTCGCAATAGACACTGTAAGGGGTAGATTTTCTCGTTTAAAAACATTTGTCAAGTAGAAACCCGATTTCGCTCCTAGCTAAGAGCGAAATTGGGGTCCTCTTCAACTCTCTCTAAGATTTAAAGCACGAACCAACCAGTACTTAAGAGTTCGCGCAAATAAAAACAATAAGCCAAAAGTGGCTAACACGGCCCGCAAATTGAAAAAAAGCTATACGCGAGTTAGGTATCTTAGTGTTAGGTAAATAGAGCTTATGTAAGCGGTGCGCACAGTGTCATAAGTGTGTCGGAATGCGTGGACAAGCTCTATCTGCTAGGTTTTACCGCCTTCCAATTCGGTCAGAGCTCGCCCCACTGTTAGTATAGAAAAGATAATAGCCTCTCCCGCCGAATCCTTCAATCAATCACCACGCCCGCCAGACGATGCAGAACTTTTGCTTTCGGCGTCTTACAGGACAGGGACAAGACGGAACTCTGTTGATTGACGTAATCATTGATAAGAGTTTATATTTATTTGAACCTGGCGGAAATATTGAGCTGATTCTCCGCAAATCGAGCGCGTCATTTAGGATCTGGTCCGAGGACGAGCCTCTTCCCGGAGTCAGGGAAGCAAAATGGAAGCCAGTCAATTCTTCGTTTGAAGACCTTAATCCCGCAAATCCCAAGGGGTTCAGATTCAGGACGGCGACTTCACCCGCCTTCGGAGCTGAAGAAGCACCTGCCGAAGAGGCACCTGCCGAAGCACTCGCCGAAGCATTGACACAGCTGCTCAACCAAACAATCTTGGCCTTTTTTTTTTTTTTTAAATTTAAAAAAAAAAAAAAAAAAAGTTCATGGTTTGTTCAAATTCCGAAACAGTGCTGCCGTTATTGAACTAGTACTGGCTGTTCCTATACTATAGATCTTCGCCGAAAACGTCCCAGGGATCATTGACACTCGAGGTGGCCGGTTGCTTCGACCACTCGTTCTCTCTCCAAATCCAGTCGTCGAACTCCATCCCATCCGTTTCTTGAGGAGGGGGACTGATCCCTTGTGGGGAATCTAGACAGGTTTCGTAGAGCCAATGCTGGGCAGGTCGGTCGGCCAACAGCTTTAGTCTCGCCGACTCCGGGCTGTCCTTGCCCTCAATAATGACCCTGGCGGCATATGATCTCTCAGCGAAGATCTTCGCTCTCGCCTCATCCCCGTTCGCGATTGCGATTTGAAATGCATCGTAGTACGCCCTCGGGACACCCGCATCCCAGACGCCTTCCTCTTCAAGCAACCGAAGCATAGTACGCACGAGATGAAGTCCCGCGTCGTAATCGGAGGTAGTCTCGTCCAAATCGCCAAGAGCGTCGTCGATGGATTGGATCTTTCTCAGCCTGAGATCACTCTCCTCACGCTGGGCTAGCGGGAGCATGCAGAGATCGCACCTGCAGTCGAAATAGAACTTTTCCTTCAAGAACCTTTGACGCTCTGCATGTTCCATCCTGCGGCTCAGGTATGAGATGGTAATTTCCTGCCCTTCTTCGATATCAGAGAGCGCGTGGATGGTGAGACGTCCGATGTTTGCATTCCATGTATTTTGCGCATTATGCCGGCAAGAGTGATTGATGCGAGATGCCCCGAGGAAAAGGCCGCCTTCACGGGCTTCGGAACCGAGGGGTAGAACGTTCGTCCTGGCAATACCAAGGAATGGGCTATGATCCCTTCCATAAGCATTGTGAAGAGCAAAGAATGCCCGCTGATGGTCCCTGTCTAAGCTCTTCAATGCTCTGACGATATGGCCATCCACAACCTGGCGGTCAGGTTCGTCGCGAGGGACCTTGAATATGGGTGCCTCGGAAAGTATACGTGTGCCTTTGTGAATTTTTGAGGTAGCAATCAGGCCTTCCCCCTTACCGGGGATCGGATCTGATGGCGTATACATTTCCCTCCACATCGATTCGGAGTTGGTCGAGAGCAGATCCCGAGGAACCGTAGTCTTGCACTAAGTTTGAGGCTTGGGGTGGGTTCGCGGCGCATGGTTGCTCGAGGCCAGTCGCTGTAGTGTCTAGGGGCGTCGACTTCGTCTCTCCTCGCTCCTCCCAGGCGCGATTTGTTAGGTCCAATTCTCGTCCTGTTTCCAGCACTCTAAGCTTTTTACTCGCATCGTGTACTTCCCGCCAATCATAATAGCCCCATTGCCGCTCATCACCGGTTTCATTCATCTCATGCCAGAAATGGACTCTGCTGCCAAAGTACTTCCTCGCAATCTTGTGCACGCTTCTGATATACGGTTCAGCAGGGGTTGTCAGACGCCCGCTAATCTTTGAGCTAAATCGGAGGAAGTAGTCGCATCGGTCGGGGTTGCTTGGCATGTGCGGACACTCGCCGACCATGAACCAAACGTAAACTTTGTCGCAGTGGTCGGAATCTGTCGGCATATCTAGAACTTTACCATCCGCCCGTCTTCCTTCCTTGTCGTAGACGTCTCCATATGTGCGTATGATTTCGTCAAGAAATCGTCGGTAGGTCTCTTTATTTACGGCAGTCGCTTCCAGGCGTGGGTAAATGTCGAAGCCACAGTCGAAACCCATCGTGAAGGGAGAGCATTTGCGGACAGCTCAGATGTTTAGGAGAGAGCGGCATCAGACGCAAGAGATAGGAAGATCGTAGGCATGGAGCGCAAGGTTAATGTCGTCGCGGAGCGGGGTCGACCTCGTGGCTGGCATTCAGTGGACGGAACGGCAGCAGGTCCGGATGAAGTGCTAACATATGACTTTTTCCAGCATGATGTTATTGTAGTGCTCTAAGTGCTCACTTAACAATTCAAGTCGACGCACGGGCCACAAGAGCTGTTTCTGACTCGTGCCAACCCGCACAAGCTCTCTACCGACCCATGCAAGGTCCCTCGGAGCATGCCCAAAGCGTTCTTTTGTGTGCTGTACGGAGTAGGACCAGCAACCCGCCACAGATTCAAAATGTCGCAAGCATGAAGGGCGCTGTCGGTCACTGAGGTCTTGGAGGCGATTTTCCTCTATGTCGATTTCTATTCTCTCTTGACCTCTGCCCCACTGGTGTGCCGCAACTGGCACACTCTCATCAGTACGACGCCATCCGTGCAGAGAGCCCTGTATATTCAGCCAGAAATTCCTTCCTTACCGCACGGAAGACGGATGAATTCGTTGCTTCAGACGCTGTCCCCACCTTGGTTCGAATCACATAACCTATACGATTGCGAGTCATTTGAGGCCCTACCTTTACATCATTCAGGCTCTATAAGCGAAAATCCATTTCGAAGGCCTAGCGTGAGCTGGCGAAGGATGATGATCTCCCAGCCACCTATCCAGAAACTGGGGACCTACACGGAATACGAGTCATTTCCTCTCACGTCAAGCCATAGCGAAGTGGAGGCCTACGTATCCAGCAGTATGGGAGATTCAAGCCATAATGACGTTTGGATTGCGCATGGGTATATATTACGACATCGTGCATGCGCACTTCAAACAACAAAAGAGCTCGCAATTCTTCGTGGTTTGGATTACTGATAGGATGTTGCATGAAGAATTCCTAGAGCAGGTTGGGCCGATGTTTCATGATATGCAAGAGAACGTGGATAACATGTTCAATTCTGGAGCTGAAGTCATGATACAGCTGTTCTGTCTAGATTGCTATTGTTAGCTGGTCTCTGTAATAGATAGAATTTGGACGTTGAGCCTGGTCGCCACTGTATTGTAATTTCGGTCCATACTGATGCACCCTGTGGAGAACGAGTAGTACTTTATTTTGAAGATCCCTGATAGGAAGAGAGTAGTAGACCTCGCAGGGCCTGGCCTCTCGGGTATTTGGTCTCTGTTAGCCAAGTGCCGTACCTTTTAAATTTAGAACTAATATATACTCTTTATTATAAATTACCCTGCTAGAACTTAAGCTCTGCTTCCTCGTCTTTTGTCGTCCTTCTCTGAGGTGACGTAGCAGTACTCGTTGCCGATCTGGCGCCACCAGCAGCCTAGGGCTCGCCTGACGATGCAACTAGACTGACGGGGTTCAAGTGTAGCGAGACCGCTGTTAACGTTCTCGCTGAAACGAGGAAGGGCACTGCACGCCGCAGCGAGGAAAGAAACAATAGTATAGAACTTCATATTGAAGAAATAGCTTACTATGAGATGGGAAAATCAATGCACGTCCTGAGAGGATGGAAACGGCTCTGTAGAGATACGATGGTTAGCGTCGCTTGTTGAGAAACCAGCCGAAAGACGAGCGAGAACTTCGTTTTTGTAGTCTGTGTCCACGATCTGGTCCGAGATTAGTAAATAGGATGGGAAAGCAAAGGAAGGGGGAAAAATTTAACATTCCCTTTTCCCCTGTTTCTATTGATGTTCATAACCTATCCCTTCCCATATCGCCCCCGCCTGCGCATCCTAATCAACCGCGCCTCAGAGAAGCGGATGACTGAGCCTATGGGAAATACAACGATGGAATTGGAGAACTTTTGTTTGCTCTTTGAATGCGTCAGAATCCGAGAGGATGTAAAGTGACGGGATGTTTGACGGTGCACCTTTGCGGGACAGATTCGCGAGACCAGCCAACCATTCAGTCAAAAGCCTTGGAGGGTGGGTGACACGACCCATATATATATTCAATAAATGAGAAGTGAGCCTAGCCTCTTTATTGGCAAGGTTGAACTGTTAGATCTAAGGGCCAGAGACTCAATGTTGGCGTTTTCAAGCCCCTGAGTCTAGATTGAAATGGTGCCACTACTGCTGCTAACACCCTCTTTCCCCAGATGGATCACCGACGCCGCTCCGGAATCCAATTCAGATATGGGATAAGAAGCCTTACATTCGATAATATGTAATCAGGTGTTAGGTAACGATTCCACTAACTTAACAGGGCACTGTGGGGTATCGTGTTGGCCTGCACGCCTGACGAGCTGTGCGTTGGCAGCTCGCGTCTCAATAATTCTTATTAGGAGTGATGATAATATCGGATATCGGGTGGAGTATGACCCGTGGACATTGAGGCCGCCGAGACTGGGTCAGATACTAATTCTAGGTAATCTGCCGAGCCTGAATTCAGATACATTCCTCCAACAGAGGAGCTCCCAATCCTAATGGGAACTCTGTGAATCATAATTTCGAACCTGCCTGATACATAGACAATTCCTGTCTTACGGCAAGGTCGGAGAGGATCTCCTCGCTTCCACCGCCGACAACCTAAATTTACGTTATTAGCGCCAGACTTCAAGCGAGGATAACCGCTACGTACCAGCATCCGCAAGTCACGGCTTATCTGCTCCACTGTCGCCCCCCGCCCTCCCTTTTGATATCCAGCACCGCCAAAAACTTGTTGAGCTTCTCTTGCCGCTAACTCGACCATCTGTCCTCCTTGCACCTTTGCTAGGGCGATCTGGCTAGCGATGTCCGGAGACTGCCATCCCAAGGCCGACGAGTTGACCTGGAAAGCAATCTGCTCCAAAAACGCCCAATGAGACTCGACTCTGTAGGCGAGTTCGGCGAATTTCCGCCTGATCACCTGGTTGTGCATAAGCGGCTTCCCAAATGTCGTGCGGTCCAGGGCATACGAGAATGACATCGAAAGACATGTCCGGCTCTTTCGGTTACACTGGATGGCTAGAACGTATCTCTCCTTGTTGAAATTTCTCATAATGATTCCGAATCCTTCATTCTCCTTGCCGATCCTGTTCTCGATTGGTACTCTGACATTCTCAAGATCAACAAAACTGGACCCGCCGGCATTCTGCCCGCTGTTGTGGATCTTCCGAATATCAATTCCGGGGCTATCGAGCGGGATAACCAACACGGTAATCCCCTTCATCCCTGGACCACCAGTCCGGACAGCCGTCGTCATATGTGTAGCCCATGGAGCGCCGGTGATCCACTTCTTGGCGCCATTCACGATGTAAAACTTGCCGTCGGGGGTTTTCTCCGCCGTCGTTTGAATGCCTGCGACGTCAGAACCACCACCTGGTTCCGTTACACCCAAGCAAAAGTTTGTCCTTCTCGTAAATAGCCCTGGTAGCCATTTCTCCTTTTGCTCCTCAGTACCGTAGTTGATGACAGGAGGAGCCCCAATTACGGACGCTCCGGCCAGGGCAATGGCAACACCACCTTCGATTCGTGACATTTCATCGGTTGCAACTAGGAGGTGGAAGGCATCCCATTCGTCAGTGGGGATCCCTGCGATCTGAGGAGTATTTTTCGGACGATATTTCCCAGGCACGTCTTCGAATGGAATTCCAGATAGGCAGAAGTTCAAGGCAGCTTCGTGCGGGGCCTCGCCCTTTTCTTCCCAATCCAGTGCAAATGGGAGGATATTCTCATCGATATATTTGCGTATGCTGTCTCGCAAGCGACGGTGAGACTGGTTAAAGTAGATAGACTTGCCTGTCCGGTACCAGGCGGGCTCAGACCACGGGATCTTCACGTTGTGATCGAGCTTCGGATCTCGTGTCATGGTGTGAGGGGCTGAGGGGTCAAGCTCTCTCCTTTTGAGTGTACGGTAGGGTATGATGGACAAGAAGGCAGTGCCGGTAAATGGGATGAGGCGTCCCTAGGTGTAGTATTTTTCAATGCGCGGCAGAGGTCTGGTTGACGCGGGTGCGACCATTTATCATTATGATATTCGAAGAAATGAACCTGGTCAGCGTGCGGCTGTTTACCTCGGTGACGAGTTAATGCCAGTTTCGGTAGCCCATCACGTAATACTCGATATACATCGGACGGAATTGATGCTCCCGAGGGGAGGTGTCGAAGATAGAATTGCAACGCAAGAGTCTCCCTTTACTGCCGAGGTACGAGTAGAGAGGGGAAAAAATATCTTCGAAACCCCTCTTTATATCCTCGCCATTTTGGGGGGCATCTTCATTTGCTCGAAAGAACTTCGTTGCCACACCTAACTAGGCACACATCCCGAGGTAGGATGCGATAATATCCTCAGAGCTCAACATCAATCACTCCCTCGGTATGTTTAATATATCAGAGGTAGAACAACAAAGAGATCTTGGTAGAATATATCAAGCTCAAATCGCTGCATAGATAATCATCCAACAATATCCATTACGAAGAGGTCTCTTCAATCAATGCGGCATTATGGCTACTATTTACCAATCGTCCGTGTCACCGTTTAATGGGCTCGATCAACTCTCAATTCCTCAGTGGATCTCTCAATATAATCCCGACGCAGTTCCCGCAAACAGCGTAGTCCATAGTGATGATTTCGGTAATGACCTTATTACCTACGGCAGCTTGCGCCGCGATGCCGGTCGCATCGCCTGGGGTCTGAGGACCAAACTAGGTCTAGAGGAAGGGGACATCGTCCTCGCCTTAATACCCAATTCGGTAGCGATCCCTGACCAGATAATGAATAAGAAATTATTGCTAACCTTTGGTAAAGAATGATTTCGTATTACTCGTCCACGGAATTTGGTGGGCTGGGGCCGCTGTTGCGTAAGTGGGCTCTTCTTCCCCACTTTGGCGTGAAGCACATATTCTGATGCTCAATAGTCCACTCAACACCGCGGCTACGCAGTCTGATATTGAACATGTCATCGGATTGGTTAAACCGACTCATATAGTGGTGTCCACGGCCGTATCTAAATTAGACGCAGTGCAGGCTGCCGTCAAAACTCTCAAATCCAACAAACCGAAAATCTTCACAACCCATGGACGAGTTGGCAGTCTGCCTCAGGTAAGTGGAGATGGTGTTCGAGAGGAGGAGAGGGAGAACTTTGAGACTAATATAGTGTGGGGCAGTTTCCCGTGGACATAATCGGCTCCTGCGACTCGGAAAGTCTACCTCCATTTGACCTTTCCGGTAAGAGCGGTAGGGATGTGCTAAGTGCGGTTTGCTTCTCTTCTGGAACAACGGGGAAGATGAAGGGTGTCAAACTCTCTCATTTCAACCTCATCGTGAATGCACATCAAATACGCCTCGCGCTTCCGAACTGCTTATCCTCAAATGTGCGGGAGGTTTGGTTTCCACCTTGTGAGTAGAGTCCCTTTCTCGACGGAATGGGCCTGTGTTGCTGACCTTAGTCCGGCAATGCATAGACTGTCATATATACGGATTTTGGGCCATAGTAGTCGCTGGCATGTGGGTCGGAGGTCGCTATCACGGACTCCGAGAATTCAACCTCGAGCGCTACTGTGAACGAGCGAGTGAATTGAAGGCAACCGATATGCATATCGTTCCTCCAGTAGCGTTACTGCTGTCTGCTTCCCCAGCTTCACAGAAGTTCGACCTGACGTCTATAAAACGGATTGTTGTAGCTGCTGCTCCATTGAAGGTAAAAAAAGTCGTAGCCGTGGTTGCTCATGTATCCTGCAACTAACCTCCTGTGGATCATAGCCCGAGCTTCAGAGGAGGTTGAAACAGAGGTTTCCTCAAGCAAGTGTCTGCCAAGGTTGGATAACCCATCGCGGCATACTGCGTTACTAGTAAATACTGATCAAGATCTAGGCTACGGACTCACTGAGTGCTCTCCAGGGGTCGCGCATCAATTTCAGCATGATGAAGCCCAGGTCGGAACTGTCGGCAGGATCCTCCCTGGAACGTAAGCATACGAGCCCTCCGCTGTAGCATCTCTTAGCTTTGGGATAAGCTAACCTAAAAGCCATAGGGAACTGAGACTCGTCCACCCAGAGATACTAAAGGATGTAGCTCAGGGCGAAGAAGGCGAGCTATGGATTCGCGGACCGCAAGTAATGATGTATGAATTTCATGATACTTCCGGGATAATGAATAATAATGCTGATAAATGTCGAACACAGGGGTTATATCAACGACGAGGTGGCGACAAAGCAGTCGTTTCACGACGGTTGGCTCAGGACGGGAGACATTGGCAAGATGGAGAACGGGAATTTGTGGATTACTGACAGATTCAAAGAGGTAAGTTGAGGAAGGACAAAAACCCGATAAACGTATCATTAGATCTAACAACGCATGATGATAGATGATCAAGTATAAAGGGTAGGTTGACGACCGGTTTGTTGATGAGGATGAAATACTAACAAGCGCTGCGTAGACTTCAGGTTGCACCCTCCGAATTGGAGGATCTGCTCCTCCAGCACCCTGCCGTGACCGACGCCGCGGTTTGCTCTGTCTACGATGACGCCGAGGTTACAGAAGTTCCCCTCGCTTACGTTAGCCTCAGTCCCAAGCATGTCAATCTACCATCTGAACAGAAGGAAACTCTACTGAGGGAGATTCGGAACTGGGCGGATGCCAGGGTCGCTGGTTACAAGAAGTTGCGCGGTGGTGTTTTCCACCTGCAGGCATTGCCTAAGAACCCAACTGGAAAGATTTTGAGACGCCTTTTGCCCGTGAAGCTCCGGGAAACAAGGAGCCAAAAGTTGTAACTTGGGCATGCGTGGAGTTCCGTAGTACGTCTGCTTAGCTAGCTCCGAGATCCGGATGTTCTTCAGGTTTGAAGAATTTTTAATGTCCACGGCATCAAAAGCTTACTGCGTTTATTTCTATCCGTCTTTGAGTTAGTATCTAGTTGAGGCTGTCCTATCTGGAGGTAAGAACAACCTTGTGTATCTCGATGAGTTCTTCGGTTTAAGAATAAAGACGGGACTAGCAGGCTTGTCTTTGAGGATAACCTCCGGCACGATAGTTGATTCTGAGGCACCCTCTACGCTTAGAGCGGAAGCCTTCCTTATAATACATAGTACTCCCATTGACGCCGCGTGTTAATAGCCCTCCCCCTTCTTCAACTTTAAGAGGAGATATTATGGTCAAAATCACCCAGCAGCGGGCTAGTTGGCCTACCTAGTTCACAAATTCAACCTCTCGCGTTATCTCTAGCATGTTGCCCACTCACGCTGCACAGCCATGACAATTTCCAACGCCCGGGATCCAACATTCAAAGTTTCCGCGACCTCACCGAACACCTGGATCGAACGAAGAACATTCTGCCTGGCTTGTCTACCTTCTCTCGATTGCAATGGTGCCTCGGCAAAACTATGTACGCATATTAAGCTTGCTGCTAACATCGGATGTATGGATAGGGGATGTAGTCTGTGAAGACCATATATCTGTTTGAAGAGCTGCTGGAGGCGAGAAATTTCCTTGGCGGACTCAACACACTTGGCCAGTGAGGCACTGGACGTAGTCACCTCCCCAGAGGTTTGGCTAGGTGTGAAATTTGGCCGCCAGAGTCGATTGAGCTGAATAATAATACCATGGTAATGCATTCTAACGAGCGTTGGTGAAAGGAAGCAGGCCTTAGTCGTAGATGGGAATGACAACTTACAGGGTCTGAATAGTAAGCGCCGCTGTTCGAGGCTCCTCTTCGTTGGTATGTTCTGGACAAGACGACTTCCATTGGTCGAGTGCCAATTGTATTTGAGCTAGGTGTCCTCCTTCTGTCATCCTAAACCTGGATAAGTCGGCTAACCGAGTGTCATGTTCTAGTGGCAAGCAACTAACTCTTGTGAAAGAAGATCCCGGTGGATTAGTTCCAACGCGATGAACCGTGATTCCGCAGCTCGTTGGGGCTCTCGAAAACCGGCAGTGCCAACCTCCTCAAGCAATCCGGAAGGTAGATTCGGAGAGGTCAGATCCGAGACTCTTCCACACCAACTACGCCAGATCCTACACATTACTGCTTTTAGCTCGATTCTTCATAGTAGCGAATCCTTGGGGGTCCTTCAACATACGTGTCAAGGCAGATGACACCCTTGATGATGTCCCGCTGGAGACATCGTAGTGTATTTCTTTCTTCGGCTGGATGAAACAGAGCGTCTTCTTGATCCAATCCAAGTCCTGATATTAACCGCAGAGCCGTACCTAAAGATGACATGTTACAGAAAGTCGATCTGAGTTTGGAAGATACGGGGTACGCACCTGAGTAGAACCACCCTACACATCAATTGATACACATCAGAGTCTAAGTTCTAACAATTCCCCTAAGAGCTAGGTATCGACATACCTTGATCATCAAGCGCTTCTGCTGCACTCAGCGAGCACAAGATTATGAGCGTCAACACAGTACTAACAGAAGGAGAATCGAGTTCGGAGTTGAGCAAATCTCTCGCTCGAGAGCTAAAATCCTCTGGAAAGTCATCCGCGGTGTTTGGATCTGTCTCGGTCGAATATAATTGCCCCACGGAAAGTCTACAAAGCCATAGATCAGAAGGTGCTGTGTGTGCAGGATGATGTATTTCCTTCAGGTGACGAAGGGGGCTTACATGGCGTAACCGAGGGCGGGTGAGTAGAGGCAAGCATCTTGGCCAGATTCATATCGTGCTTTATCCCGAAGGTATAAGTTACTATCGAAGGAGGCCAGAAACAGGTTATCCCAAGTGAAAAAGCAATTAATGAGACGGCCCTCAAGTGCGCGCTTTTCTGGAGGCATCAACAGCCTGTTTAAGGATGAGGGCCGGGCTCGTTTCACGAGACGATTCCAGAGAGTTGAGGAGCCACGGAGAAGATGGAGGTAACTTGTTGGCCCAAAATAACTTCTTTGTCCATCGGGTGTAACTTGAAATGCTCCCGCTCGACTGGCTAAACTGGGAGTTGCCCTTGCCGGTGGCGACACTAGTCTCGGTGTGCTCATGGGGCTGTGGGTTGTCGGTGACGCTCCGGGCCCTCCCTCGTAGGTAGTATTAACACGGGAGTGAGCAGCCGACGGTGGAAGAGTCGAACCGACGGGAGGAACCGACTCTCCCATGTCCGTATCCTGAACTTGATGCTCGCCATCCGGACTAGAAGCATCATTTGCTAGGCCGGATTCCTCGGCTAGTTGCATGTAATAGTCCAACCGGCTATCAAACTTGAAATACGATGCGACGCTCCCAGCCACCTCTGCTGGTGCGCCAGTTGGCGGTGACGGTGCCATGGTCCTGTATCAGTACCGGGCCGGAACGGTAGGTATAAGATTACCTGTGGCTAAACCCTCGTTGGGTGCGTGCGGCTCTGAACCTGCTTTCTGTAACCGCCCGACACGAGGACCACCTTGGAGTGTTGGTGGAGAAGAATCTCGAGTGGGATACCTCGGTAACGAGTATGATTGGAGGATTGATATGACATTGCAGATGAGGAAGTCCAAGGCGCCAATGCAGGCAGCATTTTTGTGAAGACAATGGCTGCATAATAAGCTTACCTCATCCCAATGCGGGGCGTCGCCGAGGTTTGTATTCTGATTCGTGTGTAGATGAGTGGGTTATCAAGCACCATTGGTGAAATCATCTTTGATCTACCTTCCTTGGTGACAAGAGTCCGAGAGAGGCGCATTTCAAGCTGACAGGACATTGCCTCCCAATCAGCTCTAGAAACCCGAGGTCAAGGGCCAACACAACAAGGGTGACATCCTTTTATTGAACAGACCGTCGTTCCACTTTGACGTGGCCGGTGAAAGGAAACTGGATTTCTCTGCTCCTAGCTCCCTGTAATAACGCGCCCTCTCTCTCTCCACAATCCACATAAGACACAAAAATTTGTGGTCACGATGTCCCACCCGATACCTCAGCTCAACGGTTTCTCCGCCCGCCTCGATGGCGCTGTGGCCATCTTGGCCTACGACCGGCCAAAGACCGGAAACTCATTGCACCCTACCGTGCTTACGGTAATGGAAGAATCACTACCCACGTCGATGTTCTCCAATGCTCATGGGAATAATTATTTGCCTAACTCGCCGTGATAATAGTCCTATCTCAACGCGATGAAATGGGCCGTAGCGAATCCTGCCGTTCGAGTTATCGTCCAAACGGGAACTGGTAAATTCTTCACAACAGGTAAAATATATTATTCCAGAACGACGAGTCCATGCCAGGAGAAGATAATGAACTCATCAATGTATTTCAGGGAGGGACATGGGAAACGACAATGCTCAGTATGACCTCCAGGAGGTCTTGGCCAATTTCAAAGAGCTGAACGAGATCCTCATTACATGCCCCAAAGTCCTCATTGCAGCCGTCAACGGCCCAGCTGTCGGCTACGGAACGACTTCCCTCGCGCTTTACGACCTCGTCTACTCCGTCCCGGATGCGTACTTCTTCACACCGTTCAGTAAGTGGGCGCTTTGCCCCGAAGGGTGCTCCAGTGTCACCTTCTCCTCTATCATGGGACACCAGAAAGCATCGGCTCTATTAATCGCTGGCGACCGTATGTCTGCGACAGAATTATGGACAGCCGGTCTCATCACCAAGATCATTCCGGCTCCTTCATTCATGGAGCAGGTATTGGAGATTGCCAAGAGAATCGCTAGCTATCCCCCCATCGCCTTGGCGGCGTCCAAGAAGCTCGCCAGCGGTAATCGTGAAGCAGAGCTTTTGGCGGCTAATGCCAGAGAGTACGATTGCCTGGTAGAGAGGTTGGCACATAAGGAATGTAGCGATGCGCTACTTCTTTTCGCGGAGGAACAGCAGCGGAAGAAGGCGAACGCCGGCCGCGGTGCGTCACGAATGTAATAAAAAGAAGTAAATACTTCCCATTTGCCTCAAGGCGTCCGATCTGTTGCAGAGTTGCTTGCTGGCCAATATTCTTACGCTTAATACACTCGGGTTATGTTTTCTAATATCGCTATTACCTTGGCATGACTTCATGACATTCCATCCCCTCACGAGATGCCATTTTATATCAACGAACCCTGAACCTGTTCAATTAAAGGTCAAGTAAGGTAATGTGCTGGAACGATCCACAGCATGAAGGGAAAGGCAGAAACGAGAGGAAAAATCAAAGAAAGATAATTCCCATCAGGATTATACTCTTGCGAGAGAGAGAGAGAGAGAGAGAGAGTCAGGCAAAGCCGGAACGGAAACATGAAAGCGCAGGATTAAAGAGTAACGGTTACAGTCGAGAGTCCCCCCCTTTATACAGGCTCGTCCAGTCCACCTTCCTAATCCCCTTTCTGAACTGGTCAATACCAAACTTTGCCTCTCTTGATGGTCGCATCATCTCCAAATACCTTCGCGTCACTAACTCATTTTGCGTCGCTCCAGCCGGGTTGGACCAAGCGACCTCCGCAAGTTCTTTGGACACAGCCGAAGCCCGGGGTGCACATGCCTGAAGTGTATCTTCCAGTTTCTGGAATACCTGACCCTGCAGCCTCTCATCATCTTCCGCGAGGGCGTATATTGCGCCGGTACCATGAAGCTTTGCGGCGGTCACTGGCATGCCAATCAGCATCGCCGATCGGAACAGCGGGATCCCCCATTCCCGAGCAAGAATAGGCGATATAGCGCATGGTGAAAGGCCCAGGCGAACCTCCGTCAAGTTGAAAGTCGCTTCTCGCGTAGAAACACGGATATCATTGGCGAAGGCCAGGCCATTCCCGCCGCCATAACAGGGGCCGTTAATCAAGGCAATAGTAACTTGAGGAGCCCCTGCGATAGCATGAAGAAGACTTTGGAACTTCTCCAGTGCGTAGATATGCTGCTTCTCATTTGCTGAGGTGGCGGAGCCGGATGCTCCCAAATCCATACCGGCACAGAAAGCCTTGCCTTTGCCAGTAAGATAGATCCTGAAGATCGACTCGTCTCGCGCGATGCGTTCATACAGGCTCTTGAGCTCTTCAACCATCGATGAAGTCAATGCATTGCGGTTTTCGGGTCGTGTGAGCTCGATCTTCACTGCTGCATGTCTTCGGTGAACACGGTACTCTTTTGAGGGGGTGGGTTGGAGAGCTGTGTCGGGTAGCCAGTCGGTCGCCCTCGCGACTGAGGAGGGTGACATGATCGTGGAGAATTTGTTGGATAGAGTTAGAGACAAGATATGATGTTAGGTTATCGGGGGGGACATGAATGCGGGCTGTGCCTGCCGAAAGCTGTGGATTTAATACTTCATGGTACGCGAATTGCATTGGAGCATTTTGCGACGGCTTTGTGCTTGCAGACCACCATCCATCCTCAAGTGGTACCGAGGTGCGTCCTCTCATTGGGTGAGCTCGGATAGTGCAAGTCAGCAAGAATTACGAAGTACTATGCGCCGGACGGACCATGGAAGTTGAAGACTTCCAGATTCGATGCATCTAGCCGAACCTTGCATATAATAATGGGAAATTACATATACGAAAATGTTAAAAACAAGCCGAGCCGTTTAATAGTTCATTGGGACAAGGGTGAAAGTTGCTGAGTAGCTAGATCCATTTCATCAAACCAGCCATGGAAGTCCTGGGACGTTCCCCCTAGGTTGCCTCCCACAAGTAGGTCTGTTCCCCAAGCTGGCAACACATCATCCACCACAGACACCTGGCCACCCTCGTACAGAAATTCCCTGGAAAAAGAATCCTGCCTAACGATATTTGCGTGCTCACGTATGTCGTCTTGGGCCACTGTTGGCCTCTGGGGGGAATCCCAACAGCAATCGTTGAAGGGATCGCCTATACCTGTAAAGAAATGTTCATTTCCCAGTACCAGTGCGTATCTTGTAAACTCTTCGGACAAATTTACGTCACCGCGTGTTGTAGAGGGGCCTGACCCGCTAGCTGAGCGCGGCGCAACTTTCATCCTTGATAATGTGTTTAAGACGTCTTGACGGAGGTGGCGAGCCATGCCATACGTGGACTGCACACGATGAAGAAGCTTAATACAAGTCCCGATACACCTCCGACTGACCATAGACACCTCAAGATTCTTAGAATTTACCCCGATGATGTGCACGGGGAGTGCAGAAATCACGGCCGTGAAGCTTAGGACATAGCTGTTAGCGCGCCGGTTTCAACCGCCAGTACGAACAAAGGCTGCAGCCCGGGTAAGATTGGCTTTAGACTTACAACTGAGTAGGTATAGTCTCTTTCCATTCGGACTCGAAGGCCTCAGTTATAAGAACAGCTGTACGAGTAGCTGCCCTTCTCATCTTCTCCTTATACTGGGGGATCTTGTAGGTTGACGCACTGTGGGTCGGGTGGGATTTAAGCACCCGCGGTAAATAGAGGGCGTTGATAGCCGTATCATGCATCAAGAGCGAAACGATGAAAAAGGGTCCGGTTTCGCAATTTGACCTGTAGGGCCGTTCTTTCGTAGCTGGAAATGTGTCCAGGAATTCGCGAGACCAGTCGATTAACTCTCGCTCGCATGACTCGAACACAGCGTTCTTTTGATCTGAGGTTCCCGGCATATCGGCAAAGTCGTTATGGAGAATCTGGGCAATGATCATCACGAGACGAGCAGTCAGAGTCAGGCAGGAGGCTGCCCTCATCCTCAGTAGCGGATCGCCACTCGAGGTTTTGTCTCCAATAATAGTGGGATAATCTTGCAGCATACTGCATGGCACGTATTTATGCAGTCTGAACATCCTTGGTGGCCGCCGTAGCACGAGGGCGACGTGCGTCTCTCGGGCGAGACAGCACCACCACAGAACAGGCGACATGGTCGCAGTTGAGGACCCGCCTATGTTTCTCCAAGGCTCCGTCTTCTCGACGAGGGATGTTAAGCAGTTCGCCCAATACCATGCATCTCTTTGAGCTGTTCCCCCTTCGCTCCATAAAGATAGGAAGATTAGACACTGCGCGACAGACGCGACACTATCCACCACGTCAGCATCGTAAAGGAGTTTTGTGCGCCTGTACAAGGAAGCGCGGCCCTCCACGTGCGAGCTAAATCCCAGGCTTCGACAGATAGAATCGTCCACAAACTAGCTCAGATGTTAGCTTTATATTTTCACAACATCTTAGGTCGGGTGGCGCGATATACAGGTATAGCCGCAAGGAGCATCGCCTGGAACGTCAGAACTGTGAACCGCGTTCTAAGCCCGTCTATGGCAGAATTGGAAGCCAGTGCTTCCAAATCGGCCAGGTCAAACATTGGATAAAGAGGATACACGAATCGAATGAATCCTGCGATAAGGGCAGACCTAGCAGCATCACTAGCCGGAAAGGAGAAGGCATCGTTTGCTGCTAAGTAGTCAGCTGTTGCTTGAGGTAATGGCGTCGAGATGGGTTCTATGAAGCTCGGCAAGTTGTCCCAGTCGTATCTCTTCCAGCCGTTACTATGCGGGGGTTCCTGCTGCTGTTCATGATTCAAGTCCTCCAGGATTACTGGGTCCAACTCGATATCTTGAATTTGGCCAACCCCAGAACTCCCTCGCCTAGGTTGTTCATCGGAAGGTATTTGGTCCAGGGAAGGATCGACAGGTGGCTGGGTGACTGCTCGAATTGAACCAGCCTCGATACAATTAGATGCAGGGCTTGGGCGTGTTAACAACGGTGTCGAGGTAATTTGCAAAAATGGTGAGTTGATATCAACATAGTTGTGGTCATTGTAGCGCGGTGTCTGGGCCGACACTGTTATGGCGCTCTTCCTAATTTCCAAGCAGAAGATCAGCGCTGAGCTCAACACGCAGCTGCATACAGCCGCGCAAATATCAATCAGTGTTTTCACCTACCTCGGGCCTTTATTGTCATTGGGGATTGTGCAATCTATGCCGTCGAGGCGACAATTGGTGCAAGGAGGCCCATCAACGGCTACATTGCATCTCACCTTGCGAGCCCGGCATACACTGCAGGCAATAGAAGCTCTAACCTTCCTCCCATGCCCACGCGACTGATGATTGTGCAACTTTCTTACTCTTCCAGATTGCATGTTCAATACCTTCAGATGAGCTGCGAAACTCCCTCCGTAGCTTGGTTTGACATAGTACGAAGTAGAATGGGTAGCGGGTTTCAGTAGGAATTGCTCGAGGGGAAAATGCCATTGCCCATCTTCCAATACCGCTGCTCGCCTGTCCTGACTGCAGTCCCGGACCCGGCCAACCCCTTCTCTTCTCTCCAGTCCAGTCTTCTAGCTACATTTGACCTAGATCATTGGGGTACATCAATGGTTGTGGGGTCATCCCCTGCCAGCGGAGCAGCCGGGGATGGAGAGATCTGCACTAAAATGCGGGGGAAGGGAGCAGATTGCTTAGTAATGAATCACATGTCGGTTCGACCAACCTCGGCATGGAACAGATTTCATTTGAAGGTGGTCAGGGCCAGAAACAACATCGGACCATAGACTATCCAACACCCAATGATTTTGTTCAACTCCCACAGGTTATTCCCCACTTCCCGACCCCTCCGCTCCCTCTTCATCGGGTACTAGGACCTCACACATTACCACTCCCTCGCTGATCTTTGCCCCTTGTTCCACTTGCATGCGAACGACACCAGCTGCCTCTGCATTGATCCGGATCTCCGTCTTCATACTCTCGATGACGAGGAGACCGTCACCTCTCTTTACTGTGCTTCCATCCTTAGCCAGGACTTGAAGAATATGGCAGGGCATAGGTGAGAGGTGTTTGCGTTGCACATCTGTTGTCGTTATTAATTAGTATTGGATAATGCCCGATGTGATATTCTTTGTGATGGAAGCTTTGTGGTGGGATGACTCACCCGAAGACCCGATGCCTTCCTGTTTCGCTTGCTCAAACATTCCAGCCCAGCTCAACGCATCAGAGAGAATGTAATTAGCACTGAGCCCAAGATTAGGTGAGAAAATGGATATCTCTCGTCTGTAGTCACTGACACTCAGCACGGAGCCGTAAAATTTATGTCTCTCATCGTCCAGTTGGATGTGGAATTCACTACCGCATCCAGGGGAAAACGTGTTCCTCGTGCCGGATTGTAATAACCAAGCCTTGAATCTAGAAGAGACTTCGGCCGCCGCTGCATTATAAAAGCGTCTCGTCAAGACACCACCGCGCTTATTGAACAACACCCGTTTCTGGGCAGCTGTGAGTGTGAAGTCCGTTGGCAAAGGTGAGATCTCGAACTCGTCGGTTCCAACCCGAGTAACGGCGAGTTCCTGTGCGACAGTATGACCTAGGAGCTGTAGTTGGCATGCAACAAACTCAAGAGCACCGGTCCTTCCATCTTTAGGCTGGTTTCGGAACCCCGCGGGAATGCTGCGGAAGACCTTGGAACCCGCGGTCTTCTTCGCACTGCCAAGTTGGCGGTTATATAGGACTGCCGCCATCATCATCGGACCTCTGAGGTAGTCGACATTGACGGGCCGGAGAAGGTCACCCTCGTAAGCTTCAACAAATGCCGTCGTGTAGCCGGGCTGCTGGAAATTGGGATGTGCCAAGACGCGCTGAAGGAAGAGTTGGTTCGTAGTGACGCCTAAACACACAGTATTCTTGAGGACGTAGTTGAGTTTCTGGATAGCCGAAGTTCTGTCCGAGGCCCAGACAACGATCTTGGAAATCATGGAATCAAAGTGCACTGAGATGCTGGAACCGGAAGTAACCCCGGCTTCATAGCGAACGTCCGGGATCTGCACTCCCAGAACCTCAGAAGCCGGCTTAAACGTCGTTACTATACCGACGCACGGAAGAAAATTGTTGAATGGGTTTTCGGCGCAGAGTCGAACCTCGATGGCATGGCCTTGTTGATGTATCTTGCTAAGCTCGGGGAGTGACTCTAGCTTTCCGCCGGCGGCAATGTAGAGCTGCAAGGCAACAATATCGACGCCCGTGACTTCTTCAGTGATTGGGTGCTCGACTTGAAGGCGGGTATTAACCTCGAGGAAGTAAAAGGCCTCTTGCTGGGTGTCAACGATAAACTCAACTGTCCCAGCAGAAACGTATTTCAGCAATGAAGCAATCTCTACGGCGACATCCGACATATCCTGGCGCATCTTAGGCGACAGCCAAGGGCTTGGGGACTCTTCCACCACCTTCTGGTGTCTCCTTTGGATAGAGCACTCGCGGTCCAGAAGGCTAACGAACTTTTCTCCATCGCCAATAACCTGGATCTCAACATGCTTCCCGCTCTCGATGTACTTTTCAATCAAACAGTAGCTCGATCCAAACGACCTCCCCGCTTCTGATGAACATCTGAGAAAAGCCTCTGGGAACCTAGACGGCCTTAGCAACAAGATAAAAGGGGAATTCCGTCGCCAGGATACCTTATCACTGTACTTACTCTGACTTCTTTCGAACTACACGCATTCCCTTCCCTCCACCCCCTGCACTCGCTTTAATAAGGACGGGGTACCCTATCTTGTCGGCCTCGGCCTCGAGATAAGCGGGGTCCTGATTCGCCCCGGCATATCCAGGGATGAGGGGTACAGATGAATGTTCTGCCAAGTGTTCTTTCGCGACTCTCTACATCATAGATGGCGAGTTTTAGCGGAGAGTTGCAGAGAGATAGTGATCAAAGGGATTCACGTACCTTATCACCAAGCTTCAAAATCGAGTCGGGGCTAGGGCCAATGAAAATGATACCAGCGGTGGTCACCGCATGCGCAAAGTCGGCGTTCTCGGAAAGGTAGCCATACCCTGCTTGAGTCAGCCTCTAACCTCATCCTCTCTTCACCCCTAAAAGGCAACTCACCGGGATGGATCGCGTCTATACCGGTGGACTTGGCCACTTGGACTAGCCGTTCGATATTTTGATACGGCTGCTGATCCGCAGGACCAAGACAGATCGCCTCGTCTGCCAACGTGACATGCAATGAATTTTTATCTCTAGCACACTCTAAGAATACGAACTAATCCGTTTTTAAAAACCCTGGAATGACAAACTTACTCGTCGGCGTAGACAGCCACAGCCGTGATCATCTGCTGCTTGCAAGTTCTGATTATCCTGCACGCAATTTCCCCTCGGTTGGCAACCAAGACACGCTTAATCACTAGGCGGCCATCTTCTCGAAATACGGGAGGGGTCTGAAAAAGCGGGCGCTTCCTCCGAGTCTTGGGTTCCATGATGTCCGATTCGGCAGGTAGGCACTGAGGACTTGATAAGAGGTGGCTGGTCAGCTGCGGGGAGGGGAAAGCAACACACAGCTCAAAGGAAACAAGACGTGGTCTTTAGTGGTCCTATTTGACCTGGAGAGACTCGAGTTCAGAAAGAGGTCTACTGGAAATTTTATCAGTTTGGGTGTGTGTGTGCTTGATGTCGCCGTGGGGTAGAGAGATCCCAGCACGCCCTGGTCGGATGGCTGTCCAATGATTTTAGCTACCGAGGTGTGTGGGTGTGAGACGGACAAGTCTTGTGCGAGATACCTTATTAGTCATGTCATCAGAGACAACTCGGTTCTTAACGCAAGGTCTTATTATAATGTTACAACACCGTCTGTAATGCTGCACGGTTTTTAGGGTCTTTGAAATGAGACGGATGGAAATCTAGGCGAAATCTCAACTATTTAATTGAAATACCGGCCGCACTACATATATTGTTGCTCGCTGTGAAATGTTCGCTAACACTGAAGCCTACAATGCTCACATTTATCTGTTGAAGCTCCTTGCGATTGTTCCTCGGTTGGCTTGCCCCGGTTTAGTTGCGTTGAAGCTGCCGAGGAGGTCGACAGTTCGAGAGGCATTGGTGGCATCCACGATCTCTTTCATATTTTCGGCAGCGACCTCGGCCTTGTAACTAATATGGCAGTATCTTGGCCAAGGCCTCGACTAGTACCAGTTCCAAAGACGAGCCGGCGACTGTAGATTAGTATTTGGGTCAGATGTCCGATGGTCATCTTAACTTAGTTGAAACGTACACGATATCCTAAAAAGACGTAACGGCAGGCCCATCTTTTATTCTATAATTTTTAATGATTTTAGCCTAGTTGGCTAGTATTACCCCCCTCGCTGAGCAGCGGGCAATGCTGGGACGTTCCTAGAATCGGGACAGTCACTAGTCTCTAGGAGCGGATCTCCAGAGCCGGAGAGGAAATCTGACCAAGCCTACCGGAAACCGGAAATACTGTGGCAGTAGATGACCATCAGGCCATTTCAAACCATGTCCTCTGCTATGAACCTGCTGCTCATGAGTCCTCGTATCCATTCTAGAAAGTGAACTATTTATATGTCAGTCTTACACCGGTTACTTCTATCTCTCTGCATCTCGAGGCTTTATTTTCCAATGAGAATCCTAGAGGAATACCATTCATATGCATCTTTGCCGCGTATAGCAGGCTGTTGGTGTGAACTCGACCTGGCATAAACAAAGGCTTCTAGACTCTGCCGGGAATATTACGAGCCATCGGCGCTTCCATTAAGCTAGATTCTAGACACGCCCCTCATTCCGGTATTGCCCTTACTCGGGCGGTTTCGACATATCTCCAGACACATTCCAAGTACGTCTCTCGTGTCCCGCGGATCAATGACTCCATCATCCAGGACCCACGCCGACGTCGTGTACGCGTCGCTCTCCTTCTCCACTTGATTCTTCAGCCCAGTCGTCCTTGCAGAAATGCTCGCCTCATCAACTGCCCTACCCGCCTTGGTAGCTGCGTCACGAGCAATCATCTCCATAACACCAGCTAGCTGCTCGGGACCCATGACCGAGCACTTACTGTTTGGCCACGAGAAGAGGAAACGAGGAGCGTATGCCCGTCCGCACATGGCGTAATTCCCTGCACCGTAGGAAGCTCCGCATAGGATAGAGATGTGCGGCACTGTCGAGCGAGAGACGGCGTCTATGAAGGTAGAGCCAGCGCGAATGATTCCATTCTGCTCGGATTTTGTGCCGACCATGAATCCAGTGACGTTATGAAGGAATATGATTGGATTACAATTTTCATTGTTGAGGCGGATGAAGTGAGTGGCTTTCTGGGCCTCGGGGATCATGATAACGGGAGACTGGTTACCAATGATGCCGACAAGGTGTCCGTGGATGCGAGCCCACCCGCACAGCATCCCCGGCCCATACGTCGCTTTGAAATTCTCAAATCGGCTGTCATCCACAATTCGAGCAATGACCTCGCGCATGTCCATGGGCTGGCGGATATTTACAGGGACGACCTGCAAGATATCCCGCGGATCATACCGGGGCGCTAGAACTTGCGGCTGTTCAACAGTACTGACATTCTCTTCGGGCAGGCTCAGGACCCAATTCCGAGCTAGCTGGCAGGCGTCAAACTCGTCGGCTGCGAACGCATCACCAACGCCACTAATAGAAGTATGCATCTCTGCACCGCCGAGGTCTTCGGCGGTCGTTACTTCGCCAGTGGCCACGTATACCAACGGCGGGCCGCCCAAGAACACCTGCGCCTGCTCTTTGACAAAAATACTGTAGGACGACATCCCAGGTTGATAGGCACCCCCGGCAGTACTGCTGCCGAAGACGATCGTGCATGTGGGAGATCCAGCTGCGGAGCGAAGAGTGATGTCCCTGAAGCCGGCGCCCCCAGCGTGGAAAACGCGGAATTGCTGAGGAAGATTTGCGCCGGCAGACTGATTGAGGTAAATCATGGGGAGACCATTTTCAAGCGCGATATCACTTGCTCGCTTCGACTTCTTGACGGAAATCTCGTTGGATGCACCGCTGTCTAGAGTTGGAATGTTCCCTGCAATCATGACGAGCCGACCACTGCACTCCTTGGGTTAGAAAGCAAATCCCCGACCCAGCGCTCTCAGCGGGGAAAACTACTTACTGCACGAGGCCGATTCCGCATAGGACGCTCGCATTCGGACTGGAATGCTTGATGTTGTATCCAGCTGTTGGCATAAGCTCCAGGAACGGCGATTCCGGGTCAAGGATCAGAGCCATGCGGTCTCTCGCTGATTCATGCCCGCCATTAGTAACGAAAGGTATGGGAACTCTACTCTCCATCACTGGGGCTTCCTTACCGGATAGCATGCCGCGCGAGCGATGCCTCCTATGGCACAGTTTAGTTGGATGCACCACTCTTCTAATCAAGCCGGACTTACTCGACGTGCTTGCTTGGGCCCTCACCTGCCGCCCACTTCATAACATCCTCCCACTTCTCCAGCACAGGCCGCCACGATGCAGCATTATCCTGGCAGACCTTATCTGATGGCGATAACTTGGACGTGTACTGGCGGAACATACCGAGATGATGGTCTGGGGAGTCAAGTTTTGCTTTTTGGAAGGAGGAAAACCCTGGGTCTGTTAAATGCTGATTGGAATAAGCTGATCGAATTGAAATCCGCGGGGTTGGTCAACTGACAAATCCCGTGTGCGTGCGCCAGTTGCTGGTAACAGTGGCTTTCGAGGTCGCATCAACCAGAATGGCCTTAAATCAGCCCCAAACTTTCCACCACCATTCACTCCGTAGACCGAGGTGCGTTACCTCGGCTCGCCTTTGAGGGTTTCCCAAGCCAACTTAACTGGTGGCGAAATAAATGAAAATTATCTTATCAACTTTCGGACGTTTATTTAAAAAGCTATTCTATTTGACTGAAGTGCGGTACGCTGGCGCGGGATTGGAGCTCAGACCTAAACCTCAATCCTCGAACATGGAGCGCCACGTCAGGATCGGATGCTACAGGTAGGTGCAGCAGACGCAGCAAACCAAGCCCCACCGAGATATTTGCTAATTCATCTGCCTCAGCGCCTTTTGGGGTGACACCCCCGGTGCAAGTCGCCAGCTGGTCGAGGCCGAAGATGCAAGGCTCAACTATCTTGTTGCAGATTATCTCGCCGGTACGCCCCTCATACCTGGAATTGCGGAGTCAAGCGATGTACTCACTGGTATTTAGAGGTGACGATGGGGCTGCTCGCCCGCGCCTCTCATGCACCAGCCAGGCCTGGATCTGGCAAAAAGGCGGCCGGGTACATCAGAGAGTTCGTAACTTTTGTACTCAAGCCTCTGCTGCCTCAGATTCTCGAAAAGAAAATCAAAGTCGTCACCAATGCTGGCGGCCTCGACCCTGTTGGACTGAAGGAGCTGATCGAGGAGTTGGCAGCCGAAAAAGGAGTCACCGACCAAGTCAAGGTTGCAGCAGTCTATGGAGATAACATCATCAGTCAGAAGAATGAACTGCTTCAGGCTGGCGCTTTCAGTGCCTTCAACCCACTCAATGTTGATGGCGCCGATGAGGCCATGTTCGAAAGCCAGGACAGCATCCTGAGTCTGAACGCATACACCGGGGCTCAGCCCATCACCAAGGCCCTCGAGGCAGGAGCGAATATCATTGTGACTGGCCGGTGCGTCGATAGCGCCCTGGTCTTAGGCCCCCTCGCGTACGAGTACTCGTGGAATTATGCCCGGCTTGATGACCAGGCAACGTTAGACCGCCTCGCCAGTGCTTCACTGGCTGGCCACCTGGTCGAATGTGGAGCGCAGGCAACAGGAGGTAACTTTACGGACTGGGAACTATCAGCCGGAAGCGCGTATGGGGGTTGGGCAAACATGGGCTACCCCATCGTCACATTTGAAGAAGACGGCACCTTTACCGTTTCCAAGCCTCGTGAAACCGGTGGACTCGTTACACGGCATACCGTTGGGGAGCAAATGCTTTACGAAGTGCTAGACCCGGAAAACTACATCCTGCCTGACGTTGTGGTGGACCTCAGTAGGGTAGTTCTGGATCAAGTCGATAAGGACAAGGTCCGTGTAACTGGCGTGCGCGGCAAGCCCCCAACAGAATGGCTCAAATGTACCGCAGTTCGGCAGATGGGATTCCGGACCACTGCCGATATGCTCGTCTTCGGCGCGAACGCAGAGCAAAAGGGCAAGGTATTGGGTAATGCTATCCTTCAGCGAGCTCGGAACGTTACAGAGATGGAGCTCCGGAACGTTGGCAAGTCTGAAGATTTTAAAGGCTTCGAGTCCAAGGTCATCATTGTAGGTGCAGAGCATTCACTCTCTCCATCCGCGGCCAGGCCTCCGTCACGCGAGGTGGTTGTCCGAATCGCAGCCAAGCACGTCCGACGACATGTTCTGGACGTCCTCGGCCGAGAGGTAGCGTCCTTTGGGACAAGCAGTGCCCCAGGCATCGCAATGTTCAGCAGTGGTAGGCCAAAGGTCTCTCCGAATTTCCTGGCATCTAGCGTTCTCATCCGTCGCGACTTTGTTACTCCGAAATTTTGCATCGGAGGTCGGACGTCGACCATCCCAGTGCCACTGGTCACCGAGGGCTGTAAGCCTATCGTTCCCTCAGCCTCGGCCATCAAGTCCAAATCCTCTTCCTCCGCAATCCATCAGCCATCGCCGGCCCAGAACACGCGCTGCAATCTACTCGATGTTGCGGTTGGACGGTCGGGAGACAAAGGAGATACTTCAAACGTCGCTTTTATCGCCAGGAACCCGGTCTTCTACCCGTACCTTCTGGATCAAGTGACTCCAGAGGTTGTGGCCTCTGCCCTCTGCAACTTGCTTCGGCCTACCAGCACTGTTACGCGTTATGAGGTACCAGGCGTACACGCCATTAACTTCGTGGTGACCAACTCCCTCGGTGGAGGCGGGCTAGACAGCTTGGCACTAGACAGGTACGAGAATGTGTTCTTTTCAAATGAATTTGGGACTAACAATATCTGTAGGCAAGGAAAAGGATATGCACAATTATGCCTAGCATCTATCCAGCTACATATCCCGCTCGAGGTGCTCAATCAAGCCCGGTTATAAGACAAGGGTTTACTCAGGCCACAGGCTGCGAGACCGAGTGCAAGATTGGGTATTAAGCCTTGTTAAAATATGCGTTTCGGCTGAAATGAGAGTTGATGATGGGTGATGATGGGTAGTGACAGGAAGTTTGATAAAATTGTATAATCCTAAAGATGATAAGTATCGTACCAATGAGAAGAATGAACTGCTTCATACTGACATATTGAAAATAACTTCTGTAGATTGTTGATTGTGTAGCCCAAGCTTCTTTGAAGGCGAATGGAGAATCACCTCAGCCTCTTAATGGAATGGACCCCTTTAGTAGTGGTACTTTAACCCGGTTCGATGAAGCTTGCGGCCGTTACCGAAATAGTATTGCAAGTTCGCCAGTAATGAGATGAACACCGCTGCCGAAGTAAGGCCAACGATCTCCGTCCATGCTCTTCGATAGACTGGCGCGTCCTCTGACCTGAATATTTGCTTCCCCACGAGCCCAGAACAATTTGCGGCCATGATGTGGATGGCCATGGTGATTGAACGCTCGCCAGCGGACTGGGCATTCAGCGCCAGCCAAGCGCCATTTACCGGATCTAAAATAAGAGGTTAAAATATGCCATAAGCCAAACTTCCGTCTGCAAATCCCCATCAAGGCATCTGGGTGGGACTTACGCCAGGGCCAGGAGACGGCAACGGATGCCGAGAGGATAATAAATCTCCGGATCTTGTCGTCAGATTCCAGGAGACTCCAATTGCCCACCTATCCCCGGGTTAGTGACTGGGATGGGTTACTTGGCCGAGGGAGGGATCTTACGTTGAATGCCCAAAAGATCAAAAGCCCCAGAGTAACCCATGGCCCCCGGACACGAAGCTTGTCTCTACCATCAAGTACCCCAGGAGTCAGGAAGAGTATTTACTCATGTTCGCTTATGATCAGAGTACTTACGCTGCCCATCCCCAGAATATGATGGAGAATAGCAATATCCACTTCCCGATGGAGATAAGAGCGTTCGATTGCAGTCTATCGAATCCAAAGCCAGTGACTAAAGTCGGCGCATATGAATCGAAGCCGGACGTAGTTGCCAAACCCGTAATTGTAAATCCTATATGTGGAAGTAATCGCCAGTTGGTCAACTGTGATTTCATTTGGAAGTCAGTATGATATGGGAAATCTATGAAACGTCAATGTCGGAAATTGCATACATACCACGGCCTTCAGCTCCTTCCAACTCACATTCCGGCCTAGCTGCGCTTTGGACGGATCATCGCGAAGTACTCGCTCCGTGAGAATTCTACTTTCGCTTTCTGTGAAATATCGAAAGCCCAGAACCGATACCGGTTTCGCCGTACTGAAGGGAACCGCCAAAATAAAAGCGATTCCGATAAGGATAGTGAATACCCCCTCCAGCTGTCCCCCAGGATTAGCGCAACCTCTCTACAAGGTTTTCCATATTTGTTTCAAGTGTTTTCACTTACAATAAAGAGCCATTGCCACCCCGCGAGGCCGGCAATGCCGCGCATATGCAGACTTCACCCGTAGCATTAACATAAATACCATCAAGCTTGGGGGAGGTGTTTTAAATGACATACATTCCAAATGCGATAAGGCCAGATGTTGCCGAAGCTAGCATATTACCTAGGAAGAACCAAGAGAAACGCTTGCTAATTTCGTCCGTTTTGTACCAGCGACTAATAGTAAAGAGGCTGGCGGGAATGAAGCCAGATTCGCAAAACCTAGTAGGAAACATATTTCATCAGAACCGAGGTTAAAAGACGAGGTATCGCCCATGATATAGCCCTCATTTTGCACTCGCTTGATACTACAAACCCCAGGAGTAGCCTCGTGGCCAGGTATGGGCCTAGTCCCTTTTGGAAAGCCTGGAACGTTGCTACGAGACCCCTAATTGTCGAGTTTGGTTTATTAGCTTGGAGGAGGTTGATTATTTGGGATTTGGAGAAAACACACCAAGCAACAATCTGACCCCCAATCCAGAGTGTTGGTCCAACCCGATATAACACGATGTTACTAGGAATCTAAGAGGCATTGTCAGGAGATGAGACCTTGTTTACCGCCCCATTTTTTCTCGATTCCCTCACCTCTAAAAGAATGATCCCTAGAGCCAGAAGCTGCTGTCCGAAGTTGAACTGATTTTGGGTAATCCCAACATCGTTGAGAAAGAAGTCCGTCAAAGCGTTGCCACTGTTCCGTCTTAGATAATCTCCTTCCTGCTCATTCGGTGACTTTCTCTCTAACATCAAACCTTCCAGGAGAAGCGAGAGACTTACATGTTTCCTCGATCCAATTGCAATGCAAAGAAGCCAAGAATCAATAAGGGCATCAACAGAAAGTCCACTCTGTTCTAATTAGCGGGCAATGGTTATGGCTATGGAAAGCCGTGCGGCCTAGATCAAATTTCTGCCCGACTTACTTTCTAACGAGTGCCTTTTCCTCCTCCTCCGTCCATTCTAATTGCCCGTCGGATTCTATCCCAGATACAACTTCGTTGGAACGTTGCAAACTCGGGAGAGAGGTCTTCTCATTCGGTAGGGCCTCCATATTAGCTTCGCAAAGGAAAAGAAGAAAAAATGAAATGAAAGATAGAGATGTTGTGAAGGCCCAGTTGGCGGTGCGGGCGGCGCTGTGAAGTATTCGTGATTATTTATATTATCGAACATGTGATCTCGGATCCAAATTGTTGAACACGGCACCTCCATCTCGCTCCGTCCCGTGGGAGACCGGCAGGAATCATGGGGCCTGGTCGCCGAAGAGCGGTACCAATTGCCTCGCGTATCGGTGATGCCATCCTGGCATGACTTGCGACATACCCCCTACTCAGGTCGGAACGTGCTCTCTTCCAGCAAGAGGTTGTGTTATAATGCGGGGAACCCTATTATCAGGTCCAAATATAGGGCCACACAACATCGAACGGGTAGTTCTAACTCCTGACAATGCATGCCGGGACTTTTCTCATTCCTATATTCCCTAGTCGCATTTGCTCCACCTTGCTAATTAAAAATATGTAATCGTGGGGCGGTAAGAATCCGACGTGGGTTGAAACAGATACCTGCGTATTGAGCAAACAAGTGTGGTCATGTTATTAGTAGCTATTCGTAGCTATTTTGAGTCTGGGACGAGGCATGCATGGAGTCCATACGTTTTGTGGAGATCTACTCATCTGGGGGAGGGGTATTCTCGACGGACGACCATCTAGGCTTAAAAAAGTTCCGTCTTGAGGCATACATACTAACTCTCTGCTACCATAGCAATTCAGTTCACTGCTCATGGCTGCGGCCAGTGGATAGGCACTGGCGCCGTATCTATGTACCCCTTTGCTCTCCAAGATGTGGATCAATACCTGCATTCGAAATCATACTCTATCCTTCCGCTCAGCATTTATAGCCGGTTAACTAAAGAAGCCTGTACTTCCTGGAAGACTAATAGACGTCGGATCAGTCTTCCAAAGCACTCCAGTGGTCTGTACGTCGACATTACGGGAAGCAGGCCCTTCTGTTTGCAAAGGTGCAAGCCGTCTGGGAGTGCCATTTGGATGCTTACGGGACTTATCCTAGTGGGATGCCGTCACGCCCTGTTCATGGGCCGAAAAATCTTCGACATGATTCCTTTGCTGTTTCCAAACTTATCCTAAAGAACATCCTACCCGCAGGGTTTTCCGCCGACAGGGATGACAAGTTAAGGTTGTAGAGGACTCTTCATGAAGTTCCTTGAGATCCTATCTGCACCGGCATATGTGGAGGGCAATCATGGAAGAGTTTACCAGCTGAGCTTGACGATCAAAAGCGGCTGGCTTAACCCCCTGTCTGGACGTCTGCTCTGTCAAGGTCTCTCAGTATCGACATGGTTCGTGGACACGGGGCTCATCTGACCTAATTCTCGCGAAGCTGGTTTGGCACTTTTCACGACGAACGGTCTAAAAGTGGGAGAAAGGCTTCAACCTTGTCGTGGGGCTCTGTTGACGAGGAAATTCGGTATTTCCGTGAGCAAGGAAATAAGGACCTTGGCAATCTCGCACATTTTGTCGGTTTTTTTCTTTTTTTTTTCCTGCATTGGCAGCCTTGACCAAGAGAAGGGTCGATGCGTCGCGAAGAAAACTGTACTATTTTGTCGAGTGCACCGATGGTTTCATTCGAGTGGAAAACGGCTTCAACATTCCAACAGGGTACATCGGATGAAGTCGGAGATTTAGCAGCCTTGTGGCTGCTTGGGATATTCCTTTCCTATCCGGGGACTTCTCAGGTATTTCGTTTCGTTAATAAAGAGGCTCTACGCTGTACGGATACCGGAGTTGGAGTACTCCGGTGCGAGGACGAGGTTTGCGGCAACGAGATTTGGACGAAATTTCAATATGGCGCTCAAGCTGCTGTTCGTTTGGATGCTTCTCTTGTACTAATTCACGCCCAAATTTCACGACATCCTGGGATTCACAACGGCGAGAGTGAACATCATTAAAAGTAGCCAAAGTTCTACCCTGAGATGGGGGCTACCGACACTCTAGCTCGTTGAAAAAGTGTAACTTCATCAGAAACATCTCAGCGCCTGTGGATGAGAAGTGCTTTTAAGTGTGTCGCTTGCTTGACTCAACCGCCACCCGCTAATAGGCAACGATGAGTAATACATCACTTTAGCGCGAGTCTAATCAGTCTTCGTGTTCCATCATAAACGCGTCCATGTCCTTCTCAACCATTGGTTCCTTCGAGAATGTATCCTGGATACTCCTCAACTTCGCCGCCAACTTCTCAGATGGAACCCACCCCAAGTACCTTGTTATCAGTTGCCGTGTCGCAGCACGACCGCACTTCGGGCAAGTCGTTTTAGGGGGGTGCTTCTGTGCGGAGGAACATGGCGCGAAGAACGAGATATTGAACCAGCCAAACCCTTCATCATCATCGCCGTCAGGCTCAGCTACCAGTTCGCAGTTAAGGGACGCAGATCTGAGCTTGGGCATGACAAAAAGTGCGTCCGCATAGGCCTCGATGAAGGGGACGAAGGTTTCTTCATTCACTCTATTGCGAAATGCATGGTATGGACTAAGATGTGCGTATTCCATCTCTCGAGAGAAATTAAGCTCTTCTTCGTGGAGAGTGGAGAGGGTGTACTGAGAGGTCGGGAAGTTGTTTATTTGAGTAGCGGTTGAACTTGGCATCCAGTCGCGGCCGGTGAAGTACCAGGCCCCGAACGGGGCTGTGGCTTGGATCTCAATGAAGAGATACTTGAGGCTTGGCCAGGATGTCTCGTTTAGGCCCTGGAGGGGTTGGAGAAGGGATATATCCAGTATACCGCTAACCTCAAGATCTACGAGATTAAGAGACAGCTGGCAAATTGCCGAACTAAGTGGATCGGGGCCGGGCGGGTGTAGAACAGGGGGGGAGGCCGTCTCATCTCGGTATTTCCGATGGAAGAATGTCAAGTAGGCTCGTGTTAATTTTGGCAGAGATAGCTCCCGAATGGCCTGGGCGGCTTCGTCGCGATTCCGCTTCCGTAGATCTGGGAACCGCTCTTCATTGTCGTCCATAGTGACACGGATACTCTCCAGGTTTGGCATGTGGGAGGCAAGAAGAATAGGGATCTTGGGGCACACGTTTCGGTAGCCATATCTCTCACCCGGTTCCACCATAACCAACCCTTTAACCCGGTGAAGCACTGCGAGCTTATCCAGGTGAAGAAATTCGATATATGAATGGAAGTAGCGGGTCTCGTAATTGTATTGTGTCTGGGAGAGCTTTAATGGCCAGGAGCTGTCGGATGGTGACTCTGGGTGATTGATGACCAGTATCATGCGAGAATCGTTTATTTTTGAATCCTCTACTTCCCAGTTATGGAGGATGCGGAACAGAGCCTGAACGGACCGGCTGTAGCTTTCATCATTCGCAGCGCGTTCTGTGGGAGTTTCTGCCCGCATAGAGGCGGCTTCATCGTAGCTTGGAAGAATGGCGGTGAAAGTTAGGATCTTCAGAAGAGGGCGTCTTTCAGCAGTAAAAATTCTTTCAAAATCTTCGAGTGTTTCGCTGTTGATTTCGATGTATTTGAACGTCAACCTCTCCACCGCGGCCCGCAGGCGACGTGAGACCGTTGCCAGAGGTGCGAGCGGTGGAGAAGGTTTCTTTCGCTTATCGCAGGGTTCTTCGGGCTTGAAGCCGTCCGGCAGGAGATAAGAAACAATATCATCGATGATATCCTGAGGAAGGGACTCAAGCCACCCCTCGGCGACAGGGCTGTGAAAATCCGTGGCTAGGTCGTGGGTTCTGTAACCTGCCATGCCCTAATATTGGTAATAATGGATTATGGATGAGGCATCACCATCAGAGTTGACCGCCAAGCGAATATAACGAATTTTAGGCATTTCCTATTGGTCAGATTTAAAGTGGGATCATCACTAACCACCACGATTCGACCATTAGCCACCCCACTGTTTTCTTATCAATCCGCGAATAGGTCCCAAAACGTCCCAAAGCGAACTACACAATAACACTCCTGTTGTATAAAGCCTCGGCGCTGGCTCAACCTAGAACATCTAAGCAGTTGAAATAAAGGTTAATCAATCAATACAGACTATGCTTTTATCCCGGCTCTAATATTAGCCATCTTCCCGCCCTCAGGTATCTCAAAACTACTTAACGGCATTAGGTAGATCTCAAAGCCATGCCCAAAGGGTAGTGATGTCCCCATAAGCACTAATATTGAAGATGAGGGACGGGGTCTTACGCTTGATGGAGAATTTTGACTTTCATCTTGATGTCCCACAAAGTTAGCCATCTTTTCATAACAAACCGGACTACAGGGAGAGGGCATCAATGGCGATCTTCACTGTCTTAGTAACATCGCTCTCCATCGGGGAACTACAACAACGTTGATTTTGGGTTCTTCCAGGTCCGGCCACCCTTTTTGAGACCTCAAGGAACTCCTCCGAACCCGGGAAGTAGACCTCGACGTTTAGCGAAAGCTTCTTCCCGAGATGCTTCACGTCGTCACCGGTTCCTGGGCAGCTACCTGCCAACGAATACCTGGCAGTATAACGATGGTGGGCGGCCTCCACAGGGATGGTCCACATCATCGAGGGCTTGGCAGCAATCCTCATCGTGACAAAATAGACTTGGTTTATTCAAAATTGAGAAACAAGGAAACCTAGAGATAGAGAAGGTCGCAAAATCCAACAAGTTCCACCTGTTCGGGTTTAATATGACCACATTTACAAGGGATATATTCAAACCGTGTTCTTGATTGTAAAAGGTAGTCCATGGCAATACTAACTTTGCATCTCGGAAAAGTAAACATGCTATCACATGGGGCTGCGTGGCAGGTTTGCAGCTTGCTTCAGGCCGGTTTCCTCGGCGCAAAACATCTTATTTTCATCAGAAATCGAAGCACGCGGCGCTAATAATCCCGCATGAACCGGCGCTATCCTTCAAATTGCTAGGATACATTAAGTATATCGGTTCTTGGAATGTCTCGAGGGTAAAATCGTACACCAGCGATTTACGAGACTTGTAGGCAAGGCGCCGTCGTTGTCAAGCTCAAGGGGCACGCTATTTCTGTGACCGTATTTACCATCGCCCAAGAATACGTCGTCGGTGATATGATTCGTGGAGAAAGAGGGGAGTTAATTAAACTTCGCTCCCCATTCACAGGGTTTGAAAGTCTGAGCATGGGGAAAAAAGAAAAAGAAATGGAAAATGTATTGGGACGTTTAAAGCGGCTGAGGTAAAGTAAGATGAGGGCTCGAGAGTGGGGGTGTGATGATGGACGATGAGAGATGAGACTTCTGGGACCGTAAAGAATTCGTCGCGACGGGTAATATTCCTCTCCTCTCTCCGTGAGAGGAACGGGGGGTTGGGGTTTGGAGGAGATAGAAACAAGGACTTCAACTCAAAATGAACGGTGCGCGCACATTCGACATACTTCAAATATCCTTTCCCATTAGAATGGGGTATTCCGTTGATTAAAAATTATGTCAGGGATGTTGTGAATATCAAGGAAACAAGTAAGGGTATCATGGAACCTCTCCACAAACTGCCAACCGGAACGGCAAACCTGGCACCGGTCGATCCGATACGTTCAATGAGGGTATCTCCTTGGTCTTGGATACTCTTCTCAAAGATTTCGTAATTAGTCGCAGACCAGTTCGCTCCCTGCGAGCCGGGTACCGCATCCTGGCCCGTAAAGGCAATGTACAGCACGTCATCGTCATCATACCCATTATCCCCAGACACGCCCGAACCGAAACACGCCGTGGCGACCGAAATGGCAGCCTCGCCCACCATAGGCCGAGGACCATCGTCCCCGTTAGTATCTCCCCACACCCCATAGATGAGTTTGTCACCACACACAACCGCCATAATGCTTAGCGGCTCAATCCCGTGCTCGCGAGGATCAAAGGTTGCCCATCCGCGTTTAGAGCCTTCGTTGCCAAAGACGATGTACGGATGAATGTTGGCATTAAGGTCTTTGATGCCCTGGCGGTACGACTCCACTGTGTCTTGGAAAGACGAGACGTACTGCGTATCGTTTGAGGAGGCACAGCGACCATCATCTGCTTGACCGCCCTGGGCCCCGTCACAATCGACGTCCATGTTGGCGAGTGCACCCCGTGTTCCTTGGATATAGACTATATTATAATCATCCAAGTGGTCGCCGCAGTAGGAGAAGGCTAAAAAGAAATCAGTCAGTCATCAACGAGACTGTGTAGATCCACTTCAGCCACAGTTAAACTCACAGTTGGACCCATTGTCGTCACTCCAGAAGCCGGTGGCTAGCTTGTGGGAGCATTTCCCCTTCTTCCGGATGCTGTCGTAAAGCTCCCTTACGTTATCAGGAACATCTCGAGCCAACCCAGAAGCTGCGAGGAGAAGGAACGCAAGGAGGGAAAGGAAGACCATTCTTAGAAACCCTTCTCAATAACTAAGCCTTGGGAAGGCGTAGTCAGTATGGCCCGTCGGGGGTGCGGCTGGTCTCGCACTAGCCAGTTGTCTGACTCAACGTGCGGCGGTTTCAAGAGAACTGAAAATTTGAATGCGCGTCGACGTGCTGCTCCTGGCCCCTGTACTGGGCTCGTATTCATTTGATTACGTATTGGCCCAAGCTTACTGGAGCTGAAAAGTGTTACTTCCATTTTTGGTGGTTCAATTGTTAGCTTTACGACAGTGCTCCACACCTCCCACCCCACGAGGCTTTAGTCAGCTTCCCGGCAATTGATGCCGGATCAGCACAGCACATGCTGACTTGGATGCGGAGCTGTCAAATTATGTCTGGCCTTGCCCCTCAACAAAGTTGGTCGGACGAATAATAAACAAGAGTGATCTGCCGTGTCAATGTACACTTACGACTTTTCGCCGCATTACAATTCACGAAGGCCAAAAAATAGCTTCGAGATCGAGTCTTAGTCGTATAATCCGAGCTAGGGACTGTCGAGTTACATGTCAAGAATTTCTCCTTTATCTGCCTTTTTTTTTTTCCCTTTTTTTTCTTCTTCCTTTTCTTTTTCCTCCCCTTTGTTCAACTTTTGAACGGGGCCTGCTGGAACGACGTAACGGTTTGTAGTTTCTCCTTCTGTAGGAACGTCTGCCGTAGGGGTATCCACCTATCTACCACCTCTCTTTGAAAGACTAGCAGGTGCCCCTCTCTTATCTGTGATCCACTCTGGTTCACGCGCCAAGAAGGGAGTTGCAAAGTACTCTATTACTGAGTCTTCACCTGGTTGACCCCGAGCTGACTTGCATGTCATCTTCTCAACGTGTTCAAAAAGCCCCGGACTGGGCATTTGGGGTGGACGAGAGGAAGGCGGCAGAAACTAAAGCCCAGTGGTAGAGACCACTAGAGAACTAGAGACTACTCGTTGTCAAAATATCGATCCCGAATTTGCGTGATAGATGACAGGGCTCCGCTCTAATGACGATGGTGTCTATCGAAGTGCGTATGGTAATTTCCTTCCTCACAGAGATACCGAGGTATATGATTACAGCGTAGACTCGAGGCTCATGCGTGAGGATTTAGACGCCCTGAATTTCCTTTGCGCGTTTGACATCAGCTATCAGCTAATAACAGACTGCCGAAGACGAGGATGGCGCGATTCAAGCTCGCCGACGACGGTAACCCCTCGCCTGACACGGCCCCATTTCCAGCTTCAACCAATAATCGCCCCAACTCAGCTGAGCATCTGCCATGACCAAGACATCCGGTTTTCGGGCTCCTACTTGCAGCCACATGAAGCGCCCCACCGGACGACGCACCCAGACCCTCTCCAATTAGAGGTGGTTGATCAACATCGTGATTCATACAAGAAATGCCATCATAAGGCAAGTAAGAAAGGGCTCCCAACGCCCAGCATGTTATCATCAAGAGATATTCTAGACTGCGTCTTAATCCTTCATGCCGCGTCCATTTCCTCTTTACCATTATCTGCAGCATTGGTTGTTGTGAGTCTCCAAATTTCGCTCATCCAAGTCTCGGAGGACCCGGAGATGCTCGATTCCTGCGTCCTTCTCTAAATACCAGTTATCTGCCGAGGTCGCCACCGTCCATTATTGCCACTCATCATCAAAACTGGCTTCTCCGGCTGGAAAGAGCCAGGGGACCGTCATGGGCCGACGAGAGAGGCCCTGGAGTCGAGCTCTGGGTTGGTGATGTCAAGCACGGAGATTCAGGACTTCGACCGAAATTCACAAATTTCAATCACTGCTCAAGTAAGCCATTCACCTCTTCTTCCCAAAATGCACACGCAAGTCGTGCAGTCATGTCTTTGCTACGGCTATCTTCTCTTTCATATCTGCCACACCGTCTTGGAGGCGAATGAAGTTAGACAGCCAGGAAGCTGCTCAACGAATAGAAATCCCTCTGAGAAATTTACGGGAGACGCCCCTGGGTACATCCATAAACTTTTTTTCCCCATGTCATTTTCATATAGTTTCGGAGTGGGCAGTGTCGGAAAAAGAGCCTGCTAGATTAGCACTAATCGCAAGCTGCTCGATCGTTCCGCGAGGTAGGGACAAGTGCTGGGCGACGAGCTAGATATGGCTTTCTTAAGCAGAAGTCGTGTGGAATATGTAAGGTAACTAACTGTATGCAAGTCTCTGCAATCCCTACTGGGGATAGCTCCAAATCTATGTTCTAGTTTTATCAGGGAACATTGTTTTTCGCGCGCTTGAACCGCCGGATTGCTTCTCATGGCAACGGCACTTGAAGCGGGATGATTCTGCAAGCTTCCTCGGAGGTTGTCCTTCAAAGTCCCATCGTTACAAGAGTGAAATGCAGTACTACAAGCTTTGTCCAGATAGCCATATGGTTCCATCTATATCTTGACGGAGTTTGAGTCCGAATGAGGATAATTATCCTTGATATCGAACCAGAGTGAAGCTAATGAAATGACCACGGAGCCGAGATGTGAATCCGAACTCTGATGGGCTCCGTCTGGGACCTCGGGGAGGCAGTGGACTCGGTTAGTGCAGCCAGACCATTGGAAACACCATTCAGCCCTCCAAGGAAAGGGATTGGTTACAAGCACCTGGCTGGCCGGGATACGTACTGCTCTCCAGTTGATTCGAATTCGCTGAGGGTGGGTCGATATTGACCCATGCCTGCCTTATTATGAGACGTATCCATGTGGGCAATGGACAAGGAGAGCGTGGAGAAGCCTGACTCGTGGCCATTGTTCACATGTGGGCCTGCATTCATACTACGCTCCGCATGTGGGTAGTGCGGTTTGCCCACTTCCCCATAATCCCCCCAACTAGGATCATCCCCCTTGCACCCAAGAGGTTAGGCCCCCCGCAATTTCCCCAACTTCTCTTCGATGTGATGCCTCGGTATAATCTGAGTTACGCCAAAGAAACACTTCGATCGTGTTGCATAAATCACCTAAAAAAAGCTTAGCGTGGTCTCGTCGCCAGTGGGACCGCGGGGTAAGTACTACAGTCGGCATCAGATAGCGGGAACGAAAAAAACCGGGGTAAGGGAGAGTGGAACAAACGAACCCCAGGAAAATTCTGTACATCGTAACAGTACCTCTTCAGGCCCGGGCGCTAGGGTACAAGAGAATACGAGACATAAAAGCTCGTGTCTCCCACTTATTCAGCGTTGCCCAAGTTGGATCTTTCTCCACTTCTCTTCTGTGTCCTCCCCAGTACAGGGTCGTCAATATCGATAATATCCCTTTCGCATCATTCCGCGTCAAGAAGAACTGCAGTCATGAGTCCCCGCGGCTCTCGCGATACGCAAATGGAGACGAAGACGAAGGAGGAGATGCTGGAGCGTGTAGCTTCGAGCGAGGAAGGTGTTGTTTTCGACGAGGCGACCAACAAACGTATCCTTCGAAGGATTGATTGGTATCTCATGCCTGCGGTATGATTAGTTCCATCTCTTTCCTCTTGTCTCCGTTTTCTGTTCCAGGCGTCGCGTCAGTCCGGTTAATGCATACTAACCGCCATCGCCTTTTGCGGCACCAACAGCTCTGCTTCACCTACGCTATCCAATACTACGATAAGGCGGTTATTTCGCACGCCGCCGTGTTCGGTCTTCGAGACGACCTCGACCTTAAAAAAGGCCTCCGATACTCCTGGGTGGGCCTCATCTTCTATTTCGGTCATATGATTGGCATGTATCCATGCTCTCTTCTCGCCCAGCGCTTCACCCCCAAACGTGTTTGCTCGACATTGACTATCATCTGGGGCATTATTGTGCTTCTCACGCCGACGTGCAAAACATTTGGCGGACTTCTTGCGAACCGCTTCTTCCTCGGATTAGTTGAAGCCGGAGTCAGTCCCATCTTCATGCTCGTCGTCGGACTCTGGTACACCCAAAAAGAGCAGTCTTTCCGCAGCGCTATTTGGTATTCCTGCAGCGGTGGAAGCATGCTCGTGAGTCCTTTGATCAGCTACGGAATGGCCCATATCAACGGAGGCTTGTTGAACAAGTGGCAATACATGTTCCTCGTAGCAGGTGCTATCACTTTCCTTTGGGGTATCGCATTGCTTTGGGTCTTTCCGGACACGCCTCAGAATGCCAAGGGCTGGACTGTAGAGGACAGGGCCATTCTTTTGGAGCGTATCAAGCGCGACAATGTCGGCGGCGAGCATACCCAGTTCAAGTTCTACCAAGCTCTCGAGGCATTGCGGGACTATCAGTTCTGGGCACTTATGCTTATGGCTATCTTGTCTACCACCGGTGCGGCCACGATGACCATCTTCTCGTCAGTCGTCTTTGCAGGCATGGGTTTTGATGCATACACCTCCATCTTGCTCAACTTGCCGACCGGTGTCATGGCATTCATCTGCATTCTCGGATCCGGGTGGCTTGGCGGCACCAAGTTTGGAAGACTCAACACCCTATCCTTATCTTGCCTCCCCGTCATCCTCGGCTGCTGTCTCTTGTAAGTTGGACCGACTTCGATTCAGGCTCATAGTTGACTAACAAGCTATTCAGGTGGCAACTTCCTAACCATATGCCTCAAGCTGCTGGACGAATCGTCGGCTTGTACTTGGTCAATTTCTTCTCCTCGGCTTGGATCCAGGTCATCGCTTTGGGCACATCCAACGTTGCGGGATACAGTAAGAAGGGAGCCTACGCCGCAGGTGTGTGGATAGGCTACTGTGTCGGAAACATCATGGGACCGTTGCTGTTCGACGCGTAAGTCTACTAAGTGTACCTGGAGAGGAAGGTGCGTGAACGTCGCTAATCGATGAAACAGTAAATTCGCACCCCGATACAACGAGAGCTTCACGGGACTTCTGGTTTGCTTCGCTGCGCTTAGTGTTATTGCTCTGGCCCTTCGAGTTGCCCTGGCTAGGAAGAACAAGCGGCGCGATGAGATTTACGGAGAGCCCCAGTTCCAGCATGGTCTTGAAGATATGACGGATAGGGAGAACAAGTCGTTCCGATGGGTGATATAAGTGTTGCAGGTTGTTAGGATTGTTGTCACATAATTTAAACGAACCTAGATGGCGGTATCCTCCATTATTAGAATACCTGGCTTTTTTAAGCAAATACCATCTCTAATTACTTCGTCCACAATCTGTGTCCTTGAGTCCCATCTCGTTAAAATGAGGCTGGCGCCTGTGGGATGATCGCTCAAGTCAAAAGTCGCTACCTTCGTTACTCGGGACTGATTGGCCAATCTAAGTTTATTGGAGATTCTTGATGTACTAGTACTTGAGAGTGGAGAGAAAACGAATGCTGGCCTGGCACCTTTGTCGTTTAGTTTCCTTCCCAAGATCTCATTTGTCTATCTGTGGGGACGCGGGGTAGCATGACCAACCAATCACGCCGCTCCCGTCTTCTCCCCGTTTTCCCCGTCATCCCTGCCTTGACTTATGAATGCAATTTCGAAAAGGGGTAAAAGGTATCAGTGACTGGATGTTAAAGATGAAGTACCGGTCTTGATTACTCTGGAAAAGAAGGTGTATTTTTTTTTTCTCGGGAGAAGGAGGCGGAATAACTTAAAACAATAATTATCAACTCAGACGATTCGTTCACGAGACCCCAAGTTTCCTTGGAATTCCACTCCCTTTCGATTTCTGGCAACAACTTTACATCACGAAGCGGTAACAATTTGAAGGAGTTTACTTGATCTGCCACACCGATACTTCTCCATTTTAATCAGTACCCCACACACACCCCCACTCTTCATCTCAAGCAAGCAAAGTTGCCCAGTGGTATTTTTAGCCCGCCATACCGTGAGGATGCATCCTCCACACAAACGCTTCGTCGGGAAATCATGAAGCTCTTTTTAACTGGGCAACAACTCTGACTGGGGAGTAGACATAATATGACCTCCATTGAGATTCGCACTTTCTCTTGCAACGATAGCTACCACTGTAATATTTCCTCAGTCGCGCCAATCCCTTTAGGTGCGTTTGAGGAGGCCGCGGTCTCGCGCCGTTCATGACCGCAGGCACGGATCTACAAATGAGATAACACCAACCCAACCCCGTGTCAGAAAAGAAAATCTGACGATGTCGTAGACTCGAAGGGGATGCTAGGATGGTGGGGATTATCGGGACCCTTGCAAGAGAGAAATGCTATGCGCTGCAGCAATTGGAGTCTTCCGACTCGCCCAAAGGCCAAAGGGCTGACCCTTTTATGTCTAGCATTTTGACCAAAGAGCGCGGACTCTTTTGCCCTGAGATGGGCAAGTCTGACGCTATCTGCAGTGAGACTGAGCTGCTCGATGGGACTGTGCAACATTTCAACATAGCGACTTATCATTTGCTGGAATCATCTGCATTCCTCTAAGGAACACGACAAGAGGAATTAATCAATCCCGAGACGCGAACTTACCCTTTGTTATGATAGCGTCTAACCTCAACGACTGGTAGGAAAAGAAATGTGAATGAAGATGGTCAAAGGACGTAATGGTCTATTAAAATATGAATTATTCTAACCAACATGTGTATGGCAGAATGGCTAGAGAGCAAAGATTATAAGCACCAGCATCACTACACTCATCTGATCTACCGATTCACACTCCACTGGTACCCCAAGCCCTGCTCAGCCAACCAGGTGAACGGCCCCTTGCTCATTATCGTGATATAAACACTGACGAGATGTCCTCCCGCAGCCGAGATCTCGTACTCCAACGCCCTCGAGAAGAACGATAGTCATGTTTAGAAGTCGGGCAATGGGACTTCTCAGGGCTAATATCGTGTCATCAACTGTTAGAACTCAACGTTCACGACTATCCCACCCAAACGCCATAGGAAAAACCTGACCACAATAGGAATCCTGAACTTCTTGTTGGTCAAAATCCTTCCCCACCCAGATCGGTGGGTGTGTTTAATGGCATCCGACTGGACCCATTATTCCTTCTTCTTCTTCTGGATCGGATTTCCCTTCTCATCCACTAGCCCCTTTGCACGCATAACCTTCAACGCTTCGATCAGGGGATCAAGCTCAGGGCGGGGTGGGCGATGCGAATCAAAGTAGCTGTCAGCCCAGGTGAAGTACTGTCCGTAGTTGACGGTGAAGTAGATGTGATGCAGCGTATGATGCGCGGGGCTGTTGATGTACTTCTCAAGCCAATGGCCTGAGATCATGTCCCCGTCGTGGATGAAGATAGTCCAAATTTGCACCAAAATGAACAAGGTCATATAGAGGTACTTTTGCACCGGGAAGACGAACACGAAGATGCTAAAGAGGAGTGTTAGAAAGTGCGACACCTCGAACGATGACAAATGCTGGACGTCGAATCGAGGACTCACTGGTATGGCAAAGACTGGACATAGCCGTCGAGAGGATGAAAAGCCAAGGCCGCCCATGGCGTCGGGACTTGGGACCGTCGGTTAGCACCTCTGATTATTCCGAGTTGGTCGGCTGAAGGATAGGGTAGGCAACTTACTAATCCATTTATGGTGAGGCTTATGCACGTACTTATAGACGCTAGGGTGGTGTTCGAGGCGGTGAATCCAGTAGATGAGGAAGTCATTCCAGATCATAAACACGACTGTCGAAATCCCAAGCCAAGCCCAACCATAGTCCTCGACATTGGTGTAAAGGAAGCTCTTTCCTCGCACCTCAGCCAGAAAGAAGGGAAGGGTCATGATATTGATCCACGGAACGGCCTTCATCGACGATACAATCTCCTGTCTCACCTGGTTCTTCAGGAAACGAGGGTGGTACTCCAAACGCCGGTCAAAGATGAAGTAGTACGAAAGCGCGCTGAAGATCCAGTAGAGCATGGAAGCCCCAAGCTGCGTAATCACTAAGATTGAAATGCATTGCCGCAGGATATTGTCGCGCGGCCAAGCCGACTCGGGTGGTGACGATGACGATGGCACATCGAGACTTGGGAGGCCAGTGGAATTGGAAATCGTCGCAGCGGGGACGAAGTAGGCATACGCCTTGTCCAGGACCAAAGGGTCCAAGATCTCGAGAGCTACGTCCATTGTGAATCGGCGGCACGGCTTATCCGAGAGACATCGACCGGTGAGTGAGGAATGGCGCGATGAGGAGAGGTTGTTTTTCGGTTTGATCGGAGGATTATCGCTCACCTCCTTTAATTTTTTTTAGCCGTTGTTGCCTGATATTTATGGCGTCACTGGCGTGACAGGCGAAATCCAATCTAAGAAGTGGGGAATGGGCCGTTCCGGATAGCTGGAGTCTTATCTCCGGGCCAAATTCTGTTTCCATCAAGTCTCTGCTATATTAGTCAGCACAACATCCGGTGATCGGCCCCAATTGCTGCGGTTTTGAGAAACTGCAGATGATGTGTGTCTTCATTCTCTCTGGCAAGCTGCGTCCAACGAAAAGAGCACGGGGAACAGCTGCGTTCTATACTTTCGCCTTTAAAGCAAGCTCAAGTGAATTGGGCGACCGGAAGTCCAGGAGGTCTAAATTAATGTCTGGGTTCATCTTGTAGCCAGTGTTGGGCAGGGACAATGTTCCAAGCAATTTACGAAGAGGAAACAATCGACTAACTGATGCTTCCCGCTGAGCCGTCGGAACACCCGTAAATGAGATCAACTTCAACACGATCCTTTTCTTCTTTTTTTTTTTTTAAAAAAAAAAAAAAATAAATTCTACTTGTGGTAGGTCCAGTCTCTATTTGGAGTACTACTTAATATAATGAAACCCATTGAACCTGTGATACCTCAGCAATATTTATTGATTGGTCTCGATGGAATTGGAGGTGTCCGTTTCCCCGCATCGTCCCCAAGAAGTCAGACCTCCCACAAGCCAAGGCACACAAGTTCGAGAGTCAATATAGTTGGGTTAGTGAAAATCCGCAGGTTGCAGGAACACGGCCTTAAGAGTCAGCAAACCGAAGCTAGTAGGATCTTCTCGGAAGATAAACCACCAGTTCTGAAGAATTTAGCTCTTTCTGCTTAAAGGAAGAAGCCAAGTTAGGATTATGCCATAGAGTCGCACCCGGAGCTTGATTTTCGTTGATAATGATGATCTAGCTTCGGCAGCGGCTCGATGGGCCTATTAACTTACACCTCTTTTCCACACAAGGCGTTATGATGCGAATCATATGATAGCCAGTGACCATCTCTGCAACCTTGGGGGGATAATTGCTTGGAGGATTTACAGGGTATGCAGTTCAAGTCCAATTCATCTATTTGTGTGTACTCCGAAGTCCACGTGAGCTCGCAAACAGAGATGTGACAAAAGCAATCCCGGCAAACGCCGTGGATGCCCCGAAGGCATACTTGATTCCCGTATAATAAACCAACTGAGCCGGCTGTTGGATCTCCATAGGTAGGTCCTTTAGGGCGGTTACGGAATGTCGAATTGCTTCAATAATCTAATGGACGGCGGTGTTTTTAGTCTCTGAGCAGCAAAACGATTAAGCCATCGGGGAAAGACATACCCTCTGTTTATCCGGTACATCACTAAGGGCCTGAGGCAACCGAGCGCTGAGGGTAGTTTGCACAATTGCAGAAGTAATGGCCACTCCCCAAACGGTCCCCAGAGATCTGATTAAGTACACGGTAGAGGCTGACACGGCGTGGTCTAGTAGAAGTCGACATTAGTCTTGTTGTGCGACGGTTTAGTTCTTGTCATGGAACTTACCTGCATGATCAAATGATGCCAAGGACGTAAAGAGCATGGCAGGGTATATAATACCCTGTCCGAGATTGGCCGGAAAGATATACACGCTGTACTTCCACTTAGAGTCCTCAAATTTCAACGAGGTCACAAGGGCATTCCCGAACAACATGAGGATGGCGCCGAGCCGCACGAGCCAGACGAGCTTGCCCCAACGAGACATAACTACCCCGGCGATTAACCCGCCTACCGGAGTTGCAAGTGATGGAATGGCGAGCCGAGCCCCTGCTTTGCTCGCCGAATCCAGTAGAACGACCTGAAAGAACAAAGGGAGCATGAATAGATACTGTTTGATTGTCAGTTTTGCGTTTATTCCTTGTTAACACGTTTTAGGAACGAGAAAAGAAAGTGGAAAAGGCAAGAGAACGTACTGCGTATGCCGCAACACCCGCGCAGACATTGGAGATTTGTGTTAAGATGGGAAGGCTTCCACGCAGCATTCGCAAAGGGATGACGGGCACCGCTGTCGTCTTCGCCTCGATCATCAAAAAGACAATCGACAGAACAACGCTCCCGAGTAGTGAACCGACGACCCAGGGGCTGCTCCATGGCAGCTCGTTCCCACCCAGACTTAGACCTACCAATTGAACGGACACTGCAACAACTAGGAGTAACGCCCCAGAAAGGTCAACCCTGGCCCAGATAGCCTTTAAAGAGTCATCCGGATTAAATCCACCCTCGGGGTTTCTAATCACGAGGGCGCCGAGGGCAAGGGCCATGATGGAGATGGGGACTTGCAACAGAAAGCACCAGCGCCAGCCGATGTGATCGGCGATGGATCCGCCAAAGGAGGCTCCAGCAACTGCCCCGAATCCAAACATTCCATTTTGAAAGGCCTGGTACATGCCTCGTTTGCGAAATGGAATCATGTCGGAATTGACAATAGTGGCTTTTGCAAGGGTGTTAGAGGTTTGTTTGCCAGAGCCATGAGATGAGGTATCAGGCACTCACCCATGGTCATCAGACCCCCTCCGCCGAACCCAGTCAGAGCGCGCATGCAATTGAGTAAGATTATATTACTAGCGAGACCGCAACCTAGGCAGCCAAGACCGAATGTAATGCTGCTCACAAAGAAGCATACTCGACGACCAAAGATATCCGAGAACCGGCCGTAGAGAGGCTGAAAGGCCGTGCTGGTGACGAGATACGCCGTTGTCAGCCAGGACGCGGTGTTGGCGGCGTCAAACTCAGAGCTGATTACTGCGTAAGTGGCCGCAGTGATAGTCCCGTCAAACCCATACAGAAAGACATTGGACATGATAGCCACTTGGATCCACTCGAATCCGGCTGGCGGGCTCCATTCCCCGGTGGTTGGCGCTACAGGGGCTGGCTGAAGTAGCGGTTCGTGCTCACCAGCTTCCAAACAAGACTCGGTATGTGTGGGTTGGGACAAATGTCTCGAAGTGGAATTGGGCCTATTCACTGTATCACTAGTACCTAGGAGTTTCTGAATTGGGACGGTCATGGCGGCTGGCGGCGATGAGGGAGAGGGAAGTATAGAAGTGCTGTGGGCAGGGATATCTGTTGAACGGGTTTGCCGAGAGGGCTCACATACGCGGCGAGCGAGTGCAGACGAGGGAAAACGACTGGAATGTCATGCAATAAGCTTCGGCTCACATTAAAATATCAAGTGCTGGCTGAGCGCTCCTTCGTGAACCAGAGACTCCACCTTCACGCGCGTCGTGGGTTCCGCTTGGCCTGTTAGATGTCACTCCAAGCACGTAATTTCGGAGGATATCCCGAAGATACTGTGAGGAATTGGATTCGCCGAGGTCCGGAAGTCGTGATGCAACTCTGAGCGGTTCGGGATTTTAGGGCGCGTTGCGAGAACAGCATTCTGCCTTGTCAATGTTGTCACAAGTGGATGCCAGCTTAAAATCAAATCGGATTCGTGCGTGTGTCATGCATGCATCAATCCCACAAGAGCAAGGGTTCGGTTTTTTTTTTTCCTTGTTGCATAATCAAGAAAGTCTCCCTCACCCCCACCTTTACAAGGGTACGCTTCGGCGAGTGACACATTCCCGCTTTCATGTTCCCAATCATCCGTTGACTTACTTCGTGGCATTGAATTATAGCCGGGAGGAGAGTGGGGTTATGCCTATCAGGACAAGCGAATGTCGGGTCGCAAAGAGAAGTCCAACACTTTCAATAACCCCCGGGGCAAAGTTCAAGAGAAATGGAAGTCAGACACCTACCAAGTCTGTCTTCAAAGGGCTCAGTTGCGTGCCGTCTTCCCGGTTGCCGAACCTGCAGATTATTGAACAATGGGATGCGGAACACGACAGGGATGTCGTCACGGAGAAGGGAGGCTATGTTCGACTTTATCGGTTCGAAGTGCTCCATTCCTGCATGCCTGCACGCGTTGGACCGATGGGACATTTTCCGTCGAAAAACCCTCGGTGTTGGCCCATGGTGCATTGCCAGCGGAGCGGGCTCGCATCAGTAACCAGGTGTTGAGTTATCACGGAAGCAGAAGACGTGGGATCATCGGAACCAATGAACCTCTTGACGCCATTGGAATTCATGCTCATTTTTCGCCTTGAGTCAACTATTGCGAGCTTGATATCGTTCATGATGCCATGCAGCGTGAGCTAGGCCAATAATTCGCTCGGCAATGGGGGAGATTTCCCAGGGAATCATTTCCCATTCTCAATACATCTTTAACCTGCTCAATTTATGTTTAAAAAGGTCCATCTTGCTACTAGGATCAGGGGCTCCAAACTGACAGCTGCTGATCTAAGAACCAAGCAATTAGGGAAAGTCAAACTTGTTGGGATAAATTTTTATAAAGCCTTTTCAATATTGGGGCGTGTACTTCGCAAAGGTGAATGTACCTATTCCTTCGTAATAGAAGACATTGATCGATACTGACCTACTGGGGATGAGTAGTCAACCACGATGAACCACACGTGCACCAAGGCCATCCTGGCAGCTGCTTTCTTATTCCACACGGGTCTCGCCGACTGGCAATTCCGTTCTCGTAGCGATCTCGCGCCCCCGCGTCTGAATATCACAATCCAGGCAACCGAGGAGGTTGAGAAAGGCTACCTGTTCATCTCCCCGTTCGCTGGCCTTGTGGATACTCCGTCGGAGCAGCATGGCCCGCGGCAGGCAGGGCCATACATCCTTCGTGATGATGGCGACCTGATTTGGTCCGGCTATGCTATTTATAGCATCTGGGCTACAAACTTTCAGGCCGCACGCTGGCGTGGCCAGGATGTCCTCTTCAGTTTCGAAGGTGACCATAATCCTGGCTACGGCCATGGGCATGGGCATATCACTTTGATGGATCAGCACTACGAGACCATTCGGGAGCTGCGGGCTGGCAGTCACAAACTGGTTGATAAACACGAGTTTCATATCATTAACGAGGAGTCCGGCTTGATTCAAATCTATCAGCCTGTTGTTCGGGACCTGGCCGCTTGGGGTGCTAAGCCCGAGCAGCAGTGGATCGTCAACGCAATCATCCAAGGTTTGTGAATGTGACTGCTCCTCTATCGCTGCTCAAGGGCAGTGTTGCTATAGTCCATAACTCTAACTTGGCTTAGAGCTTGATATCACAACTGGAAAGGTTCTCTTTGAGTGGGCCAGTCTCGATCATGTTTCCCCAGATGGTATGTCTGCCTTGACCTTTCTGCAAACCAGATAACTGTCGGCTAATAATATGGCATAGAGGCCGTACTTCCCATAAACCCAGGCCAAGCTGGCTCTGGATACAACAGCTCGGATGCGTGGGACTATTTTCACATCAACAGCGTCGACAAGGATGCGGAAGGGAACTACCTCATTTCGGCCCGTGACGCTTGTGCGGTTCACAAGATCAACGGAACAGATGGATCTATTATCTGGCGCTTAGCAGGGAAGAAAAGCTCATTCACTTTGGGCGAAGGCGTAGATTTTTGTTTCCAACACCACGCCCGTTGGCTCTCCCAAGACGGAGATGAGGAAGTCATCAGTCTTTATGACAACAGTGCACATGGAACCGAGCACGATGGGGGTAGTGAAGTCCACACAGCTCCTACAAGCAGTGGCAAGATTGTTCGAGTCAATACCAAGACTTGGAAAGCGGAACTTATACAGGCCTTCTTCCCACCGGATGATCTCCGATCCAAGAGCCAGGGGTCAACTCAAATCCTACCCAACGGTAATGCGCTGATAAACTGGGGATCCTCGGGGGCCCTGACCGAGTTTCTCCCTGATGGCACCCCGATCTTCCACGCATACATGGACTCTGGGGATCTCGGCATCGCGGTAGAGAATTACCGCGCTTTCCGGTTCAACTGGACAGGCCTTCCTACTGAAGAACCGTCGATTGTGTCTCTCGAGAATGGTGATGGAACCACAATCTACGTTTCTTGGAACGGCGATACTGAAACAGATCTATGGCGCTTCTACGAAGTTTTTGATCGCCATGGGTCGAAAAGACTCCTCGGCGAGGCGAAACGCACAAACTTCGAGACATCTCTCCATATTCCTAAGAAACGCATAGGTAGGGTTGTGGCCGAGGCAATTGACAAATCCGGGGCTGTTCTTCGAGGTACTTCTGTCGCTAAAATTGAGCCGGAAATACTGCCTGCTGTTGTGGCTTCGAGCTCTAGTAAACACACGGCAGGAGGAGCCGGGGGGGAAGGAATCCAGGCAATACTGTCAACGCCTCGGTCTCTATGGGAGAGGTGGACGTCACCGGGATCTAAGGAGTTAAAGTCACATGTTTCTGGCGATGACCTTTAACCAACAGTGCCCTAGGTACCTCGCTCGTCTGGCTAGCTCGTCTAGATGAGCACATTTGAAACGCGAGGGATACCTGAACAAGAGAGCATAGGAGAGATGAACAGGGGGCTGGGGCAAACAACTACTGTACCTAAGATGACCCATGTCTATTATAACCTGCCTCCCGATATGTAATTTGAATAAAAATGTGATCTCGATGGAGCTCGGCGGTCGTATGAGAGGCTGGTTATTGGTGACAGTTGGGTGATCGGGACCTTGATTAGGTCTTATGTCTCCTCTCCCGAATTCTATCTTCTTGTCCAGACACGGGGATATTATAATCAGAGGACAAACTTTTACAAGCACGGCAATACACATCATGGTCTGTGGGAAGGGCTAGAGGTTATTATTCACATGTATGGGCGGGAAGGGGTCCGGTAGATTACCGCCTTGGAGAGCTTCCAGTCAAATCTCCAAGTCCTGTGTCTCGGTAGAGCGAACTAGCAAAATGGAAGGACTTCTCATGAACAGAGGATCGCGCAGTGTGGTGGTATAACCTATATAAAAATTCAAATAATGAGGGACCTAGCTCTCCTCCCGGGAGGTGCTGAAGTTCTAACGCACGTTAGATCGAACCTATCCGATTTCGATTGCGGATTTTCAAAAAATCATTCAGCGATAATAGTTGCTGTGTCGAGACACACCATTCTAAGTTCACAATCTCCTGTGATCCTTCCCCGCGAGAGCTGCCACCCTTAGAAACCACCCAGGGCAGTCCCAAACTGGTGGAAAACGCTTCAGATCAAGTCTTATTGCGCAATAATCAATCTTAATCTGCTCTGATAAAGGGTAGTAAGAACATAAGAAAGCCCTCATTCACTTCTCCTCCCTTGATTCATGATGTATTTTTCTTCGTCCACAGTTGCTTTGTGGAAATGCCTCCTTCATTAGTATAAGGTGGGGGTGATGCCGCGGGGGTTTCCGGTGTATGGTCGGAGAGAGTATATTGGTTTGACATTGTCTCCGTGTCGTGGTAGGCAACGGGTACGTTGACATGGAAAGCAGGGGGCGACCGGAAGGTGTCGACTGGGTTCCGCGTTTGCGATGGGTCAAACCCACGTTCCTGATCCTCGATAACGCTTCTTTTCGCTTGCTTTCGTAGCTTTCCAAGGGCGTGGATGAGACGGATAGATAGGCCAAACGTATGTACATAAGCAACACTGCTGACAGTTAGTCACCCATACTTTTCGCGGCTTGAAGGGACGTTGACTCACAGCAGGAAGAGGGATACCACCCAAGAGAAACGAGGAATGGAACAAAAGCGGTCCAGTTCTCCCTTTCCGTTATCATCTCCGAACCCCACAGTGGTGAAACCGGCAGCCGGTTTGCTGTCGGTATTATCTGTTTTTTGCCTTGTCAGTGTACAGTCGTTTCCGACAAATGTAGGCAAAGGGAATGCGCGGTCGTACGATCTTTAACAGTAACCCCAGTACATTTGTATGGCAAACCGGCAACACTAAGAACCACAATGGCCGCAACCTGGGTTCCGATGCACACCAAATCAAATAATAGAACAAAGGAGATACAAACTCGGTGGCCATAGCCGTTGATGTATCGTCCAAACCAGTTACAGGTCATAGTAACCAACAACGAGACGCCAGCCTTGAGCCCATGTTAGTCTCGGAAGCGTAGGACACAAGACGCAATGAAAGGACACTACCGTCCCATACCATAATGATGCAGACTGGCAGTGCCCCTGCCAAGCCAAGGTTGTGAGAGTCAATGTACCCCGTAAGAAAGGCGGTTGCGGCCAGATTGAGGACGAGGATAACGCATTGAAACACCTTCCACTTATACAACTGCTCGCGAAGGCGTTGGTCAGGCGGGATATTTCCCCGATCCTTACGGGAGCGAATATCCCTGAGCCAGGCCATTGTGTCAATTCCAGGCACTTTTGAAGTTCTGCTCTGTGAGGAATAACACCACTACTGGTTCAGGACATGGATGTCGACAAGGTGGTTCGGAGACTGTACCGCCCTCGACGTTGAATGGGTTATTATTTTTATCGATGAAGGGAAAGCGTGCAGCTTGTTCAGCATGGCTAATCCTCTCTACTTTATAAATTTTTTTCCTGCTCTGCTGGTATCGGTTAGAACGTATTACCGTATTTCTCGCGTCCTGCCTCGTCATCTGGTGAGGCGGAGCTTACGCGCCCAGCTGCTCGTGTTGGTCCGTAAAACTGACCCCGCTTAAGCAAAGATGTCTGAAGAATGCAAGTGGCATTCTTTGTCGCGAAAGACGTTAGGTCACTTCCATGCTGAGGTCGCTTATTCTCAATAAAGTTCCTCGTCATCCGTACCCCAGGAAAAGCAAAACGAAAAAGAATGAAAAAATTTGTAGAGCTTGAGAGCATATCGATGCTTTACCTCGGTATTGTGATCATTTTTTTGCTATTGATGAATGAGGCGGAATTAATTACAGAGGCAGGATGAACATTGCCTGAGCAGCGCCACGATGTGCCAAGAATCGAGGGAATCAGGTATCCCTCTCCTAACACCCCTGGCAGTAGCTAAATCGCAGGTGGATCAAATTCCCCAGGCTCAAGTCCATCTTTCTCTTGGGCGAACAGTCTTTTTGACTCTTGCCAGGCTAATTAAACTTTGAGCGGTAGTGACAAGGTAGCAATCGTTTCATAAATCACCAAACCACTAAAAATAGGCGTTGTGTTTCGAATCGTTTCATCGATTGATCACTGAACTTTTTTTAAAAAAGACATGATCCCCACCCTCGCAATGGGAACAGATTACTCCCAAAATTAGGAGCATGCTTACTGTAGTTTTCGAGAGGAGGATTTGCATAGCGAATGGGAAATCCTTCATGGAACTGGTAATTTTCCTTGAGAGAACTCTGTACGCCTCATATGGGGCGGACAGTTCAGTGGTTGGAGATCCCAGAGCCTGGGCGGTGGTGGTCAGCCACTAAGCCCCATTTCCTTTGAATCGCGGAAGTGAAGGAGTGGGGTGATGGATTCCGCAGAAAACCCGGGGTGAGGTGATGAAGCTATTAATATTAACATCTCGATGAAGTGAAAGGCGATCGAGGATAGGATGTGTTACACAGTGAATAAATTGGGCCTTATCCGAGGCGATCGCTGTTTCTTGCGTGCGTGCTGATCCTTGAGATCGCTAACCACCGACGTCATTCAAACAAGGGATAGAGCGGCGCGGTTGCACATGGTCGTGTAATTCGTTTGCAGGGTTCGGGAAGCGTCGCAGTCGGGCGGATACATATCCGTACATTTACACTTGCCGCCCTTAGAATCACTCCACGTTGGGATGGAGTTCGTCTGCTTAGGAGCCTTCGAAATGCTCTACATGACATAGATGGTCGCCACGGTGAAATATTTCTGTCACTACATGTGTCTGCTCTGGTCTGCGTCTCGTAGAAACCTCAACATTGAATCTATTATATCATACAACCCCCATTTTCCCTCATCTCTTGGCCCCGCCACCCACAGGCAACGACCTTTTAGTTTTGCAGGATTGTGCTTTCCGTGTTCCGTCGCAACTGATATATATCATAGGAAACGGGCCACTCGACTCTCGACGATACCACTTATCACATCGGAAGGTAAGGTCGTCGCAAAAGGTAACGCAGCACAGGGAAGAGTTGGGAATCCATATGTAGCTGATGGCGGAAAATCCCAGATCATGTAAACCCTCGTCACGCAAGACGGGAGAAGCCTTGCCTTGAAAGTCTTTTTCCGACCATGCCTGGAAGGCGAAGCTGTCCTCGGGCGTGGTCTCGTTGAGGAAGGTTACCGTCGGACTTGCCGAGCTCGAGGTTGAGGTACGCGATGATGACCCAGTTGTCGCAGTTGGGCTCGGGCTTGCGGTCGGGATCGAAGCACTTTAGTCCACCTTGATGTTAGCTGTCTTTGCTAGAAGCGCAAAAGTTGGTTTCTAGGAGATGTGGCTTCTAACCTAGTTGGTTGGTCGTCTTCCTCTGATGGTTCTGAAGAGGCGGACGCTTTTGAATTGCGCGCAGACAGACCGCCGCCTAGCCCACCGCCGAGCGCGGCGGCGAGGATGATCAGAACTGTTATGGCGACGATCCAGAAGGTCCTTTTCTTCAGACCCAGTATCTTCTTCTCTGCCGGGGGGAGGGGGTAGCCAGCTGCCTGGGCTTGTTCGTATCCATGGCTGGGCGCGGGAGAGTCTGGATACGGGCTGACGGGGTCAGCGGTCGCAGAAGCTTCATACCCACCGACATACTTGGGGGTATCGTCGGCGATGACTGGGTATTTGGGGTACCGATCGCCGAGGTGATTCTCATAGAAGGCTGTGGCGTTTTTCGGGATGACCTCCGGCGACGAGTCGGGGACGACTTCAGGCAGGTTTTCGTCCAGCGGGCGGGGCAGGTTGGTTTTCTCCATCGATATTACTCTGGGGAAAGAAGAATCAAAACGAGGGGGAAAAAAAAGAAGAGGGGGAAGAAGAAAAGACAATGCGCCAGAAGAGGGAACGAAGAACCTCCACCAAGATTGAGGGTTGGTAACTCTGGTCGCGTTCCGCCACCAGCGATCCGTCAAAGATGTTCGGCTGTGGGTTCGCGGAACTAGAAGTTTGGGCCCAGGGGTGATCATGGAATTTTTATAAATATGCAATAAGTCTATTTTTCTTCATGCCTTATTAACTGGTCCCCCATTTTAACACCGACGGCGACAGCGATGATCCCCCCGGTTTCAAACCAGGATGCTACTTCATGAACTGCATCAAGTGCAGCTGGGCCAATCAACAGGTTGAATGTGACAAATGGATGGGCCTCTTCATTTAACTCGACAGGCTCCTGCCCTTTCCATCGAAGTAATTTCCGCCACATGTGGCTTGGAATCGCGGACTCAATTGAGAGCTCGTGTGAGTTCTGACCCTGCTCGTCGTTTTGACCATTGCCGTCTTCTTCGTAATTGACGGAATAATAATATCACCACCATATACAAGTTTATTTGCGACCGCACGACTAAAACTATTCGGGAATAGCACCGCGTGCCCAGTGCATTCCCAGCACTCAAGCCTCAAACCAATTGATTTCGCCTGGGCATCGACGTGCCAGCTTCAAAGAGAGCCGAAGCTTCGACGTTTTACGAACTAGGGCTCCTTGCTCCCAAGTATGTAAAGACGAAGATGATATTAGAAAAATAGCTCCAGGATTTAAAAAATACATCTTTCTGGATTTTTCTCTAGGCCTCTTTAGGAATCTAGAGCCTAAAGACGAAATAGGAGTGATGTGAAAAGAAGTAAACTTATAAGCTGATGGCAGAAGCCTCGAAAGATTCGAAAATCAGGGGTTCGAGAAAGGTACGTGAATCTATTGTGTGTGGATGTACTCAGCGTGTGACTCCTATTCCGTACAACTAGTACGAAGTAGTAGCGGTCGCAAATAAACTCGCCCACTGTTAATGTTATTCCAGCGATCAATGACTCGGTTGGGACAAGAGAAACCGTCGCTGTTAACTGCTGCCATCCCAGAAAAGTTAGACGTTCTTCATGTGATTACGGCTAGGGCAGTCCTGCCGAGGTAACGGTGGAAAAGAGGGGAAAGAGGTTCCGTCCTCCTTCAGTTAAACGGACCCGCATTGTTCTGATTTCCTGTTGCTTTTCGTTTCTATCCTTTTCATTTTCAGGCGGGGAACATCCGTGAGAGAGACAGCAAGATGCTTGAGAGGCGGCGCCATAATGTTTGCTGCCAGAATGGGAGAATGGGTCGCTCTCTCAACCCCAATCACGCTTAATTGATCCGCGATATCGGACTGCCAGACTGGTCCCTGCCAACAACCTCCACGCCGAGAGCAGCTAAGGTCCCAGCGCTTGGCACCCCACTTCCAGCTGACCGCCAAAATCCCCTTCGGCTTACCGCAGAAGTCCCTCTGGCCGTCGAGCCCCACTTTCAACAATCGAATTGGTGCAGGCTTCCGTTGACTTGTTGGCCCTACTGCAACTTCCCACAAGTTCCCGTGGTTTGAACTTAGCCTCATCGGACAACTTTCGTATTGCGAGTGGCGAAAAAGACATGGAAATCTCGAGCTGGGGCAGCATATGGCCCTGTTACTCCTGTTGCAATGAGTTTTGGGTATGTTGTACGGCCTGTAAAGAAGAAGGGGTCTAGCCATCACCACGGCCAACCTTGTGCCCTATCCTCTCTGTATGTGTTCCAACAGTTACTAACCCTACTCGAGGTACCCTCTCTTGGACGCTTCGGGGCACAATGCGTTGGGATCGTGGGCCACATACCGCTATGGACTTCGGTGATTGCCACCGTGCTGCACTACGGATTCCGCCCGCTCTGGAAACGACGTCCGGTATGGCTGAGAAAATTTGCCGTTGAGGACGACGCGGAAAGCCGGTGCGATGAGTTCGGCGCCCCGAAGGAGAGAACATTGACACTATGGACCATCTTGTTGCTGGTATTGACAGCCTCAGGGGCTATTCTTAGCGCCACTGGCGTCGCCGCCTCGCGAGATCTTTTTTCGATTTCCCTGCCTCCGAATGTAATAATCAGGTTCCCACGTTCATGATGTGAACGGGGTCTCGTACTGACATTACTTAGATAATGTCTTGCGCCATTCTACTTATCGACCGTCCTCAGTCTCTTTCGGGGACCGTTCTCCTTATTCAATTCGTCCTCTTCTTCATCGAGTCTGCTATCCTCGCTGTAGCTCCCGGTCTAAATGGTCCTTGGTATGACCATGCATGCCTGTGGATAACAGGAGTCTGCATTCCCTTTGCGTGCCTCTGCGTACTGCTCAACATGCCTATGAGAGATGCCCGGTGGAGCACAGATGAGATTAGCAAGGCTTTCGCCCAACCAACGTCATCGCTTCGGAGCCCCGAGGATAATATATCCCTCTGGCAATGGATGTCGGTCTCGTGGATGTCGCCACTAGTCTCTATAGGTGTGAAAAGACAAATGCACGAAAACGATGTGTGGCTCCTTCCCTACGAGTTTCATCATGGTCGGCTACATCTTCTCTTTCGGGAGCTCACTGGGTCCGTCTTTATTCGACTTCTAAAAGCCAATGGCTTCGATTTGATCATCATTACCTGCCTAGGATTCCTAGAGACATTCGCGGACCTCGCCGAACCTGTCCTCCTCAAGCAGATCCTAGCCGCACTCGCCGGTGGCCCGCAGATGTTGCGAGTCGCATTTGTCTACGCCGGCTTGTCCCTCTTCGCTAAACTCGCCAAGGCACAAGCGGGTGTTTTTAGCATGTGGTTCAGCCGCCGTGCGTATGAGAGATCGAGAGGAGAAATGATCACCACGATCTACGAGAAGACTCTCCGGCGAAAAGCGTTCACCTTTCCCAGCAGCGCTTTTGAAAACCCTGAAAAGATAGCCGATACGCCGGACAGTGGCTGCACTTCAACTCCGACTACGCTCACTAACGACGAAAGTGATGAGGCCGCCAATGATTCCGAGTATGGAAAATCCCCACGAATGAGATTTGAATGGCTCAAGGCCTGCTTTCGGAAAAGGAAATGTGGTAGCATACCACCCAAGTTAACCCAGATCCCGGGCAGCGGTCCCGCCTCGACGGGAAAGATCCTCAATCTTATGCGGAACGACGTGTACGAAGTTGCGCAGCGTTTTTGGGAATTTGGATCTCTTTTCACCAAGCCGTTTGGGTTCGTCTTGTCCATCGTCCTGATATGGCGGATTCTTGGACCTGCGTCGCTCTCTGGCATTATCGTTCTCCTCCTTGGGCAGGCTAGCAACGTCTTTATCCTTCGTGCCTTTGTGAAAGTCGAGAGGATACGCCGCGGAATTACGGATGGCAAGTTGCAGCTGATCAGCCAATTCGTCGAAGCCATCCGACACTTACGGTGGTACGCGTGGCAGAATGCATGGCTAGTCCGCATTTTTGATAGCCGCCAGGCTGAGCTCTCCAAGATTGTCCTCGGCATGGTTCTCACCAGGATATATGGCTTCGTGAACAACCTCACGGGATACCTTTTTCCCTTTTTGGGTTTTATGGCATACACCCTCATCAGCCGGAAGCCCTTGACAGTCGATATAGCATTCCCCGCACTAACCCTCTTCACCACCCTCCAAAATAATCTGCGCGAATTGCCAAATCTCGTCGCGGTGTTGTTGAACGCGAAAGTTGCGATGGACCGTATCGACGGCTTTATGGCCGAGCCCGACAAAGATGCGCTCGATGAATCTGTCGTAGGCCACCCTGCCGAACTCGAGATTGAGCTCAAGGATGCCACGTTCTCCTGGCCCGGCTCCGACAAGACTGTCCTCCGCGACATCTCACTTTTGTGTAGACCTGGGCTCGTCCTTGTCTGTGGCAAGGTCGGCGTCGGGAAAACAGCTCTTTTGCACGCTATCCTTGGGGAGCTTGATCAGCTCGCAGGCGAGAGGCGGGTACCAACAGAGATGATCGGGTATAGTGCCCAATCGCCATGGCTCCAAAGCATGAGCATTCGCGAAAACATCCTCTTTTGTGCGGAATTTGACGAGGCCAGATACCTCCAGGTGCTCGATGCCTGCTGCCTTCTGCCAGATCTGGCGAACTTCAAGGCTGGAGACCTCTCATTCATCGGCGAAAATGGCGTGGGACTCTCCGGTGGCCAGAAAGCCCGCGTCGCCTTAGCGCGGGCGATCTACAGTCGAGCGCGAATTCTTCTCCTCGATGATCCCATTGCGGCCTTGGACCATCAAACCGCAGAGACTATACTAAGAAAACTCTTTGCCAAAAAGTCTTCGCTGATGAAAGGTCGGCTCGTCGTCTTCGTCACACACCGCATCGACCTCATCATGAGATATGCTAATCAAGTTCTGGATGTGGTGGAAGGGGGGCGAGTGAACGTGATTACCAGAGAGGAGCTGGAAAATAACGAGGACCTTCGGCAGCTTGTAACCGCGGCTATTTCTCAACACGACACTGCTGAGGACGAGCCTACTCTCGAGGAAATGAAAGCAGTCCCCGACAAATTCATCGAAGAAGAGTACCGTGCCCACGGAGGGGTCATGGCTTCCGTGTACTGGAAGTACGTCAAGGCTGGGAAACTTCGTTGGTGGGGTTCCCTAGTGGTCTTCTTCATCGCCTTCCGCGCCACAAACATCCTATACTTCTGGTTTCTGAAAGAGTGGGGTGAACGATATGGGAAATCAGAGAGGGACATGCTCACTATGGCTTTCCGTACCGAGCTTCAGCAACACAGTCTCAGTTTCGAGTCAGCCGTCCAGCGGGCGCCGGCCTCAGGTAACAGTTGGCTTGACTTTGGAAAGTACCTCCCGTCTCCTCAAGTCAACGTGCGACCCTGGTTGTTCTGGTTCTTCGTCATTTCCATGGCCCAAGTCCTCGCTCAATTGGTCTCCGAGTTCATCCTGCTTGCCATCATGTACGAAGCCGCGAAGCAGCTCTTTCAAGATGCAATGCAGAGGGTAAGCGGTGCGATGTTCCGTTTTTACGACGTGACACCGGTTGGCCGACTCATGAATCGCCTGACTTCTGATATGGGCACCGTTGACGGCCAGATTGCCAACCAGCTACAACAATTCGCATGGTACTTGATCAGCTGGCTTTCTGCCGTCTTCGTCATTGCCTCTGCAACACCGCTGTTCCTATTCATGACGTTGATTACCACGGGTCTCTTTGTGCTAATATTTATGCGCTTCCTGCCAGCATCGCAGTCTCTGCGTCGACTGGAAATGGTATCCCTGTCGCCCCTGATGTCTAATTTCGGTACCCTCCTTGAAGGGCTCACTACAGTTCGGGCATTCCGGGCAGAGCCACAGTTTCAGCAACGCATCGTCCAGACTACAGACGCTTTCCAGCAGATGGACCACTTCTACTGGTCGTTACAAGAATGGCTCCAGTTCCGCTTCGACACCCTTTCGGCCCTTTCGACATTCGCCCTAACAGCCACCGCGGCACTGTCGGGACTCTCGGGTGGCGTGACTGCATTTGTTCTCGCTTCGGCATCAACCTTCGTCGCGAGCACTCACGCTCTGTGCCGCCGTTACGGCGAGCTCCAGATGCAATTTGTTAGCGTTGAGCGTGTTGTCGAGCTATTGGATCTCGAGCAGGAAGACCATGGCAAGAAATGCATCAGTCCTCCAGCTGCGTGGCCAACCTTCTCCGACGATATCGTGTTTGACAACGTTACCCTACGTTACGCAGAACATCTCGACCCCAGCCTCGTCGGTGTTTCACTGCGTATCCCGGCCGGGTCGAGCGTTGCCATCACTGGTCGTACTGGATCCGGAAAGAGCACGCTAGCACTCAGCCTGCTTGGCACGCTTCACCCCGACGCTGAAGGCGGAGGTTTGATCTCTATTGGTGGGGTGGACCTTGCAACGGTCGATAAACAGGCACTTCGGCGGCGAGTGACGTTCGTGGCGCAGGACCCAATTCTGTTTCCGGGGACACTACGTGACAACCTTGATCCCCTGAAAGAGCACACCGATGAGGAGTGTAACGGGGTACTAGATAGAGTCCTAGGACAAATGGGGGAATTTAGACTAGACAACCGGGTTGACGGCGGCGGGAGGAACCTCAGTCAAGGTCAGAGGCAGCTCGTGGGTCTCGGGAGAGCGATACTGCGCCGCAGTCCGGTGGTGATTCTAGATGAGGCGACGGCATCCATAGATCATGCGACTGCGCATTACATACAAGAGGTGCTCAGGGAGGAGCTGAAGCAGAGCACGGTCATCACGATCGCGCACCGGGTTGAGGCAGTGCGGCATGCGAATTACTGCGTTGTTTTGGATAAGGGCAGAGTGGTTAGAAGCGGGCCGCCAGCAGAATTCGAAGTCGAAACGGAGAATTAGGAGAAAAAGATTGGTGGGTCATCTTATGACAGCGAGAACTGGGGCCGGTTCTCCATTTTGATAGACGGAACTTCTTTATGATGTTGATGACGAGTCCTGCAGAGCCGCATGAACGAATCTAAGTCGCAGCCACAAGAAGGACGACGAGCTGCCATGGCAATCTGTCGCAAGAATTCGAATACATGTTAGTCTCTAGCCCAATTCGAATATCATTAGGGCAATCTCTGAGGCTCTCGCGGCCACTGTCTAACCGCCCATGCCTCGTAGGGTCTATCACAACCACCGTGTAGACGAGCAGACGCTTGCTAGCGGACACCCCTACCATTGAATCTTACGATTCCTTCCTTCCAATCATGCTGGATGTGGCTTTGTGATTTTGTGGCTTTGCAGCCTCTCGTCTTCATGTCCCACGGACGAAATGACCTCGGGTGGCGTTTGTTGTCGGATGAGATGACCGCAGCATGACGTAAGGCAAGTGCTCATGTCATGACAACTGGGATCACATTCTTTCACCAGAGCAGAGTGCATCCAAGACAGATTTAAGGGCCTGTTGCTTGCAGATCCTTGGTGTTCTTTCAGTCACCGAGTTTTCGATCGAATGAGTCTTAAATACATTGCATCCCCATACAACGAAGAAACATGTCGTCGTCCGCCACTATCCCTACTTCGACCGAGGTTGTCGAGAGTGCCGTCATCCGCGCACCACTGTCCAACGTCTGGCATCTCATCCAGCTGCATAACTTTGCCAACTTTTGGGACGCTCTGAAAGCGTCTGAATGGATGAAGGGCACTGGCGCGGATAGAGTAGATGTGGTGAAGTGGACATTCAAAGATGGGACTGTTCTGGAGGTTAAACAAGACGAATACAGCGTGAGTAGAACCGTACTTTGGTCCTTAGAGAACCGTGGCTAACTAGTAACTCGCCAGAATATCAATCACTTGGTGACCTACAGCACCATCACGGCCCATCCCGAGCTGTCGTATTCGAGTGCTGTCAGCACCGTCCGTTGCCATACGGTGACCTCTGGTGAGCTGGAAGGAAGCACGTTTGTAGAGTGGACGGGCAAGTTCTCGAGCGATGCTGATGTTGGTGAGTTGCTGAAGTCTGAGTTGAGGTATGTATTGCTAACTGCCGCGTAGGTGTCATCCAAGATGCCAAGTTTAAGCGTCGGGATGCATTGGCCGATCTAGCTAAGGCCGCGACAGGGAAGGCTCCCAAGGTGTAGGAGACTTCTATGACGACGATGTAGGACTGAGGAGGAACTTAAAAAGAAAGAAAAATGTCAAAGCATCTGAGGACGTTAATATTTAGTTCAATTTGGGGCATCGCCAGGATGGAAATGTATCGTTTATAGGTAAATTGAAAGGGACCCAGCAATGAAACATGGAGATGAAAATCGCGGGGGAGTGATGCGAATCCAGCACTGCATGATAGTACTCGGCAAGAACACTGGCCTCCCTCTTGCGTATAGTCTCCGACATCCTACCATCCGGTTCAATATTTGCCTGTCCAATTACGCCTTTACGTAGCGAAGCGGAAGTCAAGCCTAGGACATGAGTGAGCTTTATGCTTCATACGCCGATAGGGTTGGGCAACTTACCGCTTGTTACCCACGTCAGTTGTCGTCTTTATATAGTTGTCCTGCTCGTCTGGCGTCATTGCATCCCACTTCTTGGCCTTTGAGTGGTTTCTCCATCGATAGTAAAAGTATGTGCCAGGGTATTGTATGACCTAAAGACGCCGTGAGTTCGAGATATATGAGGAGTAGAGGACACAGTAAGAGACAAAAACTTACACACATCCAAATGCAGATGACTAGAAGACCTTTGTTGGCTTTAAAGTATCGCGGCGAGTCTTCTGGTTGATAGACTATGGGCTTGGTTGGCAATTATACTTGCACAAATTCGACGGATGCATAGACTTACTGTTCGCCCCAATCATGCCACTGACTTGAACGAACATGTTGTAGAGGCTAGGCAATTTGGTTAGTTTAATAATAAGCCAGAATTGTAACCTTCGGCTTACGAGGCAGAGACGGTTCTGTTCTGGACGGAACCTGCGTTTCTGCTGGTCCAAGCAACTTGTATAGGATGCGTGCTGGACTTCATTAGATCTTGCTTAACTTAATTCCCCACTTTGTTTGGTACTCACTATGGGAACGCTAAAAGCACTGTCGCAATTGCGAAATAAGACCAAGGGTTGATCGGGTCCGGCAACGCTATCAAAGCTGCAAAACAAGGCAACAGCCAAGCATCCTCGGCCATCGACACGAAACTCCTGTTGTTTACTAGTTCGCTGATAGCGGTGATGAGTAACATGTTCAAACTGGAACCGACAACATTCGGAATCGAAAGCAGGTTCGATTCAATGACGTTGAACCCTAGACCGCGGAAGGAAAGGGTTAGGTATTGGCCGATCGGATACTTCGGTAGGCCGAATAACAAGCCTAGAGCATAAAGTGGCCACATGTCGTAGTCCTTTGCGCACTCCCATATCTGCCTCACTGAAAGGCCTTGTCGGTTATGCATTCCGCCCTTTTGGGGATCGTCTCGAATGACTGAAGATAGGGTCAGATATGATTTGCTTCTAGGTCCATCTCGTTACGCAGCTAACCTGAATTGACAATAATTTTTTCTTCTCTCTCTGTGAAATACCCCTTAGGGTTCCACCAACTCTTTGTCCGAGCCGGAGATTGAGGCATGAGAAAGAATGAGGCAATACCGATTAAGACTGAAGGGAAACGTCAGCCTCTCCCAACATTAACGGGAAAGCGTTCCACTTACAGGTGAAAGCACCCCTAATGATTTGATGTTAGTGACGGTCATATACTTCGGGGGAATTATAACTCACTCGATCAGGAACAACCACCGCCAACCTTCGTATCCTAGGATCCCTCTCATTGATAAGAGACCAACGGCAGCGAAGCCGACACCAATGTCGACTGGTCATAAGTTAGAAACAGTATTCCAAGTTGGATTGTGATGTCGACTGCTCACCTAATTGGGAAGACATCCAGAACCAGGCCAGCCTAATGGGGAGCTGTTGAAGTCAGCAAAGGCTGGGGCCAAGTATCCTACAGCTCTCAGGAAATATGCTTACTCTTCTCCCGGTGTACCAGTAGCTGAGGTAGAGGATCGTGTCACTAGCCACGCGTTAGTACAAGATCCTATGGTACCGGAAATAAGGAAGACCTACGGGATGAAACCACCTTGGAACGTGGCACTGACTAGTAGTGAGTAAAATTGCTTGTGTGCCTGCATGGCGAGCACACTCACATCAAGTATCTGGTAGCGAGGAACGAAGCTCGTCCTTTGAGGAAGAATTGCATGGCAGAAATGATACTGAAGATGCATATCTGGATAGGAATCCAGATGTCGGGGCCAATACTATGGCGATTTGAAAGTCAGATAAGCTTTTGTGATGGTTCCTGTGGCAGTAGGAGCCGACTGACCGTTTGGAGATCAACTGAGATGGGAGTTCGGCAACGAGAAAGCCTACTCGGGATATTGTTTGCCCAATATTCTATTTGTGGCGTCAATATTTTAGAAGACCCCGGCTGTTTTAATCAAATAAGGAGTCTGTATTCGCGGACTTACGTAGTCAACCCGAGTGAGACCCAAATCATCAAGCATGTCGTCAGAAACGGCGTTGGATATATTGCCTCGATCAATGTTCAGAGCAGCAAACATGATACAGACCCAAACCTAAATAGTTAGCTACTATCTTTTATTTGGTGTGATAATTTACTTACCATGATCTTCCAATCCACTTTGTGGCGAACAGCCCTCTCTTCCCTCCATGTCCAGCGAAAATTCGGGTCGAAGACATCCTTGTTCTCCCACTGCGGATGAATGTAGATTTCTTTATATTACTCTACGTTTTCAGAATCCCAGATGCTGGGTTGTGTGGCAATCTAAGACAGTCAGTTGCTGGATCGTACCTCAGGCTCGGAATTCATCCCCACCGCATCGAGATCGTATTCCTCCCCCTTTGGGCCTTTCCGGATTCTCAAGAGCCGTAGGATAGCATCTCCAAGTGCTGCTTCCATCCGCTCAGACTCTCGGGTTGCTAGAGCCGGTGCGGGAGGTGGTGACAAGTCACTTAGATGTTTATCGTCGACTTTTCCTTGAGACGTAAGACTGGCACCGTCGGAAGGTGTCGGCGACTCGACGGCCGCTGGCGTAACGATTGGTTTCAGGACAGACATATTCTCTCTCTACCAAAACTGAAGATAAAGATTTGGTTTCATGTAAATTGCTCCGATGGGTAAGTGGGCCTACAAATGCCGGCTCATAAACACACACACGCCAGGTCTGTAGACTGCATCACACACCGAGAGAGGGATCTACAGAAGCAACCAAAGCTTATATGTAGACTTAAAGACCCCCATGCTCACCCCCATGCCCCCCTCCTGGATTCCTTGGCCATCTGAAGATAAATGGCGACAGAATGTTTTCTTGGTAATATCGAATGCCCGAACCGGGATGATTCTTCGTTCCGAGGAGACTGTAACACGAGCGTACCCCACCAACGCAACGTCGTGTGTGATTTACGCCACTTGGATATCAACTTACGCCATTTTTCGCCATTGACAACCGAATGTCGCGCATCACATTATTAAGCCATTCTCTTTGATGGCTCCAGGATGCTCGATACTGCATTTTGAAATCCTACGTAGAATTCATTTGTACAGCTGCCATTAACCTGCTACCACTCTCTGGCTCGAAAGCCAAGCGGCCAACTGCCGTGCTCCGGATCGAGACATACCCCTCAGAATTTCCTGCCCTCGAATTAGATTAAATGTGGACTGCCAGGATGGTGATCCTACGTGATGCCCCGTCAGAAACCTCGTTCAATCACTGACAGAGTGAATAATCATACGTAGTTCGGAGGACCCCTTACATTGGGAAAGTACAAGGAGTCCCACTCTATCTAAAACTTGACAGCTGCACGAAGCAATAGATCAGAAAATCTCGGAAGAAATATTTGCTGAAATATTCGTCACAACGGTATAAAAAAAGTCTCAGACGACGCTCGACGGCTACTATGTAAAGAAGTAATAGCCGTCCTAAAGCTATTCGTTGTTTACAATGAGTAGCGCTATCATATCACCAAATCAAGTTCAGCCTCATATGTTCCAAACGCTTTTACATAGTATCAACCGACTTTCGTTGATATGGCTAAGACACAGTATTCTCTGCTTCCTGAGCGAATCACTCAAACGCCTCAACGTATTTTGAGATCCAGACAATTTCTATCGTGTGAAGATGGCTGGGGGGTTGGATCGGAGTTTGTTTCTAACCACCGTGTCGACGAGAGCATGATTTTCAGAGCGAGGTAAGATCGTCTATCTTTGCTTTGATTTTTACTTTTTTGCAGCTGAGGCGAGAAGCAAGAAAGGAAGTACAAGCATAGGCATTACGGTTAGGAATAAAAAAATGGCGCAGCTAGTAACAACCCCGTCTTGAATCATGTTCAGCGCAGTTTTCTTTTGTGGAGAATCTAATTAATAACTAGTTCCTGCGGACCATCCAGAAGGCGACTTCGTTCACCCTTCGTGAGGCCTTTTGACACTTGATTATATTCCTCATCGCAATATACTGAACATATTGAACTCACTATGCATGTATAGATGTTGACTTCCTTCCAAGAGATGAGCGTCAGGAAGCCGAGGAAGGTCCGAGAATACAATCACTGGGATGTCGCCAAGCCAGTGACTTGCAGTAAGTTAGTCTTGATTCAACCAGGAAGGCAACAGAAAAGTGGAAGACAGACAAGAGTAACCAATGACATCGTGAGTAATGATAAGCGTGCCAGCAAAGAGGGACCTAGTTTAGAGACTCCAGCACCGCGTTCAGTTTACAGACCCGCAATATGCAAAAATGACAGCCCCACACCACACTCAACCCCTGCTTCTACCCCCCGCCCCTTGTCCGACGTGCCCTTGGGGCTCCGTTGCCGGACTGTCCCCATAGGCGTAAGTAATGACGTGACCGTAATGGGCATCGCCGGCAGTGGACCGCTTTCCTTGGAAATCATACCGTGCCTGTGATTCGTCGTGAATGGTTGCTGCCTCCTATTTCCTGCGCCCACTTTTGAGACGCACGGTCTGAGGGGGCCGATTGCGACTGTTCGTTTCGACGCCGTTCGATGATAAGTCCCTCGCAATCTAGGCACAGAACTCCTGTAGTGAGAAGGGGCTAGATATTAGATTGGCGGCGATGTTAAATTGGTTAGATATAATTCTTACAATTTGGTTGTGCGGACTGTATTCTCGCACAAGACTATGGTATACGGATGAGTATGACGAAGATGTTGCGATTTACTCTACTCCCTGCGAGCGTACGTACCAAGGGTGAATGCAAGCACAGGCGGCATATGCCATATTCTCCGTTGTCATGGCACGATAGCTTGGATTAAGACGGCGTTTGGAAAATTACCTGCGCCACTCAATGACGGTGGTTTTCTTAAATAGCCGGTCTGGCCAAGCTCCCGAGTGGTCGGATTCCCGAGGAACTGGGTTCTACGACTTTGGAAGGTTGGCATGAGCGGTGGGCATCAGCTTCGATGCTGGGGCGGGGCGGGGCGGGAGGGTGATGACACCGCCGACCGCTCACTGGTGAGAATGGTAGGCCTAGGTAATGGTGATGACGACTGGCGCTTTATTTGAGTCGTCAGGCGGCACTATTAATAGGGTTTACCATAAACGGTTGTGTAACGAGAAGCCAAGCCCGAATTCAGCACGGTGGCTGAGCCATCCAGCCTTCCTTCACGCAATGACACCCAACCTGCCTGATAGGATGAAGTTTGGGAATTCTGGGGCGAAGCTCGCCACAGTGAAACACACAAGTCAGTTGCGATGGGCCAGATGACAATGGAGGCCTGAAGCACCGCGTGATATTCCACGTGAAGATTTCATTTTTGTATTTTTGACGCCAGACGGTATGACACCGTCGCCTCAGGCGCGATTTAAATATTAATTATCGGATTTTACCCTTGTCCTCTTTCGCAGCTACATATGATCAATCTTCTGCCACCCCCAAGCCCCAAATGCAAGCTCACAACCACGAAGAAGAGTTGTGGTCGCACACCGCCGACTCTGGGCCGATGGCATCACCAACAGCCATGTTGCATGGCGCTGAACCCCAAGTTCATCCTTTTCTGCCTTATAAGCACGATGTGGTGATCTACCAGGACCGCTCGCTCCTGCGCCCCGTCTTAGTCCTTCTGGCCTCTTGCTGGATCTGGGAAACTGTCTCTTTTCTGGCCGCCGGGGCCTTCTTCGGGATTTTCCTCTGGCTCTTATTCAAGTACGATGGAAAGCTAGTTGAGACATGGGCTGACAATGGTCCTATCTCCGGTCTCTTCAAGACACTGCCAGCTGCCATTTCCTTCCTGGCCACCTTAATGAGGGGGGCAATGCTCTATCCTGTCCTGTCGGCGATGGGGCAACTGAAATGGCACCATTTTCGGAGGACGCGTCCAATGTACGATTTCGAAGTTATTGATAAGGCAACTCGAGGATACTTGGGTTGCGTTTTCCAGCTTCTGTCTGGGACGGCCCTGTGAGTTATTGTTCCTATCTTGGAGGAAGGAAAAGCTATCGATGACAACGGTGTTTCAAAATTAGGGAAGAGGAGGAGAAGTGAAGACATCAAAAAGTCCTGCCTGCTAACAATAAACGACAAGCAGCCACATGTTCTCCGTGGGATCCATCATCATCCTCGGCACAATCCTCCTCGGACCCTTCCTCCAGAACGCAGTTCAGACGCACAACAGATTCTACAGCAACACCACGATGGGCGATCCAAATGCGGTCCTCGCAGTCTCAAATCGATATGAATACCCCGGAGTTCAGCCCAATGAGACCGTCACCGATATTGGTATGATGAGTGCAATACAAGCTGGATGGGCATCTTTTCCGAACTCGCCTTCAAATACAGAGAGTTTGCCATGGTATCTGTGCCCTACAACAAACTGTGCATGGGAGAATTACTCGACGATTGGAGTTGCACCGAGGTGTCGGAAAGCAGATACGAGAGTGGTTAGGAAGCCGGGGCTCCTTGAATACGGCATATCTGAGGCGGGAAACGTTGCCACCTCGTTTACTACGTCCTTGTTTAACGATCCTGTCTACGCAAGACTGGCGATGAGTGTCAATGAAAGCATCCCGGAGAATAGTTCCTTTAAGGGAGAGGAACCTACCCTGGCCGTCCTGGCCCATGTAGGTGCGATTGCTCTCTACAACCAAGAATATTACGCAGCAGAGTGCCTCGTTTACTGGGTTGGATTTTCAAATGGAAGATTCGTAGTTAACGCAACAGGAACGTTCAAGTCCACCAGCGAATATCTCCTACATAATAACCGGACCCTGTTCGACATCCGAAGCCGGCCGAACGATGACGTTCATCTGGCTGAGCCCTCTACCTGTACCTTCAATGGGACCGTCCGACCTTGCAACTACACGATACAGCGGTCGGCCCATAGAGGACTCCAACAACTCTTGACACTCTTCTTAAACATGGCATCCGGCTGGACTCCCGATGGCCCCATTCAGAAACTTAGAGAACTGGATTTCTCAAACCCGAAAGCTGAGATGTTCTGGTCTAGTCTCGTCGACCAATTCGAACTGGGGGTCGATGAGCCCCTCGTCGAGACAATGTTCATTTTTCTAGATCGGGTGGCACAGTTCACGACAAATAGAATACGAGCCGCATCGAATGCCTCCGAATTCGGTGAAGCTAGGACTCTGGGTGCTTTCTTCCAGATGCGCATTATATACGCAATCTACCCAGGGGTATTTTTATTGTTTTCTTTGATATTTTTAGTAGCCACTGCCTGGAGAACTAGAAAAGAAGAACTATGGAAGAATTCGCAGGCGGCGGTGTTATATCATGGATTCAGCGACAATGGCCCAAGGGACGAGGTGCCCATCTTGACGGTTGCGGAAATGGAGAGAGCCGCAAAAGCGACATATGCTCGGTTAGAGGATGACGGTACTAGGGTAAAGCTGAAGATTATGGGTTAGCCAAAGGCTGAATGTTAAGATCTAGCATTATCAGCGATCAAGTCGTTTCCTGCAACACAAAGGCTTGAGTTAAATGGTTCGTTTATCGGTCTGCTGAACACATAGAGGGAATCATCTTGTTGGCCGCGCACATGGAGGCGAAAAGGATCAAGGACAGTTGCACATCATGAGATGACATCAGAAGGATGTATGCGAACTCCAATTCTAGATGACATTATTTACGCCATCGATTTTGAGAAATCCTTAGGAGCCATGTTGTTGACCTACCGCCCAGGCTTCAATAGAATACCCACTCTGTTGTGCATTTAGAGAGGTGTCTGAACGGAAGGTTGGACGTCAGTTCTTAATAGTGGAAGAGCTTTAATTCTTCGCCGAGCTAGTGAGCGATGAACTAGTCATGGTTCCTAGGCACTACGGGGTCCGTCCTACTGGAGGAACAATTCGGCGGGGGAAATTGGATTCTGTAGAGGGGATTTGAATAGAGTGAGGGGAGTCGAGAAGAGAGTTACTCTCTCCAGCAATATACTGCAGGGTGTATAGGCATGCCATTAAAAATTATGAACTGCAACGGTCTTCCATTTCTTCATTTCTTGAACAACTGTCCAACTACTGTCATCATATAATCAACAACGTCCTTCGCGTAATATCCGATATTGCTCAAAACGCGACCCACCATCCGAAGGTTAGGAGGCAAGCACCCATAAGTACTGGGTCAAAAGCAGTCTTCACACCAGCAGCCTGCGGCACCGTTGCAATGCTCTGAGTTGGTGTAGTCTTAGTGTGTGTTGGCGCCAGAGTGGGGACAACAGATGGAGCAGACGATCCCTGAGTTGCAGTTGGTTCCGTATCTCGTGTTGATGTATCAGGCGTCTCCGTGGTTGGCTGCTCGATTTCGCATGGATCCCTGGTGCTCCTGAGTAAAAGCTCAAAGAGCCCGGCCAGAGACCCATCCTCCGTTTCAACTACAACTTCAACTTCCGTGTCCTTTTCTGCAGTGTACTCGACGAAATCTCCACCAGTGGCTTTAACCTCTCCTCCATCTCTCAGAGTAAGCTTGATAGGGATCGTCTCATAGATGCCTTTGGCTGTGATGTTGAAGGTCTCTCCAGCCTTCGCCGCATAGGTGAAGGTGTTGGGCCCGGTCTTGTCGAGGACAGAAACGATGCTCACATCCGGTACAGCATGTACCTTGGCCTCAGGGTTTGACTTCCCGACGAGGCCATTATCGATAAACAACTCCGTCACCCGCGAAACAGAGTCAGCATCGGAGAGGATTCCAGGTGTCCCGCCCGTCTTGACTAAGGCCAGCAGGATTCCGGGCTCTTGATCCACGTCTGCCACTCGGAGAAAGGCAAATGAGACACGGACACCGAGACGGCCAGCCCTTTCGATCTGGCTAACAGTCTCTTCAACAAGCTTGGGATAATCTTCTGGGATTCCATTGTCGGGTAAACCATCCGTAAACACCACGATTCCCGCTTTCTCGGATAATGAGCTCTCGCCGGACTTGGACAACTCGTCGAGTGCAACCTTTATCCCGTCGCTGATAGAAGTCCCGCCATCCGGGAATGTAATCTCGTCAATCTTGGGGCCCGCACCACTTGGGTCCCCAAGCGGATACAGCAGCTCGGCAGATTCAGAGAATTTGACAACGGCCGCCTCATCCGGCCGTTTTTCGCTTGTCGCAGTGGCTGGACTGACGAGATTGTCGTTGATAAGTTTGGCGGTGACGAGCCGGATGTCGTTCGGGTCAAAGTCAACCATGGAACCCGAGTTGTCGATGACGAAAGCGATTTTGCGGCCACCATTACTAGTGTCCAACTTACCGGTGTTGGTGCATACGACGGCCCGGCCCGTTGTACAGAGGCCTAGAAGGCCAATGAAAATGGAAAGATAATGCATGGCGATCAAACTTGCTTGTACGTATTAATTGAACAAGTCTGATGATTCGGTAAAAAAATAAAAATAAAAATAAAAAATAAAAAATAAAAAATAAAGAATGCCTTTATGAAACGAGGGTTCGGCTGCAGAAAAGCTGGGCGAACAGTCACTACGTCAGTGTGCTGGACATGATGCACGCTTTCAATTTATACAAGCTGGAAACCACATCAACCCTGCCTGCACCACGGCGGAGGTATTTAGTTGGCATCACGACATCACATTTTTTAATTCCGCGAATAATCGATTGTTTTCAGCTATCATTCGACGTCTCATGTTCGACTGAAGTTGAGTCCGTTTCTGACAGGACGTTCCGCTTCAGTGGTTCGAGAAAATTTACGTTTCGGGTAGGGCTATTCTGTGGCTTAAAATATTGAATATTGACACAACACTATCCAATCAGAGGGTTCGTGGATGTCATTCACTGGCGTCATGTCCCTTCTCATGGTCTCAATCGCAAATCGTGCATTAATGGCACGTGGAACAGAGAAGATGACTACTCAGATAATAAGACTTGTGGCGCGAGGTAGGTTCGAGGATTTATTGCATATTGATGGTTGTCGCGAAGAAAAGTAAACTAATTAAAATCCCCTCTTGGCTTCCTAAGAGTGGTGTCATTGCCGTGGGCTTCAGAGAGCGGGATTTAGGCCATAAACACATGCAGCAGCTACAATAACAGCCCATGATACGGGCAGCCACGATGCCCCAATGAGAGTAGCGCCAGAGTCGGCGTTGCCCGTCTCCGCCGTCGACCCTGGAGAGGTGGATGTGAAGGCTGGGACCGTTGGACGTTTGGTCAACCCCGGGCCAACCCCTGGAAGACTAACCACCGCTCCAGGATCTGGTGTCGTCTCGGGTGAGCCAACCACATCACCACCACTACTCCACGAGAAAACTTCTAGAGCTGATGTCACTACTTCTGCTGGTGCCGAGGGCTTCAGTTTATACAGTCAGTAGTCTCGTCTAAGGGAAGCGAGAAAGGACGTTTGTTCGCATACCTCTCCCTTCTGAAAGTAAGGACAGACAGAAAATCCCAGGATATCCTCCGTCCTCCCCCGCTCCAAGGCGCATGACACATTGCCATCATACTGACATCTCGAGTAAATCGACGTTAATTCTGGATCACACACGCACGACAAGAAATTAATCGACGCAGTGGCCGAGCTGGAGCATTTCTGGGATTCGTAGACAGCACTTTCGCAAATAGTCGCGTATGTCTCGCAATTGTCCGCATTAAACGTTTGGGCGAGCGGGGTGAGTGCCGGGGTTGTGACTTTGAAGTCCACTTGGCTGTCACAGGCTGTGTGCCAAATGTTCATGATAGAGTCAAAGTTGGAATCGTAGGCTTCGGTTTGGTCGCATGTCCGGAGTTCATTCTGGCATCTTAAGCCCGATATTCTTTAGTTTGTCGCGCCCTCAGTTTCATCAAATGGCGTCTGAAGACTTACTCGCGTAAATTGTTCATGAATTCTTGCGTGCACATGCAGCCCCCAGCTTGCGCGTTGCTCGTGGATCCTGCACATTCTTCCAACTTGCTAAAGAAGACGTTGCATGTTTTGAAATCAGTGACCCCTCCGAGGCAGTTCGAAGCATCAGGAAGGCTGGGGATCTCGATGCCTGTCACGAAGGCTAGGAGCATCGAAAGCACTGAGAAAATGAAGTATATATTTTCGTTCATTGTAAGGATTTGTAAGGGATATTGAGTTAAAGGAGTCTAATGTTTTGCGAATAGGATTACCATGCTAATCGGAGGCGGTAACTTCAACGGTCGCTGGATCATCGTTCACCAGAATTTTTGAATTTTTATATCGATCATCGAACCCATGCCTAAGATTAGTTTCACGTCACCGTACGATAATAGTAAATCGCCTTACATTCAGCTCTTGGGCTTAATTTTAGCAAGACATGATTACTCCCTCCAGGTCTGCGGCTTTTATCCCTCACTAATCAACGCCACTGGTGCCATTAAGCATCCCATCGTGAGCTGTGCGATGACCAACTTGGAGCAGGCTCCGGCGTGGCATACACCCCTGCCTATGCCTAGTAGAGAAATCACACCACCAATTTTGGCAACCATTGAGAAGGCCCTAGGTCGCTCTAAGGGGAATAGATTTCGGTTTTCAACAGAAAGGAGAGAAGTGCCCCAGTGACTAGAAGGGGCCAATATTTCCATGGCGACTAGCCACGACGGGGCACTAATATGGCCATATCGCCAATGTCCTTGACATACAAGGGCTGTCTCTGCGAATCAACCTCACAACAAACAGCCCCGGATTATTTTCCCAAAGCAATTACACCTTGAGAATGGCTGCTCACGGCGCGGTTCTCAGGCCCTCTATTTCTATACCGACAGAGCAACATGAGTCGCGCAATCAGACTCCCGTGGAACAGCACGAATTGCAGCTATTACATTCCGGCTATAACCAAGAAGCAACTATAGAACACGGTGATCAAGATGAAGCTATCGCCACTTCCTCGCCGTCTGTTGGTCCTGAGGCCTTAACGCCGGGTGCAACCGGAGCTGCCTCGGCTGGGCAGAATGGCCCATCGGGCCCACCAATAGAGCTGGATGGTGAAGGTACACAACCAGGGACAGCAGGCACAGCAGGTCCGCCAACTCCCAGTGCTGTTCTCTCTTCGGATACTTGCAACGCGACCGCTTCTCCCTCACCCGACACCACTGGGACGTCGGAATCCCCAGAGAGCCAGCCTAGCGTAACCGGAACAACGCCCGAGGCCACAACACCATCCCCGCCACAAGAAAAAGAAGAGGGTCACTGGATTCCATGGGAACTGAAGCCCTGGTGGTTTTGTGTTCTGTTGTCGTTACAACTAGGGACAATCGCTGCGATCTGTACGTTGTCTGTTATCTCTAGCACCAGATCTGGGTTTGCACCTGTCGCCGATGTGCCTAGGTTTCTTGAGCCCCACCCGGCCTTGGCCAAGGCACTCTGGACAGAGGGATTTCTGTGGAACTTCTTTCCGACATTGTACATGGCGATATACGGCATGGTGTGGAAATCTGTCGTGGACGCATCGGTGGAGAGGCAGCCGTTTGTTTCGCTCAACCCGGTTCTCAAGCTGGCCGCAAAGCCCGGAAGTCCATTGAATGGCCAAGCGAGAAGCGGTATTGAGCAAAACAGCACCGAACTAAATCCAGCCGAGCGCCAGGAAGCAGTAATTGGTGCCAAGCTGGATTACGCGGGATACAATAATTTTCGAGGCTGGATGGTAGCTCTCAGCAGGGGGCATATCATCCTCGGAATTAGCATGTTCCTGGCCTTGCTTTGGAGTGTGATTTGCATCCCACTGTCTGCCTTCCTCTTTACCGACGCAGAATTCACATTCAATAATACCGAAGCAGTCATATCCAGAGTCGCGTTCGACGGGTTAGCATATAGCCTACAACGTGATGCTGATCTCAGACCTATTTTCCAAACTGCCTCTGCTACCAAAATCTACGATGCTTCACCGGCCACCTGGACCTATGGCGAGTTCGCGTTCGCTCCGTTCTACCCTGCCACCAGTCCTCCGGAGCAAGCCAATTTGACGGTTACGACCTCGGGATACTCTGGGAATCTCGACTGCCAAATCATCCATGCCTCCGATTATAACGTGGTCAAGTCGGGATCCGATTTCGTGTTTACCACTGAAGATAGGGGCTGCCTACTGTCCTGGAGAACTTCAGTTGACTCGCCTTACAAGATGTTCGTCAAGACCGGATCGAACCGTACATGCGGCCCGGACGGCTATCGAAGTCGGATTGGTTTCATCTCCGGGATCAACAAGTCTAATTCTCTACCACAGAATGTGTCGTTCGTCACTTGCATCCCCTCCTACTGGATTACGCAAGGGAACTTGACTGTGGTGTACGGAGCATCGAAGAATCCCAACTTTACCGTTCTCAGTGATTTTGTCCCATCGGACCTCTCGAACCCATTCTACTTCTTGACCTGGAACCTTTTTGAGACCAATCTTCTTTCAGCCACTAGCTTTAACCCGATGGGGGACTTGGAGGGCAACGAATTTGCGCAGGATATATACGCACTCGCCAATCGAGTCAATCCCGCGTCGCCGCTCGACTCGCAAATACTCATGGATTCGATGTCAGTGCTCTTCTCCACCATCTTCGCCGCCCTCTCGAGCATGGTGCTTTTCCAGCCGGGGGAACCGACCACTCTCAACGGGACAAAGTTGGTTCTGCGAAACAGACTCATGGTTAACGTTCCGATCGCTATCGTGTTGGCAGGTATAGTCGCAGTAATGGTTGCCATGACAATGCTTCTGTTCTGGCAGTCGACGAAATCGTCCATATTACACAAGGAGCCAGAGGGACTTGTTGGCTATGCGGAGTTATTGAGTCGGCCGGAGATTTCGGAATTTGTCAACGGAGTTAGGGAGGGAAACGTGTGATTGGGAAAAACCGGCATGTTCTTTTAAGCTTAAGATCTATTGATATCGGTACCACATTCTGACGTCACTTTAAACGGATCAATTCGTTCTTCGCCATCTGCAGTTGGTTGATCAGATGGTGCTTAGAAATTCAGATAATCAATGAGAAGTTGATCCAATCCCTATGGTTTGCGATAGAAATGACGTCAGTTTTCGGAGAGTTGCCGAATCCTCAGCTGATTTGTATGGACTGAGAATACTTAAATCCCGAATATTTCCTGCTGGCGTCAAACTTGATTGCTAGAACCTATCCACTATAATTTCACTTTGCTGGAAAGGAAAATGAAGGAAGCAGTTTATGACCACCATTTTCGAGTCGAAATCCGAGATGTTCCTGTGCCGGAACCGAAGGCTGGCCAGGTCCTTATCAGGACAGTCGTATCGGGGTTGAATCCAAAGGACTGGAAAGTCCCCAAGTGGAACAAAGATCAGGGGCCTAGTAATCATGGTGATGATATTGCTGGGTACATTGAAGCTGCTGGGGAGGGCGTCGTGGACTTTCATCCTGGCGATCGAGTGGCTGCTTTCCACGAGATGCTTACCCCGCATGGCAGCTTCGCCGAGTATTCAATTGCCTGGGCAAGGACGACGTTTCACTTGCCATCTAACGTTTCGTTCGAGGGTGGGCAGTAATTCCTTTCCTTAACTGTCGAAAGCGTTGGTGGCTAATCGGCGTTTGTCCCTTGATAGAAGCTGCTACGATCCCGTTGGCAGCCATGACTGCAGCTCTCGGGGTTTACCAGAAACTTCAAGTCCCCCTTCCTTGGCAACCAGCCAGAGATCGATTCCCCCTCATCGTGTATGGCGGGGCAACAGCAGTGGGCTCCTTTGCCATCAAGTTCGCAAGCCTCTCTAACATCCATCCCATCATTACTGTGGCTGGAAACGGCATCCCGCATGTCGAATCACTGATAGATAGGGCCAAAGGCGATTCCATTGTCGACTACAGAAAGGGCAATGCCCATGTCGTTGAAGAGCTGCGCAAGCACGCCGGAACGGATATTCTTCTCGCTTTTGATGCCGTATCTGAGAAGGGGAGCGTGACGAACATCGGAAAGATTTTACCCAAGGGTGGCAAGATTACCACGGTTCTGCCTATTCAAGTCACGGGTGAGGACCCTGGACAAGCTGAAGTTGTTCCTACATCAGTCGGGGCCGTGCATAAGGAGCGTCCAACGGCAACGAAGGCGACGGAGGATGCCCCGGTCCTTGGGGATCGCGAGTTCGGCGCCATTTTCTACCATTTCATAGGACTTGGTCTAGCTGAAGGTTGGCTCAAAGGACACCCATACGAGGTTGTCGAAGGAGGGCTTGGTGGGTTACGGAATGCGCTTAAACAACTTGAGGAAGGCAAAGTGTCCGCCAAGAAGTTGGTCATCCGCATTGGCGATACCGAAGGGTTACGGAAGTAATAGTTATAATGGCTTTTCGCGTTTCTAGGAATGAATAACATTTGTCCCTGGTTCTCAGTGGCCTTACATCTTGATCCGTCCTAAATTCCCATCTTGTAGGTGACAGTATCAAACAATCACTTCGGTTATCAGATCTCGCAGGGCGTGCTTGAGATATAATATTCTCCCCAGGAGGGATATCCAACATATACAAGCATCCAAACCTCATGCTCCCACTTCATCTCGCTTGGCGATCCGCACCCAAAGTTCTCAATCATCCAAATGCTCTAGGAAGTTGATGGTGAGTAGTTGACTACGACAAGGGACTCACCGTGTTGCTAATCTCCGAAGGTTTGTGACTACCGACGAACTGGAGATCGAATAGCCTCAGGAGCTACGAAAAGTTAACCTTATACGTCATGAAAAGCTGGTCCGGGTAAAGTCCATATACCCTCAACGAAAATCTTGTTAAACTCCATCAGAGCAACATTCTTCCCCAGACACTAATACTTGCCATAGTGAAACACCAAGACCGCAGCCACGATTACAGTCGCCAGCCGCTCCGCATCGCCTCAAGCCACCTCTCAAGCCAAAAGACACCAAATTTTTGCTAAGGACGACCTTACAGCAGTGGAGGCCAAAGAGAGACGAGCCAATGTGGGTGTCACCGGGAACAGACTTGCCGGCAATGACATCGCTGCCCAGAGGGATAGTCTTAAAGAAGGTGTCTGCGGCAGGGGGCATAATGAAGAGCCCTTTCTTGATGACAGCTTGGAGGTAGGGTAGTCCCCTGGCTTCTGGGTTTTTAGTAGGCAAGGAGATTGCATCCATGGTGATGGCCTTTTGATTTCGGCTATAAAACATGCATGTACCTTTGGGTCGGTAAGGAGATTTAGCATGATGATACGGATAGGAGTGGCAGAGGTGTCACTCCCTGCAACTACCTGGAGGAGGGCCTCCTCAGACGCTTCGTCCTTGGAAAGGCCGTGGCAGATAAAGGAGTCAAGCACTTCACGTTAGGGAGGGGGCAAATACGGTTTGAAGCAATCCGCCACAACTCAACTCACCATGGTGCTACGAAAAGGTTAGAGCCCATGGTGCTAAAGTCACGATGTCCTACCTCTTACCTAATGAAACCACAAAACCTGTGTTGATCGCTCTCCTTAGGGAGAAGTCCATAAAGCAGGCGCAACTGCAAAAGGCGTGCCAGCGCAAGTATATCAGTGAGCACTAGCATGATAGGGATACAGGCCATGAGTCTCGAGGGGAATACGAGTGAGGAAGTGATGGTGACGAACTTCTCGCCGGCCATTCGTGAGTTGGCACAAAGCGACGATGACATGACCGAGGCGCTTGGTGACTGGAGCGCAGGCGCACACTTCCGCGGGCAGATCTATCTTATTGTGTCAAGGTTCACCTGCCTGTGAAATCTCTTGCCTCTCCATATCCTGTTGGCGTGCGAAAGACTACAATTCTCAAGGATCTGAATTGCACCATGCAAAATACCAATATCTAATTCTCAGAAGCATTCCTTCAGTTTTGCTACATAGAAACAATATATTTTACAATTCCGAAAGATCATTAGAGGCTTGCAATTCAGATCCTAGGGGATTGCATATTGCCTCTAGTAATAAAACAGGCCTCTAGTATGAATCAGTTCCTTGTTGACGGGTTTGCTGATAATTATTAACGGGAATGGACGGATTGCCTCGTTTCGTGCCGTACGTGCGGGAATAGCGGTGATCGAGAATAGCAATTATAGCCAGCCAGGAGGCGAGGCACCTATCAACATAAAATTGTAAGTAAAGGCAAAACTTCCCAAATTGCTGGTCTGGGTGCGCGAGCTTACATCAAGATCATCGCGATGAGGGCTACAATGACGCCGAGGGCGCAAGCGGACCCTTGGCACCTTTTCGACACACCCATAAAGCTGATAATGACGACCACGAACCAGAACACGACCTCCATGCAGTCGAGGATCTTGTTGGCCCTGAGACTGCCCCATTTGCGAAACCGCTCGACGTGACTAGTGATAAGCTGGTAGGTGAATATGATGATGGATTTGATACCCTAATGGTAGAGAGGCGTCCTCTCGTCAGCAACCTGGCAGTTGGACGGATGGTTCGACGCGGACGGGACGAGTCTACCTACCATGACGATCGCCAGGGTATCAGATCTAGTGGTAGGGCCCTGGATCTTGCTGATCCGTACACCGGTGAGGACGATTGCGAGGAAGACCAGCATTAGGTATACGACCTGTAGAGGCGTCTTACGGTGGCTACCGAACCAGCGGTTGTCGGAGAGCTTCGAGAACATGATGCAGAAATCGTGGTTGACGGGGCCGGTGGTTTCTTTTGTTTGACATCTGAGCCCATTTTCTCTTTGCGACAACAGACGAAGGAGTGTGACGGAACAGACGGTGGGCTGTCAAATCAATTCTTATAAGATTCAAGTTACAATAATAGTAATCATTACGCGTAATCAAGATCTTTTTTTATGCTTCAACATCCATCTCACTTGTGGGTACAGCGTGTTGAGGTAACATGAGGCAAGGAACCATGCATTTAATTTACGTGACTAGCCAAATTTGGCTCAGATATTCAAGGGAACTACGATGCCTCAGTATATATACGCGTATTGGACAAAAACTCCACGTATTTGAACCCCACCTCACAAAAGAAAACAAACTTCCGCGTATTTGACCCTTTTGAGAACCCACTGCCAAACGGTGCAGTATCGATGATGCTTAAGTGGGCCTGGCATTTTGGGATGTTTAGGACGGCGAAACGGTAGTTGGCATGAAAGTGGACAAGTTCCTGCGGCCTGTATTTTCTTTACCCGAGCCTGACTGAACACCAACACGATCCCGAACACATGGCATTATTATATGAAAGACGAGGCCTGAATTCCTTTGGCGACTTGCCTTCTGGTCCTGGGAACCGAATATTCTCTGACTGGTTACTCCATAAGAAACGGGACAAGGCTGGTGTCGGTAGGGCAACGTCACGAATCACTCATCATCTCGTCGTATCCGACGCCTGCTGACCCAGCCATAGCAAATCGAGCTGTCCACCTTCATCTCGGCATGCCGTAAAGATTATCAATGGTTTACAATATTGCCATACGCGAGAAAGCATTTCAAAGCACTCTCAATAGCCGCCAACGTAGTCTGTTAGCCGCCCTCCTAGACATATTGCTCGTCGATGTCCACTGGTGAGCCTGCAATATTCCGACGTCGCCAAACGGCCCCAGAGGTGACTGAGCAATGATCTCTAGCTTGATTCTTAACAGTACGTAAAGAAGGAGAATGTGAAACTATATATATTGGCCCATATGCTATACTTCCTCTTTTTGTAGTCTTTATAATAGGGACTCTATTAAAGTGGCTTACAAGTGTTATAGATATAATGGCGTATAAGGCTGTGACCTGGGCGGGGAGGAAGTGGACGGAATAGGCCGCTGGGCGGAGGGCGTAGGCGGAGAGGAAAAGCGATTTACCCAGCTTAGTAGCGATAAGTCGAATTCATGATACGTCTATCTACTTTGCCAGGAGGGCTGTGTTCAAGCGGATGGGGAAACGGCTTTATACAGGAATAGCCTGTTTTGGCGAGGGGGACAATATCTGCAGGAGAGGCCGACGTCCGAGAAGCAAGGAACGGACCACTCGTATTTGTAGTCGAACGCTGTATAGCTGCCGGTAGGGCGGCTGGGACAGTCTGTAAATATCACAGGAACAAACAACAACTTGTGGATAGAGGCGTGCTGCTAGTAGAGGCTCTGCTGCCTGTATAGGTAGTCCATATAGCGAGGGCACACTCCATAAATCTTCTCAAAGGTTTAGGCGGACCCGTATAGCTCTTAATCAGCTTGGGAATCAGCGCTACTGCACCACCACCTCAAGCGGACGGGGCGGCGCGAGTGGACGCGACCCACGGCCGGGCGATGATGACACTGGTGGTCCGCATAGATCGAGCTCCTTGTCGACGCAGGCCGCTACGTGACAACCGGGATGCGTCACCGTATCTCTGGAGGACGGTTTCTCTCGTCCACAAAACCCTCGTTTTGCAGACAGCTTAAATCTCTGACAAATTTCCCCCTTCATTCTTCTGAGACAATCGACATGGCTCTCACATCAGACTCCTCCCGGCGACCCGGAATACGTATCGCGTAAACCCACTTGGAGGCACGAAGCGCCTTAATCCACCGGGAAATACGGGACGTATTGAATGCAAAGAGGAATGACGGAACGAAAACTGCGATAGTGAACGCGACTACTCGAAATCAGCGATATTCCGTTGTTACGATTCGCGCCGCGTTTATCAAAGTGTCTTCCTTACCCATGTACTTTACAACATGTGTTAAAGATAAATCAGACGCTACCCGAGGAATAGGTATCGCAAAGAAAGCCGCCATAAATGACAGCGGAAGCTGCGACGTCCCTGTCAGCTGATAACTAGAGTAAATGGAACAACTCGCGCGGCAGGGCAAATATGAGTTCGGCACTTACGAACACCATGTTCAGCACCGTGAACGCTAGAACAGCTTGCCCCTGTTTGTGAGCTGATATCATCTGGGAGACACTCAAGGATGCTTCCAATCGAGTTCTCTCCGTGTCTTTTAGAGCTGTGAGATTTTTAAGCTTAACAATTTCGTTAGCCATGAAATGAAGTCAAGATCGCGAAATTATGAATCACTTACTCTCTCCTCTACGTTCCTCGCCCGCGCGTCGATTTTGAGAACATCCTTTAGGTTCTGGTCCACAGAGCTGTGAATGCTTCTGTACCATTGATCATAACCCTCTTGAATCTCTTCTACCGATTTGCCCCATTCCCTCAAGATGATCTTAGCGAGCTGTTGCATTACTTCGTCTGTTCCGCAAACACAGAACGAATGGATGCAAGCTCTTGCTCGAGATCGTCTAGTTCCGCCATCAGTTGGGTTTCAGCGGAAGTGTTGAAGAGAACAGTCCTTTCCATGTACGACTGTGAGTCTAGCGTTGTCCAATTTGGTTTTCTTCCCCTGTGTTCCCATTGTTGCCTCTGATTAAAGCGATTGAAGCGGGTAGTGAGGATGACGTATTTCTGGTGCTGCAAAAAAAAGTGAATAATTCTACTACTATAACGTATCTGTGCTTTGAATCTCTCCACATACCACAAGTCTGACGGCAGAACCAAAAATATCTAAAGCGTTGATGTTGGAATTTTGGGTATTTGTCTTTCTGACCAACTCTGCGCAACCAGTTGTAATCAAACTAGCAAGCTCGTTGGCTGACTTGACATGGGCGTACGCGGGATCATCCAGGCTGCGAATGATGAGCTCAAAGGGGCTGAAATGTGTATCCGGAAATTCGCCCGATGGCTCTGAAAAGCTTGTTATAATGGTACCTGAACTTGTCAGTTCTTAATTCACCTGGAGGGTAGATCCATCTGTACCTGAATTGGCCCACAACCACAATTGATCCACCACCAGAATGCTTGGCCGTCCTTGATGTTTTAACTGATGTCTATACACAACTTGGTCCGAGTCGTACAATGACGAATCTTCGAGCCCTAGGTCGAAGAACTGGTCGAGACTTGTGGGGATATGAAGGGGCGGCCTAGTTGAGGCAACACCAGACTCTGAGAGAAGTATGTGCTCTTTTATCAGCCGCCTTCGCGCATCTATGGAGCTGGAGTGTTCGTTTGCAACTGCAGATCGGATTCTGCGTTCGCTTAATAGAAAAAAACTTTCGTGCGCTTCGTTTCTTATGAACGGCATCTCGACCGAAGGTTAGTATCAACTCAAAAGAAGGGCAGTCTTAAAGACAAACATAGAGCATGTATGGCTTGCTACTGGGGGCGAGACTCGTAGGGTACGGATCCTGTTAAAGGGTTAGTCTAGACATCGCCTCCCTGCCATCAGTTTCAGGTAGCTTGTAATAGAATATCACTCCCTACCTGGATGGCCTCGCAGAGTGAATCCATGATGGCAAGTCCTGTGGACGCTACCCTTCGTGTATGAGGGGACCAGAAGCGTTCAAATGATGCTCGCTGGATCTGGAAGCCAGTCTTTTGTAATAGAATCTAAGATTTGTATTAACCTGGCTTCTCCTGCCCCCAAGAAAGTATACACGAACCTCAACCCATTCCATCTATCGTTTCTTCATCAGTATATGGCATTTGTCCAGCTGCAGGTTGTGACATACATTGTTCATAGGTAAATGGATCCATCTCAAAGCAGGTGTTTCTCCAGCCAACCCTGGTTGAATTGCTTGAAGTGGAGTTTCCAGGTCAGCAGAGTACAATAGATCATAAACTGAGTAGCGGTGTCGTTTCTTTATGGTCTGTTGGTCGCTCGCGAAGAAATCCACAATGGACGCTTGAAAGCTGCGAGTGATGTCATGAGGCTCGCCAGATTCCGACACCTGTAGAATTGTCTCCTTAAGCGGGATCGACTCGGGGCTCATTGCGGGATTTTATCCGGGTTTTGAGCTGTTCGTGAGATTTGTGGGAGAGAAAATTGACATCTTCCGGAGCGACTCAGAATTGATGTCTTCCAGAGCAATTCCAAAATCGATATCATCCAGAGCCCACACTTCACAACTCACTACTGTTAACTAAATTCTATTACTATTTTCTATTTAGATATAATACTACCTTATTACCTTATTTTAGAAAACAGAATTACTAATATAAGTACATCCTCTATAAAGATACCCCTCCCTTTTATATTTTACTTTATCCCTAGCTTTCTCCTATTTATAATTTCTTCCTTCTTCCCCTCTTACCTTTAAATCTTCTACCTTCTCTACTCAAGAGATTAATATTACAATCCTAACACTAGCCCATTAACTAATATTAAGTAGATATAACTAGTATAAAGTTAAGGTAATACCTATTATAAAATAAGTAAAATAGTTAAATACAGCCTTAACATGAATCAATCTTGGTTCTTACTGCCAGGAAATTATCAACAGCCCGCATTCCTGCCTCAGCACCGCTCCCAACCAAGTGTCGGGGGAACATAATATAACCATGCGGCGCACCCGGTATAATACAAAGGACCGACTCGCCACCTGCCACCAACCATTTCGAGTTCATGAATAACGTATCGTCCAGGAGGCAGTCCTCAGTGCCGCAAGTAAAGAGAGCCGAGGGTAGCCTTCCTCTCAAGCTCTCCAGATCCGCGTAGAGAGGGCTAACACGAGGATCCTTCAGCGTCTCGGGCGGGCAGTCTGGTAGGAATGCCTCCCGGAAATCAGTCACACTGTCCCGGTCCAGGACGAGACAGGATTGTCCTCGGCGGTATGAATAGACCCTCGGCGTCCAGTCCAGGCTATAACAGCCAAAATGAAGCATAATGCCTCTGAGGCGAAAGCTGGAGAATTCAATCTTATCATGCTGTAGCAAATGGATAGTTGTGAGCATCGACAAGTGCGCGCCGGCAGACTCCCCACCGATGAAACCCAGTGGCGCCCCAAGGATATCCTCAGCGTTGGCTACGAGCCATTCTGCAACATTGTAACAATCCTCGGGTCCCGCGGGGAAAGGATGCTCAGGTGCGAGCCGGTAGCCGACCGAGATGCAGAGCAGGCCGTGGTCATCAGCTATGGCCTGTAGCCTCGGGTCTTGGTATGTTTCGTCCTGCAGCACCCACCCGCCACCATGGATGTGCATGAAAACGGCACACAAAGGCTTGTTGTTCTGCGGCCTGAGGAGTCGGCATGGAATAGGGCGATCCGAGTCGCGCGAAGGTATCTGGAACGCGGTTGCGGATGCCAGGAGAGTTGGACCAGGGAGAACAGTTTTCCCAGCCGCGCGTAGACGCCGATACTCGACAGCTCCCACTTCCGTCCACTTGGGAGCACTGAGAGCAAGTTCAATCAGCTTTTGATTGAACGCCGTGGATTCGGAGGGGATTGTTGACGGGTCGAAACATTCCGGGCAAGACGTGAGGGGCGTGGGTTGGGACATTTTGTATGAGCAAGGCTGCCTCTCGAGTCCTGCGAGGTGGCTGGTATCCTTCCCAAGCTTATATTTATAACCCGTCAATGGATTTTCACGCCCGCATGGCGCCTTTGTAATGACGCCCCGCAGCTGGCTACACGAAGGATCCTGACTGCTTCGCCAATGCCGTCCCGCATCGTCCATCGGATCCGAAGCACGTTTCCGTTGATACCAACTGCATTACTCTTCCCGCTGTATTCGGATCCGACAGCATCTTTGTCAGACCAACCGCTTGTTCGGACGCACGTATCGATGAAGCCGACAATGAATATGGAGAGTTCCGTCTTTGGGTACAAAATCCTCGAGACGCACGGCAGTCATATGATGTTCCTGCAGTTCGGCAGCAATAGAAGAAATTTACAGTGCTTGCGGAATTCTGTTTTAATGGCGTCATGTGTTGATAACTGTGTTCTTGGCTCTTGTGACCGATGCCGTCTTTAGAGCCGTTATGATGGTCAACAAAAAGCAAAGGAAGAAATGTTGGCCAAGGCGACGACAGGGTCTAGAGTCCCAAGGAACATCAAGTCCCTTCATTCTGCTGTAGGCCTTTGTCTGCTTGTTTATCACGAAACTAGGTAGTAAAGAGAGTCATATACCCTTGACTAATCCGAGATACGCATTCTTGTTTTGTTCGGCAGTTTAAATTGTCATTTGCAGCCTGACGAAGGAAGGAGTCTAGGTACAATGGATTCCCGTTCCAGTCAGTTAAACGTATTGTCTGAACACGAGTAGAGAGAGTGTAGCAGAGCCAACGAATTGGTAGATGAAGGCCGTTGGTCTGGCAGTACCCGAGGAACCTCCCGATGAAGTAGTGGCATGATCACTAGCCCGAGTAACCACTCGTGATCTTGTTCACCTGGTTGACAATGGCTGCCATTTGAACGCCTACGAAATGACATCATGCATCAGTGGGACGCATCTCCTCAAACAGGCAAAACTCAGGTAACTCACCTCCCTTCTGATCAGTATTGGAACCATACCAACCGAGCCAGTCAAAGCAAGCATTAGGGTTGCTAAGATAAAGCCCACTCCAGATTACATGGATCGAAGAGTCAGCCTTGGCTTGCGGGTAGAGAATGATGATGTTGTTCGTATCTGTATCAAGGTTATTTTAGCCAACGGCCCAGAGACGAAACAGCAAAATAAGTCAGACTTACCAGCCCATTTGTTGTAGCCCGTGTTGCTGATAAACTTGTTTCCAATATTGCCATAGCTCTGCAGGCATCCATGAAGAGCCACATGCAGTTTGCATGCGGAACCACTCTGGCAAGCCTGTGGAACGTAGAGATATCCAGTGCTGTCCATTCCAGAGGCGCCATAGGTGCCTGTTTGGGAGAAGGATACTACACTGCCAGAGAGCTGTCCGTTCTGCCTGGGTGTGAGATCACCGTACATCCACTTCAACACCTCACCTGCACCATCGTAACCACAGTTGCTAATGTAGGGGGACGCTGCTTGCCCGCACTGGTTGTTGCCAGTCGAATCAAAGTCGGCTGGAAATACGTGAGCAGCGCCGCTGGTGGTGATGAAGGAGACCTTGGATGGATTATTAAAGTTGGCCAACTGCGCCTTGAGCTGATTCATGGGCTTCGGCCCCACGGTTGTATCGGCAGATCCAACCTGCATGTAAATCTGGCGATCTTGCAGATTGGCGATGGGGTCAATTTGACTCCCACTCCAGGAGTTCATGTTGGCGACTGGCTTGGTGATGGACGGGTTCTGATTGTACATGCAGGTGCTGTACTGTTTCAGTGACGAACATTAGCATAGCCCCGCGGCGCGCAAGTGCTGGGTATGAGTCAGAGGTCTCACCAGTTGGTTACGAGCGCAGTCGTAGGGGCCACCGGCAAACACACCGAAGCCTGTTTTGAAAGTACTGGAGTAGGCAACGCCCAGCTGAGCCGTCATGAACCCTCCAGCGGACATCCCAGACACGGACACGCTGTTGGGATCGACGTTGTAGGCACCCAGGCTTGCTGCCAGCGCGCCATGCGCAACAAGACCCGCGAGGCCTGCGAGTGTAAGGAGATTGGACATGGTGAGGAAGATGGAGATGGTAGAGCTCAGTGTTCAGACTGGAGAAGGGGACCACTTTGAGACGAAGTGGGTTTTTGAGTAGAGGGCATTTCTCGGGGGAGGCCCGGGGGATAAATATACTTTTCCTGAAGAACACTCTTCCCGAGATGTTCATCCTTCTTCATGCCCGTCAATATGTCGGATCCTCTCAGGAGGGCTTCGTGACTACCATGGAAGGCACGGTTCCGAGCTTCAATATCGTCCAAGGCTCGCACCCAAGTGAACTCGGGTCATGTTTTCGGTAACTCGTATACGATGCGAAGCCTCTCGTCCTGTTGATCGCAGAAACTTGTCGGTTTCCAGCTAGCGTCTCAAGCATACGCCTCTAGAAATGGAAACCGACATCAAAGCGGAAAACTTGACACTGGATTAGGCCAACCTTCTGGTGAGCCACCTGCCTTCTTCTTTCTGTCATTGCGGAATGGGTAGCACCTGGCCCGATGTGGTTTCCGCACAGACCTCATCAAGCCGCCATCCTTGTCTGAGGAACTATCGTAGTACTCGGTTAAGTTGCGAACGCCACAAATCCGGGGAGTTGCAGTAGTTTTTTGCGGGGTATGGGGTCGACTTTGCGGGGTAAAGTAAAGGAACCATTGTGATGGTTGCAATTCAGCTGCTCCAAGGGTGACAGGTATGTAGCTAGGGATACCGGATCCGATGTTGATCTCTTGCAGCTGAAAATTCATCTGGATTATGACAGGGGCTATCAAGGAACGTTGCAGGCCATGGACCTAACCATGCGCATCTTGACTTCTTGGTGCGGACAAAACACTCTGGAAGGGCAACCCTCAGTTGCAATATGAAGGTGGATACTTGGCGGAACCGAGAGAGCCCAAGGCCACTTCACGCCTGAATCCGGATCCGATAGTCATTGGCATGTCTTGGATTGCTAATGAATGGGGCTGTCTATATCTAGGCTGTCAGGCACCCTAACCTCTGCCTCGTTACCTCAAGCCTTTAGCATCTCTCCACATATTACAAAATAGTCGCAGTTACGACTCACCTCTCTGGGCACGTCTGAAAAGATGGCGAAACACAATACACCCGGCAAAGACGTCGCTGTTGGCGAGCAACTCGAGCTCGCAACCTCCTGTGACGGCGATGCTGCCCAGGCTGCTTACGTTGCGGCGGTCGAAGCTCTGACTCCTGATGAGCAGAGGCGGACAATCCGCCGCATTGATGTCCGCCTGGTCTCAACGCTCGGATTCCTCTACTGTGTCTCCCTCATGGACAGGAACAACACTGGAATTGCAATGATTTCTGGCATGAGCACGGATCTGGTCATGACGGGCAGCCGATACTCTATCGTCGTTCTCCTGTTCTTCATTCCCTACGTGCTTTTCCAGCCTCCGTCGACCGCAATCCTACGGAAAGTAGGACCACGCCTTTTTCTGTCACTTACAACGCTGGTTTGGGGTTTGGCAACCATCGCGAGTGGGTTCGTCAAGAACTGGAGCGAGCTCATCCCCCTCCGGCTCATCCTTGGGGCTTGCGAGGCTGGATTCTTCCCAGGTGAGTACACATGAGGCGATGATGCCGCACGCCGTCAGCAACTGACAGACTTCAGGTTGCGCATACCTACTCAGTTGTTGGTATCCCAGATACGAGCTCCAGAAACGAAACGCCGTGTTCTACCTCATCGGAACAACCATGTCTGCGTTCTCAGGCGTCCTGGCTCTCGGCTTCTCGCAACTGGATGGTCATGGCGCCGGTCCTTCCTGGTGGGGGCGAGTCGTGATCGACAAGGAGACCGGCTCCATAACTGTACAAAGCGGAATATCGGGGTGGAGATGGATCTTCATCCTGCAGGGAGTGCTCACCTGTGTTGTGGCTGGCTTCGCCTACCTCACCGTCTTGGGCTTCCCCGACGCTGTGAGCCATGTTTTGGGCCTCAAGCTGAGCAAGAGAGAGGCCGACTTTATCGTGGCAAGAATCGAACTGGACAGAGGGGACGCCACTACTGAACGGTAGGTCCTTGCCGAAACACCTGTCCCTGACTTTGTTGCTGATTTAGGCCCTGTAGCTTTTCTCTCCGCGAGTATATGGGAAATGCTTATGACCTCAAGATCTGGGGCTTCGCCGCACTCTTTGGTCTCACTACCGTCAACACATACGCTATTGCTTACTTTCTTCCGTTGATCCTGAAAGATGGTCTGGGATTCAGTGTCGCCGTGTCTCAATGCCTCATTGCGCCTCCGTATATCGCTGCAGGAGTTGCCATGTATACTATGGCGTACCTGAGCGACAAGTATCGAATTCGATCTCCGTTTATCGTGTTCAACGGCTGCCTGCTCCTCGTTGGTATGGGACGCCCGACTCCCTATGAAACTTGTCTGAGGTCTAGGCGCTAACTCGCTTCTGCAGGGCTGCCGCTGCTCGGCTTCGCTACCAACGTGGGCGCACGATACTTTGGAGCCTTCGTCACCACCACGGCTTGCAACGCCAACGTCCCCTGCATCCTGACCTGGCAAGCCAATAATATTCGCGGCCAATGGAAGAGAGCTCTCTGCTCGGCTACCCTGGTTGGGACGGGGGGCATTGGAGGTATCATTGGTAGCACCGTGTTCCGCAGCCAGGATGCGCCTGGGTATCGGCCAGGAATCTACGCTGCGATGATCGCTAGTAGCTTGATTATTCTCATCACTCTAGCACTAGATGTCAAGTTTTTCAGAGCCAACAAGCGCGCTGCGGCCGGTGGCAAGATTATCGGAGGGCTAGAGGGATTCCGGTACACGCTTTGAGGAGCGGTATTTAAGGTGGCAGGTCGGAATATGCCCCACGGCTAGGTTCGTTATTCTTTTGCCGCCTTGAAACAACGGGCTTGACAGGTTGGGCTCTCACCTTGGCATGTCTGATAGTTTCGGCTCATATCTTTCTTTTCTCAGAGTCAATAATACTATGGCTTTTTTTTTTTTTTACTCTATTTTAGCTGCACTTTGAGGAGTGCCCTATCTTGTTTGCTGGAGAAGCAGAGCGTGATTGACGTCCCAACTCATGCTATTCCTACTCCTAGACGGCGGGCTGTATCAAATCACTTAGTCGGACGATCTGCAATCACGGAATGGAAGCGCTCTTTCAAGTCTGACTGGTGGGACCAGGCCTAGTAGGATGCCAGGTAAGGTCGGGAGTTGTCCGCATGACGTGTTTACAAATCTGGCTCAAGCCCAATGCCAATCAACCAACCTTATAATGATGAGATGTTGGGTATAGCACGGTGGACTTAGAGCATCAGCCTTGGGTGACTGGGTAATGCTGTTCCTAGTACGCGGATTGGTATTGGAACACCGATGCTCAGGGAGCAAGGGGGAGGCTGGAAAATTGCCACGGTGGCAACAGAGGGCTGGGATTCGAGAACATCCAAGCCCTTTCGCGTCTGCTCGCCGAACAAGCAGAGTGAAAACTAACCTAATAGTCAAGGGAAGGGCGAACAGGGATATTCGTCTGCTACATACGTCGGATCCGGCTCAGGTACGGTAGGCCGAAGCCAGAAGCCCTGCAAACCGCTTTGACAAAACTGCGGGGTAACCTAATGCAAATCGGGTAATGAAAGGAGGGGGATCGATCCGGTTAGCCTTCCGAAATAACCCTGGTTCCCAAGAATCAGCTGTGGCTGGATCTTACACAGGATCATCGCCAGCTCGGACCTGTCAAAATTTAGCTTACTACAATTGTGCTGCATGTCTCTAAAGATGGTAGCAATGTGACAGTAAGGTGGTTATGTCTGTGGCGAAGATCTGCGGGTCGAGGCGACTGACCAATCTTTGACGGATCCGAGGTTACTTTTGCGAATATACGGATCCGAGGACACACAGTCACACACCAAGAAGCCTCTCCTCTGCGGGCTCTCCACCGCATCAACTGCACTCATCGACAGCATCCTCTAAGTAGTGCGGCTCCCTCCGGGACTTGCTTCAACCATGATCAAGAACCTGTTTTTTTTTCTTCTTCTCCATATCTCTGATATTGCGGGCCCATCGACAGCAACCGCCACATAATTCTTTGTTGACCTTAATCCTCTTCTCGTTTTACCATTGCGGTGCAGTCACCAAGTCAGACGAGTTCCAACTTTACTATTTTGCAGGCCGTTCAGACGATTTGAAGGGCTCGTGACATTGTCCAATACCTCTAGGTAGGATCTCTTGTGGGACGGACACTACCACGGGCGTGTCAATCATGGAGCCACTCGGCCCGGGAGACATCTCTCAATCCGAGTTCAAGGCCTCCCGACCAGGCGAATGGACTTTCGTTAAAGGGGGCAACACAATGCAGCCGAACCGGATCCGACCCTCTTCTGGCCAATCGATTAAGACTCGGTGGATGCTCACAGGGGTCATCGAAATCGATAATGATTGTGGCGCCCAAACGAGGACCATGCACATAACACCTATGATTCTGGCAGGTTGTCAATGCCTCCGAATGATTCATCCTAAACATCTCGGATCCGATAATCACTACCACCACCGACCTTCTACTTCAATCACCATCTCACACACCCCTGCAAGTCTAACTTTCGTTCCAAATGAATCGCTGTCTCATGCAAAACATTATGTGCTGCCTTGTCCACCATCAACGACCGTGGAATATCTAAGAATAGTTCACGACCAAGCATGAAGAAGAAGAATGCTGACCATTTCAGGGAGGGAGGGACAAGATGCGAGAAGACGGAAGGACCAACAGGATGGAGGACCTGATCGGCAGCTCATGAGAGAGACCAACAAGATCCGTGAAGGACAAGAGCAGGTACTTCAAGAATTGCGCATAGAACTCCAAGTGACAAGAGAGATAAGAGCCGCAACGGTTGATTCGGGAGACGAAAGCAGAACTCCATTGGGTCAAAGAAACCTCCAAGCGATGAGGGAATCGTGCGACCAGGCCGCAAGCGAAGTCCAGGCCCTGAAGGGCTCTTTCGACGAGTTGGCTAGCGATCGTCGGATCCAAATTGCGACCATAGGCGAAGGTGACATCTGGGAGAGGCTATACCAAGCATCACGGTGACCGGCTTGCTCGCGTCTGAAGTCCGAGTCCGCGGAAAACCTACAATCGCTATTTATCTCCCTCGTCACCCCGTCGCAACAGAGAATGTCAACACCTGCGACTAAGCTCAGTGCGGCAGTTGATTTGAGGCCTGGTTATCCCAAGATCTCTGACCACCATCGCATCCGATAGCTCGATCTACGTCAACGAACGCGCCAGCACGGAAGCTAAGCCTGCGCTCTGCAAAGTTTGATCTTCACGAATTTCCTGATATGGCAGCTAGGTGGCCTCATCCTCCGGTTTCCCTAGATTTATCCGCACTAGCGATCTCCAACTATCGGATCCGAAAAAGGTGTGGCCATTCCCGTCACGACTTACGAATTCACCTTAAAGAATTGGGAAAACATTAAGGGGGGATCTCGTGGGCACAGGGGGATAACGTCCATAATGGGCGCGTGTCCCGTCACGTAGGGCTAAGCAGTACACGGATACTACCTTATCAATTGATGAACGTGCGATAGCGAGAGCTTGGCGGGCTGAACCTCAGCAAACCTGCTCGTGGCACTCAACCCCTTGGGATGTACTAGAGCAGCTCACATGTATCTAAGTTGACTCGATCCATTTGGATAACATGATTACTAGCCAAAAAAAATCCCGCTGGGGCCAGAGTACCCATGGCGCTTCCAACTGCTCTAGAACAGCCGAGGGGATAACTGAGCTCACAGTAGCGGCCTGGTTGTGCATTCTAGGGGTCTGTCATAGCCAGCCATGCATCTGCATCGTTCGGATGAGCGGCACCTACTGGCACGCGAGCTTGCACAGCAAGCAATCCTACAGACAGAAAGGGTCTTAGGAGGCAGCCGGCTCATGCATGAGGGTTACATTAACCTCTACGCGATGGACTAGAGTCACATTAGGCTCTCCCGCGGCCCGTGCCCCTTTTCTGCACCCCAGGTTTTTGACCTAACCCCAGAAAAAAACCATGGGGCGACTCAGCTGGGATTTCTTCCTCACAGTCGCTGATATGTTGGACTCACGCATCATTTATATGCCAAGAAATGGCCCCGAAACCCCACCTTCGCTCCCCCTCAAACTTCCCACCTTCGCCTGGTCTCGCGTCTCCATGCCAGTTCAGCCTACTGGTGCGTGCCTTGGTACCATCATCCGCATGCGCTATTCGTCTACGAGGCGTAATAGACCGTCACCCAATCTTTCATAACCCATCGTTGTGCAGAAGCCCCCCTAATTCTCGGCTGCCATGGAGGCTGGACGGGAGCTGGTTCCTTCTGCGCCGCCAACAAGAGCAATATACGTCTTAGAACGGGCTTTTTCAGTTCCTTCCTTGATTGGGAGTCTTCTCATTATCACCACCTTCTGCAGGGCCCGAGGCTTTCGCAAGCCCATCAACCGCCTTATCTTTTACGCGGCCTTTGGGAACATCATGTCCAACGTTGGAGTAATAATGGCTGATGAATGTCTCTATAACCCCACAGAGGCTGGTTGTCAATTGCAGGCTTTCCTCATTCAAATGTATTACTTCCCAGATTTCCCGTTGTAACCAAGAGCCACCCACCGTCCACTAACATTCAATGATGTAGGTTTATACCTGCTGATGCGTACTGGTCATTGGTAATGGCTATCAACGTTTATCTTGCGATCTATCACAAGTACGACGTGCAAAGGCTGCAGAGAGTAGAGGTTATTTACCTGCTTTGTTGCTACGGATTGCCGTTTATCCCCGCCTTGACATTTATCTTCATAAATGATCCGGAAAAGGGACCATTTTACGGGCCGGCCAGACTGTGGTGTTGGGTGACACCCAAATGGGTACTTGTAGCAATGGCTGTATTGCATTGCCCTGTCTGGTAAGTCTTTTCACCATCAGTGACATGGTGCGCCGTATCTGACAAGTTTAGGGTGGCTATAGTAATCACCTTCGCGATATATTTCCGCGCAGGTAGCGAAATACTACGAGTACGAAGCTCATTGCGCTCCTTGAGCAGTCGATCTCAGGACGGCCACCAGCTCGATGATAATGAGACTGCATTTCCTAAGACGGCTGAAGTTGTCATACCCCCTGCGGCCCTTCCCTATCTTCATCCCAGGGCTCCCCACAGCAGCACTCTCCATCAACCCTCAGTCTCTTCCGTAATAATATCTACGAGCGCCAGCCAAGTTGAGGCGCGCGAATAGAAGGATGTTGAGTCTTCTAAGCAAATGTGCAATATCAGAGAGATCGAAAATGCCACGCAACGAGGCTATAAAAGTCGGAGGCACCTGGCCGCTTCTGACACCAACACCGCGGTCTGGTTATATGTGAAGTGCACGCTTCTTTTCTTCACTGCACTCCTCGTCACCTGGATCCCGACAACATTAAACAGGCTGATCGCACTTGTGAATGGCAGCAATATTGCGAGCCTGGAGATTCTTACTGCTATTGTACTACCACTGCAAGGGTTTTTCAACGCTGTAATTTATGCCTATACGTCAAGGGAAGAGTTCAAGGGGCTATGGAGGGATAATCGGACCAGGCTGCCTTCCAGGGAAGCCGACGAGATTTGGAACTCCACTAGGGGTGGCAGTTTATATATGGTACACCTTCACGCTCAGGTTCACGGTAAGTCTGACCGTGAAGCTGAGACTGAAAGCACGAGAAGACTTGCGCAGTGAAAGCTATAGTAACGGCTTCCACAACGCCCATGTACGATGCACTCGAACAGGGGACGCCCAGTGAAGCTTAAAAAATACGAAAGGAGTATATAAACGCCCTACTATCGTAGTAACATGGCAGGATCAAGTTAACCTACCCAGACACACAAGTATGCACATCTTTTAGTCTTAGGAAGGAAAATAAACAAGTGTCAATCTAATTAAACATATTACAATCCTAACACTAGCTCTTAGTATATCAGGTAGGTACAGCTGGTGCCGGGGTCGAGGTGGTTGTCTGTTAGTAGATAAGTGAGGCAGTCGAACAGTATTCACGAGATATGGATGAGAAGTGTGTATTCAAGTGTAGGGGTGTAGTTGTACTTGAATTGACTACTAAAGAGTCTTGAAAGACAAACTAGATACATGGTAGAGACTGTAGTTTATATAGATGTTTCCCTTCCAAGCTCTCCAGGGTGATCGGAGGGGTCCCGTTCATGATCAGAACCGATCGCATCTCTTGACCTCCGATTGCTGTTCCTGTGTAGTACGCACCTGCCTAGTAGATATGTATAGCTGCGTCCTTTTCTGCTGTATGTCACCGCTTTGGGCCTACATAGGGTCGGCCCGTGACAATAGATTACGTATTAGTCTTGTTAGTCCCTGGGCAAAGATATTCGGTTTCGGCGTACATCTGAAGGAATACCCGACAATATATTCGCCTTCTCATCATTTTGACAGAGGCCGTACCAAATGCTGTCAGGGTCGATATTAACAATGTCAGTAAAGTAACTAGGATATAGTAATATCAGTAAAGGTGACACATCATTAACTTTCCTTTACACTTACGCATTCCAGGCCTGTCATGTCCTCCCTCGATTCTACTTAGTGTTATCGCCCACATTGTACCTATCCGTTGAAGGGTTTGATTGCTGCTGCTCCAGAAGCTCATTTGCTCTTTCTTTCTTCAAGTCTAGGTAGCTCGGAGGAAGATCCATACTGAGGGGTTGGATCTCTTCTATGGTGGACTATTGGTATGAAGGCGGTTAGAGGCACTTGAGGGCTGTAGGAGATGAGGAGGTAGATTAATGATGGCGAGAAGGGAAAAGCACATGAATTGGCTCGGCGTGAAGGTCCCCGGCGGAATCGCCATATTTATCTTTCAACTGGTCTTGGTTTCTGAGCGATTCCTCTGCACCCCCCGGGGTGGATTTTACCAGCTGCGGTGATGTAGAAACGGCGCGTGGAAACGGATGGTGGGGGCCGCCCCGCGAGCCACCGTGCTCCCGGATCACCGGGCGCGGCTTTTTTCTGGAGCGGGGGCTGCCGTATATGGTTGCCACATATCTGCCAACTTCGGAAGCATTTAATCCCAACTTCGTAAATTAAGGGGAACTTCTTATTCCCAGATCAACGCCTTATTAAGCGCCACGGGCCCCAAATGGGATGGACACGTGTGTTCGGATTCTAATCACTCCGCTGCAGTCGTGTCGTTCATTGGATGGTCCACACAGCGCAGCCAGCCACGAGAATGAAAAGGTGGTTGACAAATTCTGCGGTGGTTGCAGACGTCAGCACCATTCACGAGGCACTCCAAATGACCCAGGTCGTCGGGCCAAAAGTCATGGCCGAGGCCACCAACCTACTGGAGGAGAACGTCTGCCGCTACGGATCTATCCGGACGAGGCCATGCTTCAAGAAGATACCGACCAATCTCGCCTCGTGAACGCGCTGCATTATATCGTTTGAGAGGGGTCCTATAGCCCTGGAAAAGTCCTGCCAGAACTGTTGCCGGAGACCCGCGTGGTTGGGGAGCCAACGCCAGCCCCTCGTCGTTCGCTCCTCGACCAGGCTCTCGAGCCCCTCGATAGATGTGCCGAACGGGCTGAGTGCGCATCCTTCCAGTCACAAATGCCCGTAACATGGACTGTCTCCGGGTCCACGTGAATGTTATTCTCCAGGAGGTCAGTGTTTAGGCACCAGCGGCCAGTCTTTGGCGAACAGCCGCGGGATGTTCTCAAGGAGGCGGTCCAGTTACTTGTGGAATTGCGTGGGCAAGCCTTGGTGAAGCTGCGACTTGTAGCTAGCGTACAACTCGGGGCGGTCGGGAAGGGGCATTGATGGTGGCGTGTTGTGCCAGGCCGAGGCAAAGAAGCTGCGCAATTTGTCCTTATCATGAGGGGCTGCAAGGAGGTAGTCTAGAAAGTAGGTTGGCCGGTATCTGGACCTACCTCGCAAAATCCTGCACCGTGGCAGTTAGGATGTAGGCATTGTTCGTGTGTAACTGGACCCGAGCGAGGTACGCGGACACTCCACCCACGTTATCCATGGTGTAGACAAAGAGCCCGCCCAAATTGCTAAAACTGCTAGAGTACTGATGATGTGGTGCTAAGCGTTTTCCGTAGGTTTGCTCTACGAATCGAAGGAACCCAAGGCATATACTCCTCAGCGCGAAACTGGACGACGGACTCTGCCGTGCCACGAACTAGCACGACGGTATAGCTTGTGGCGCCTTGGACTTCCGATGGTTGGACACGCCCGCCGACAATTCGTGCGGCCCATCAATCGCATTCGTCTTTTTTTTTTTTTTTTTTTTTTTTTTTTTTGGGGGGGGGGGGGGGGGGGGGTTCCTCAAGGAATTGCTCGACCTGCATCTTCGATAGGCCCATAAGAAGGGTCTGCATTTCTGAAGTCATTTTGTGTATTATATTGAGAGTACTGGATAGATGCTAGTAGGAAAAGATGGCGGGTAATGACGGTTATCAAGAAGAAGACAAAGGAGGAAGGGCGAATAAGAGTACGAAAACAGGAGGTCTCTTCCTGCACTGCCATTGACGAAGGACATGAAAAGAGAAGGCTGGGGCGGCGAGCGTTGAATGTGGTTGCACAATACAACGCAGGAATATTTCACCTAATTTCTATCAGTGACTTGCAACGGAGCTAACAGAGCCATGGCCTGGCTTGCAGTCTCAAATGCTATGGAGGCCCAAATCAGCCCGCGGCATCGAGATATACCCGCCGTGCCCGGCCTGTTTAGCTTCGTGCGCCATCTTTCTAGGTATGAAGAATCGGATGCGACCCAGTGAGGAAGAAGTCTAGTACTCCGGAATCATGACAGGGCTTTAAGCAAGCAGGTGAGTCTCGTTGGCCATGTTGGAGACTAATGCCACTGTCGTTTGGAGACGATCTTGCTAGGTAGTGAGGGTGATGCATTATGGTTGACGCTGATGAGTTTCGGAGCCGAGATCCGGATCTGGTGCTTGCTAACTAAATCTTGCGCTGAGTCAGCTTCTTGATACTCACTTTGGTTCACAACGACTTAAAATTATAACAGGCATTACAGCCAATTTCATCCCTATGCTGGGGTGTAAGGACGTAATCCAATGCGTAGTGTACATTCTAGACTAGAGCCTATCGAAAGGAGTGAGTACATGCGCTCACTGCTTAACTCCATCTAGTTAGGTATGCAAATACCTCCGAGCTGGATTCCAAGGCAAAGGTTCTCGCCATGGTCTTCGACAATGGTGAGTTGGTACCTAGGGGCAGGCATTATAGCCAGTAGACGACCGATACCTCTGCCCTGAGGGACATCCTCCCCAGCCGCCTCAACTCCGCCGTGAAGCTTCACACGACCTATTATCTTCGCTGCCCGCTGGGTTATCGTACGAAGCACAATCGCCGTAGGATCCATTTCCGCACAGACTGGACCCTGTAATGGCTCTCTGCGGGGCACTGCCCTCATAGGCATCCGATGCCTTTTCTGTATGGGTCTCGAAACGTTCACGGTACTCGTTTGCCTGTGCAAAGGCGAAGTCCGTGTATTTGTCGTGAGCTTCTCTCTGGTAGTATTTGCCATACCCGTAAGGGTGCTTGTTCATGTAGTTGTCTCGCGCCTGGGCGTGACTAATGAACAAAAGATGGTGTGTTAGCATTGAAATATATGGATTTCGGAAAAGGAAATACCCACGAAGCAGAATTCATGGCGGCTTCGGCCGAAGGTGAAACCAGGATCGAGTGTTGTGAGGAATCGAGGTCATGGATTGTCTTCCTCTTGCCGACCATACTCTTACACAATCCGTCGTATTCTTTGATGGACTTCCTAGATTCTTCCTCGCGATCTTTATACTGATTATAGTCATTCTCTTCCTCTTTAGAGGGATGCTTGTCAAGGTAGGTTGTGGGGTACTGAGCCCGACGCGAAGTCGTGTAATTTCTCAGTTCGTATTGGGACATTGCTGGGCTGGTTCTGGCGTAATAGGGGGGTTTGGAATTGTGAGAAGACATCTAAGGAATGAGAGGCAGAGTCAATAACTAAAGGGTGGTGAGAGGCGAGAAAGGAGGCGATAAAGGTGTTGAGAAGGGAGTTGGGATTGAAATGGTGTTACAGTAAGAAGTAACTGGGTGGAGGTGAGTATTGAGTAAAATGAGAACAATGCAATGGCAGCTTCCATCTCCACTGGAGCAACAGAGTGGTTTTGGAGGGGGCTTCTCTCACACCCTCTATTCTGCACTGGCTTTCTCTTATTGTGTAGCCACATGTGCCAAGAAGCCATGACATTCCTTATCAACATCTATTAGGAGATATCAAGCACTTAAACTGTAACTGTGAGGGCCCTAACTTAGTTGTACCTGAGCTCAATGAAGTCCTGCAGTATCAAGGAAGTAAAATACAGCCCCTCTGTGGGCCCAACATAAAGGAGACCGTCGGTACGGAACGCCGTTTGCCCTCTTGTGGGAGTCGAGGGGGCACTTTTCCTATATCTACCCTGCCAATTACTACATCAAGGTAAGGCTGGGACTAGAGGGGCCTCTAAAGGCCCATAATCTAATAGGCTTCACGACGCCGCGTGTGAGCCAGCGAAGGTGATTTGTCTAGTGTAGTGGGTCTGTAACCACACAAATCCGTGCCGCGAGTCTCGTTGATCTAATTGATACAAATACAATCTGTGTGTTGCAGCGTTTATAGTTTTATATAATCCTATCGTCGTAATGGTGCTAGCAATCGCCCAAGCCCGAGAGGCTATTACACACTCATCGATTTTAAGGCTCGGAATACCCGCCCCGCCCCAACTTTATCTTCCCTCACTTGCAACCCGCTCACCACCCTATACAACGTAGCAGGCTACCCAAATAGCCCATAACCCACGACAACATTAAATTTAGGTCCTCGAGGGTACCCGCGTTCAGTTGATGGGCCACCCGAATAGTCCATAACCCGTTCGGTTCTCTACATAAACTCCACATAGGATTCCTTCTACACTAGATTCCGCATTAGATTCCCAGTTAAGATTCCTTCCACATTCAGTTTTCTATTAAGCAGATAACTATACTTATTATTATACTTAATTACTAGCATTTCACAGATTCTTCTTCAAAGTAGATTTTCATTCCTCTTCTTCTATATTACAATCCTAACACTAGCCTATTAACAATATCAGATAGATATAACTAGTAATAGGATTAAGATATTATCTATTAATAGTAGAATAAAGCAGTCAAGCAGTATTTACAAGATATAGATAAGAAGTACATATTTAAGTATAGGGGTATAGTTATACTTAAATTAATTACTAGAGAGTCTTAGAAGATAAACTAGATATATAAAGTAAACTATAGTTTATATAGATATTTCCCTTCTAAGCTCTCCTTAAATTACTTTAGCTTACTATAATCCTATATAATTTAGATTATTCCTAGATCATTATAAGTATAAGTAATCTAGTATTTTTATAATCTCATATATTTCTATAGTTTATCCTTTTCTACTAATCTTAACTACCTAGCCTTCTATCTTAACTATATATAGCTATAATATAATACCTCCCCTCCTTTAGTCTTTATCTCTAAAGACCTATCTCGTCGTTCGC